TTCCAGAAAATGAAACCGTTCGCTTACATCAGACGCCAGCCACGTACTAAAATCACCTACATTTGGGCATACAAGGTAAGCCTGTCCTGAGGATATTCACCTAGATGACAAAATCAACGTTATTTAGGAGCTACTTCCACACCACTTTAATCCGTTTTTAGTGTAAAATATGAGCAAGATCATGGCGGTGTGTTTCTACTAATTTGATTTGTAGGTTGTTCATTCAATAACATTTCACAAAAGAAAATTATGATACGTGCACCACTAAACAAACCCGTATATGCTGATAGAAGCCTATTTCTAAAATCCCAGCTACATTCAACGGCACTTCTCAAACATACGACCCTAACTTTTGATAGCAGAAATTACACGAGCAGCACGATCTACAAATTCACGTCGTCATTGTCTCAGGAGGACCTTATCTTTTGGTCACTAACAAAAGAAAAGAAAAAAATTCCTCACAAGTTCAGAAGTATTTTTAAAAAAAGAACCGCGGTTAAATCATATTTTTGCTCATTTACAGCGGGTTAACGCGGCAAGTAAGCCTCTAAACAAGCAGAATGAGTCCACCTTAGCCGCTCAGTGAGCTAGTCAGATCTCATATTTAGGACTATCAAAGCCATCCATGTATTAATAGCAATGAATCAATAGGGTACGAGCAGGGGTTGCTAAACGTATCTGAAAAAAGAAACCAACGTTCTCTCTCTAAAGCAAGTCATACCCCATTAAGCGTATAAACATAAATTCAACCTGTTTTCTTGGAATGTTTCTCATCACAGCTGCCATTCTTTTCCGAGCTGAATTTCTTAGAAATCCTTTCAAAAAAATTAGCATGACATTAATTTTTTATGTATTTTCATGGAAACTGAATTATTAGAAAGTCAGTGATATCGACTAATTTTCCGTGTAGCGATATCAAATTGACGCTTCAACTTAGTTGGAAAGATCTTTTGTTGGTCTAAATGCTTATTTTAGTTTCTCCTGCCCTTCTTTATGAATGAAACAACCTAAACTCAACAACACTTACCATAACTACAAAGAATAACGAAACACAACGATTGATCTGCTCTTGTTTTCCAGAAAATCGACTGTTGAAACAGGTCGCTTACATGAGATGCCAACCGCGTACTTAAATCTCTGACATTTGGGCATACAAGGTAAGCTTGTCTTAAGGAGATTCACCTCGATAAAAGAATCAACTTGTTTAACAGCTACTTCCACACCACTTTAATCCGTTTTTAGTGTAAAATGTGTACAAACTCTTGGCGATGTGTTTTTACTCATTTAATTTCTAGGTTGTTCATTCAATTCACAAAAAAAATATAATAATAATACTACGTGCACCTCTAAACAAACTTGTATTTGCTAATAGAAGCCTATTTTTAATCCCAGCTGCATTCAATGTCACTTCTCAAACATACAACCCTAAATTTTAATGAGCCGGAGCGACATCATTTTGAGGATAACATAGCAATTTTCGGTGAGGCGTTTTTATGCCTGAACTCGTTGTGCAAAGTTTCTGCTTGTGTTTTTTTTTAACATTCAATTTCATAAATGCGAATTGAGAGTTACCGGCAGTAATGTGCAAGTGGTATTTTGTCGGATGACAAAATGAAAAACATCATTGTTGAAATAATGTTGCATCACACTTGGAATGCATTTCAGTTCTCTTCACTGATTTTTTTTTCTGTTTGTCAAAAAGAACCCATGCATATTAATCGAGGCGTAAATTCCAAGAAAAACATCTTCAGTTTAGAAGAGAAAAGCATCGATAATTCAAATTTATTAGCCTACGAACAGGTCCTTATTATAAGCCCTACGACAGGGGCGTTTCTAAAGAACGAGAAAGTCGATGAGTCAAGCGAATCTTTGAAGCTACCAATAATAATTCCAAAAGGAAACCAAACTACTAAAAGGGCAACCAGTGACAGACACTGACATTTCAATCTTGCTCAGCAACTTTGTCTATTGCGAGGGTCGTAAGGGAAGCCTTACTAATCGTTTCTACTTGTTTTTAGCCCTATTACAAAGGTCAAGGACACTGAAAAGGTAAAGATAAATGTTTAGTCTTCCAGCACTTACATGACAAACCAATGCTCACAAGACTCGCACAAGGATTTAAAGATAATCTAACGGGCCTAAACAACCCCCAAACACTCCTTATCTACTCATTTCAGTAGTTTCCAAACACTTCTAATTGTAGTAGTACATAAAAATTATATTTGAGGTCGACAAGCCATATTAAATTTGCGTATTTATAGGTTTTTGCTGATCCCGAATTTGCTAAAAACTGTGGAGAACACAAAATCGATGACATGCATTTTGGAAAGAACGAATCTTTCACTTCTTTAAAAAAAGCAGAAAAAAAAACAGGAAAAGGAAAGACAAACGCTCCTCTTTGGTAACTGCTTCCTTAAATTCTGAGTATTAGGCAGTTAATGGTTACGTTCCAGGTGAAATGGAAAAAACATACTCTTGAATTAGAAGAGGAAAAAGAAAAAGAGAGGAATTTGAAAACTTCATTGCTACCGACTGGGATCGATTCCGGGACTACTCGCTCAAAGCGTACAGAGCTAATGAGAACGTGCTATCCAAGATTAGGCCATAGAGACAAAAAGTTTTAAAATACAACTTCATTTCAGTAGACTTGTCATCTGACCCCGGCACAATTCATTATCCGAGCTTCTAGCATCTCTCGACGACCTGTTTGAACAATTAAGAGCGATACAGATCTCATTCTTGCCGCAACTCTCGTTTTCTTTCAGCCTGAGGCACTGGGATGCGCTACTCGAGTTGATGGGGCTGTATACGCGCGTGGGGCCAGAGTGCGAAAAATTAACACCTGAACAAAGGGCAAACAGAACAGTTATTTGTGCTCAGTTGAAGTTTCGTGAGCTTGAACGAGTTAGGAGGGAGACATCAATTCGAAATATGAAGATGGTCGAAAATTTTCTATCTTCTCCTGAAACAAATTAGGGAAAAAAGTAAAACAAGTGATTTGAGAATATATAGAAGCAAAATTTACGACCTACAAATTTTCTAGACCTGTTTTTCATTGCCTGAAACACATTTCCCTCATACGCACCGACGGTAAGTTCCGGTATGTGTTCCAGCAATCTATTTAATAATAGAATGAGGCTGAAAAGTAGTTTGTAGTTATTCAGGGGCTCACGAGATATCCCGCTCATATAACTCAGGAACATTTCACTTTTAGCGATATAATTGCAATATAAGTAATTTGAATGGAGTTGATGAAATACTGAGCTCTTTCACTCCCTAACTAATTCCAATCACCTCTCACTCAGGAGAGACCAATAATTAGTAATTTCCTCCAATATCACTACGTTGTCATGGTTGATGAGATTAATGCAAAAAATCACCTTAACCGTGTTGTAGATACTAAATCCCTTTAGCTACCATCCTATGAAATGTATGGCATGAAGTGTAGAGACTTAACAAGATCTCAGGAGGAAAAGGATTGATATGTCAACCATGCAGGTAGTGAAAAAATAAGAATGTGTGGTCAAAGATTGGTTATAATATACAAAGGTTCACCCAATTGGAACAAGGTGGCATCCACTTCCTTTCAGGCATGAACTGAACATGATTGATGGATTCTCAAGGCTTACCTTACCATGACTTAGGGTCAGAAAATACTATGAACAAATCACATTAGAAATCACATACCTTTGTTTGGGGAGGGAATAAAATAATCATGAATCGACATGCGAACGTGCAGGCGACAGGATAAGGAAAACATACTCAAAAGTTATTCCCTATAAGCGTTTGTAGGAAAAACATCCTTGTAATAACAAGCGGAGACAGACTGCCTAATTTGCGTGATAAACGAATAGCTGACCTCATAAACCACAGTGCCTTAACGGCATTAGCGCATGACTCGTCATGCCAGATTCCAGAATTAAAAGGTATACGATTTCCTGCTGAGGTCATTCTTTCGTAGCAAGCGTGCGGCATGAATTACTTCGATCGATTCTTACAACGTACAAAAGCGCAAGAGTCAGGATATCAAACAGCGAGATGTCTAGTGAAGACTTATTGTCTCTGGTACAGAAAAACTTTTGCATTAAGTCACTACGAAAAAGTCAAACGAATCGACCATCCGAAGAAGATTGAGTATGGGCAATAGAGACAGATCGAAGCGGCAAAGAAGAACGAATTCGAAACGTCATCAATCTACTAGAGGTCAAGTAGAGAGGAAAACAAGATGGATGGAGTATTTAACTAACCAACCAAAGAGAACCAGAAACAAAAAGGAGCCTACCAATGAGCCAAAAATTTGAGATAAGAGATCGAATTTGGATCGCGCATCGACTAAGTTCCACTTTGACGTCACCGCAGTCACGCATGCTTAATAGTGCAAAGCCATATTTCCAAAACCGAAAGGCCAAAAATAAGTGGTCAAGCATTTGGTCTAAAGGTAAGAGAACTTTCTTGTTTGTGACTGTGAGTCGTCAATTTTTTTCGAGTTATATTAAACTCTATTCCCCATTAGAGTATCTGCAATCGTGAATGGATCATTATTTCAACCTTATCAAAAGTATATTCTGCACTAACTTTACGTCATTTGATGTCCTAGATGAACTGTCATCGACAAAGACTCGAGGTGAGACCTCATTCAATTCTTACAGGAAATGGAGAAATTACCTATCACGATTGTAATTCTGTTTCCTAAATGTAAAGTTTTCTTATCTCCATTATACCACCTACCAGTAAAATTAATAGGCTGTTATACAAATCACTGTTATCGTTACAAATAACACATGTTACGGTCAATATAATCACAGCAGCAAAACGCAGTTTCAACAGTTCTCTTAGGAATAACAGGTTATTGTATCATTCACATATTTACAGGACAGTTGCATTACTCTAAGGAACTTCCTTCTGAGGTAAAGATAATTATTTCTAATAGCACAGTATTATTTAACATATCGCAGCAATGCCATACATAATATCATTACATTGTACTCTATTACGATTAGTAGGTTAGAGGTCATGTTGAAATCTGGCAGTTGATATGTTTAGTTGTTTAAATTAAAAAATATACTTTTTTCCAACTTCTTACATCATTTATTCCCCCAGAATATCTAAACTCAATAACGAAGTTCCCGTCTTCAAATTCCTACATCATTTTTTCCCAAAGAATATCCCAAAACAACGACGAACTTCCCTGTTCACCTCTACATGGCACTAAAAATTAACTTGAAGCAAAAACAAATTCAACCTGTCTTCACCATTACTTCCTTAGACCTGTCAAGTTGTATTAAGAGGTCTTTATCCGTAATACCCAATCCTGCCAATCCCAATACCAATCTTGTAATATTCCTTTCTTGCAGAGACACAGAAAGCTCGACAATAATTGGAAACAATGTAAGTACAATTACTAATCACAATCAGACACCTTATTCTGCACCAAGTAAATACTTCCAGGTCTGTATCCAGTTCACATATCTACGATCTCGTTTGTTTCACAGAATGAAATGCTGTCTATTAGGAGCACAGTAATGAATGGCGACAGACAACGGTATGCCTTGTTTTTCTTCACTTTTTAGCCAGGAGATACGAATATAAGTGATATATTGCACGCCTCATCACCAGCCGGAAACCTGTTATCATTTACTAAATGTCTCACCTCTCCGTCAATACCTGAAATGAAATGGTCTTGAATTTTAATGGCCTATGGCCCTTTGGTCCTTTGGCCTTTACAAGTTTAATGTTGATATGTCAGTGCCGTTGTATTCGTATCTTGCAGTGACATTTACAGCCTACTCATGTTGGGTTACTCTGCTGTAAGTACCTCACCACCATACATTTGTTTTGCACCTGTTCGCCAATTCCATCTTTAAACAATGTTTTTTGACTGATCATTGCTTATTTTTCTCCGCCATTTCTCTGCCTCTTAAAAGGTTGTTATGAGGACTTTTGTGACTGATGAACGAAGACATAGGTATGTCTCCTTTTTATCCTTCCCTGAAATAGGAAAAAATTATCCCAGCAACTTGGGAGTGTTAAATGCCCCAATGATGTTCCATCTAATTGAAAATGGGAGCATATTTTCAATATCTCATCACTCCACTTCCAACAAAATTTATTTGAAACTTCTAATTATTTGAAGTTGTCCAGGAAGATTATCCATATAAAGGATACATCAAGAGAAGCATCCATCAAACCCTGCTCTCACATCATTTCTTAAAGACATTCCATACGTAATCAGTTGGTTTCTTGGTCCAGGGAATAATGCCCATAACCATGAAGTACCATTGCTTTTCCAAATATCACATTAACTAAATTCTTTCACAATACAGGGTGTATGAAGAGATGATGACCACTGTAAAGGTATGTTCACACATCCATTGAAATGCTGTATCTAGCAGTGTCCCACTGTCGTTTAGCACATTACAACTGTAGTTCGCCACCCATTGCGGCTTACCTCAACCCATATTCTTGTCTTAATGCACTAAGAATCCTCCAGAGACAATAGAGTTGTTGAACTTTTTTCCAGGATGAAGCAGCAAAAATGCGACGCAAGATTGTTGGCTGAGAAACTAGTAAGTAAACTAACCACATCCTAAGATCCCAACGATCAATTATCCACCAACTCAACTAGCACCAAGCTTTGTAGCAAATCACACACTAACGAGATTATTGCAAATATATTTCTTTCGCAAGTCCAATTTATTTGGTTTATTTTCCCTTCATTGCTCAATATGGTACAACTGAGTAATAACAAATGGGCATTATTTTGATGAAAACAAAAAAATTGTGAAAAAGAAACGCGCAATCAAACAAAATACAACACAAAAAGAAATTGTCAAACATTAGAGCAAGAGACAGTCAGCTTTGGTCAGAGCCATTCTCTCTTTTTTTGCTTTTATTGCGTTGGTGGCAACATTTAACATCACTTGCTTCCATGTTGCTTCTGCAATAAAGTGCAACGAGTGTAAATCGCTTCTCGTCATCCTTCACATTGCTGTAACTGTACTACTCTCAGTGACTTTCTTAATCTGTAAGGATAAATCAAATTAGGTTGAAGACTGGGGACTAGACTGCTGTATCGGTTTATCGATAGGTCTAATAAATTAGCAAAAAAACCCGCAAAGCCTTTAAGGAGTTCTTGTAAACCTATCTTACATATTTAGTCCCTTTAAGAGCTTTAGTACAGTTTACAAACCAGTTACTTTGACCAATCATTCTAGACCAGCTTTTTTAAAATAATATTGCTGATGAAAAATACTTAAGCATTGGTTGCCTGTTGTATTTTTTGCTACCACAGCAACAATATAACCTGTGTCAAATCGATTTGTCTTCAGGTTCTACCAAGAGGCTTTCTCCTTCCTTCATAGAAAAATATTTAATTAACAGAAAGTCATACCGTAACTATCTGCTTGCTATGCTCTACACTCACTTTCTCCTATTTATCAATATATTTTTTAATCAATTTTTTTCGCAGTATAACATCTCCCATGGGAGTTGAAGAAGAAACCAGCAAAGATCTATTTAAAATAATACAATAAATACTATTTAATTGTTTGGTATGCCCAAGACTCGTATTGTTATGTATTTAATTAGAAATAGTAATTAATTTATAAAATACTAATATAAAGTATAAGAGGATTTTGCAGGGAGCTTTTTGAAAAATGAAAATGGATAGTGATTGAGCACATACCAAATCAGTGAACATCAGAGCGACAATCACCAGCTGTAAGCTGCAGCCGCAATTTAGGTGTGCTGTCATAATACAATAAATACTATTTAATTGTTTGGTATGCCCAAGACTCGTATTGTTATGTATTTAATTAGAAATAGTAATTAATTTATAAAATACTAATATAAAGTATAAGAGGATTTTGCAGGGAGCTTTTTGAAAAATGAAAATGGATAGTGATTGAGCACATACCAAATCAGTGAACATCAGAGCGACAATCACCAGCTGTAAGCTGCAGCCGCAATTTAGGTGTGCTGTCATAATACAATAAATACTATTTAATTGTTTGGTATGCCCAAGACTCGTATTGTTATGTATTTAAGTCGAAATAGTAATTAATTCATAAAATACTAATATAAAGTATAAGAGGATTTTGCAAGGAGCTTTTTGAGAAATGAAAATGGATAGTGATTGAGCACATACCAAATCAGTGAACATCAGAGCGACAATCACCAGCTGTAAGCTTCAGCCGCAATTTAGGTGTGCTGTCATAATACAATAAATACTATTTAATTGTTTGGTATGCCCAAGACTCGTTATGTTATGTATTTAAGTCGAAATAGTAATTAATTTATAATACCTAATAATAATGATAACTATTTGATCAATTGAGTAAAATTTAAGATAAATGGACATGCTTGTGAGGAAAGACAATAGAAAGTCTTTCTTATTATTATTATCTTATCTTATTATTCTTACAAGATTGTTAAAAGTTACAATACAAGTTACATTAACGTTAATAAAATGCTTCTGTTTTATTTGATGTTAGTGGTTGGTGCATTTGTCTAGATAAGTATCATCCCATCGATTATGTTCTCTGGTTCAGCATCACATTCTGGTTTCAAAATGAGAGAATTATCCACGAAAACCTCGGAGGATTATTAAATCGTGACTAAAGATTAAATTGCGTGATGTAAAATTGAAAAAGCAAAGCCATACCACTATTCACACGACTGTTTGGTAAGTTCTGACAAAGTTTTGGTGACAGTGAGGTGCAAATAATGAACAAGGTAACGAGAGCCGGACGAAAATTGCCAGGTCAGATCATCTTACTTGAGGCAATGATTGCTAATAATTTCAAATGAGCACAATCTTTTTAGATTTTCACATTTCCTTCTTTACTCACAGAAACCGGATGAACTTTGACGACCACACGAATGTTATCAAATGCCACTATTTATAGGAGCCTACAAAAGGTTACAAAAATAGTTTCTTGAAAACGTCAAGACTATCGTCACGCTGTTATCAAGGTAATAGCGCGCTTAAATCCTATTCAATTTTGTCTTTAGTATTTTAATTATGAATAATGGGCATTTCGTTGAGCCAAGTTATTCCGTTTTGTTCAAGTTTAAGGCTTGTTACGTAAGACTTAAGGAGGGCTACCTTGGATTAAAATCGCGTGACCTGGGTATGAAGTGGCGTGACCGCATGGCGATAAAAATAAAAATAGAGTAGAACTGATTTTGATATGTAAACCGTTTAAAAAGCTTTAAATGCAAATAAGATTTCATTAATAATAACTAACTCTACTTTCACGGTTGCTTAGCACAGACATTATCCTCAGAAAAAGGTACGAAAGTCACGTAAATTACTATTTCTTTATCAATTCTCTTGCAAATCTCATAGGCGTAAAGTTGGGAATTCGAGGGCCTTTCTAAGTTGGACAAGACAATTCACACTGAGTACAAATCGTACTGACTTTGAATAGACCATCTTATGCAGATATGGATCCCGAGATCTCCATGGATCATTAAGTGAATTCTGCGAAACAACAACAGAGTTCAGCTCCAATGCTTTTGTTTCCGCACGCAGTCAACACTACATGCTTCAATCTCCTCCGTTCGCTGCTCAAGTTTGTGATCTAGACGCCTTCAAAAGAGTCAAAGATTCGCACGTTCAAAGACCTGTCTAAGATTTAAGGACGTCCTAACTACAGAGACGGAAATGAAAGGCTTAAATACGGCTGGAGCACCAGTAAAAAGCGGGTCAGAGAAAAACAACGGCGTAAGACCTTCGTTGCTGTCCTACATACCACTGGGCGTAAAGATCGGTGAACATTCATGGCATACTGCACTGATCGCCACGAACAGAGGCTTCGAAAAGAAACGTCTTCGTGGCAACTACAGTATCAACGTAACGGTGGTCTAATGTCAGGATGGATAGATTAATTCCATTTATCAACCACAGTGAAAAAAACTCTGCAGAGGAGTTCAATCAATGGGAAGTAAGTGGATCACGAAGGCTACCCATTTACCAGAACTATATTCACTTGAATCAACAATATCAGTCACAGCGTTCATTGGGAGTCACCCAATGCAAAACAATATGCGAGTAGAAAGGCAAGAGACTGGGCATGATTCCAAAAATAAAATGAAAGACAATATCAGGGGTGTCCCTTCGAATTTGCGTGGGTGAAAAACTTACACCAGAAAGCTTGAGATTGTAAGAAGATTTATTGGGTATGTAGCGACTTCATGTAACACATTCATATTCCAAATGAAAACTGATTTAACAATAAGTCGGTTTAGCACGAGGTCTTGGCGATAGGAGTTGCCTGGATAAATTCGATGAGTGGTTGTGAAATCTTCCTTGTTACTTAAAATTAGAACTTATTTCAAAACAAAAACAAACCTTTTGCCACGCTTACCGCTGGGCTTTGCAGGTATCATTGAATTGCTCCTCTGTTTTATTTTATGTCAGGCATTACCCTAAAATGAAAGTCATTGCGACTGTCCAACGCATGTGTTGAAATCAGCTTTCGAATTCAAGAGACAGCTGACTAAAGATATGATAACCATGGTACAATTTTGTTCTTATTTCATAGATTTGCAGTTACGAACCAAAGTAGAAATTAGGATAGCAGTAGAACCGCCTATACACCGAAGTAAGTATCCAAACAGACGACACAGATACACGGTGTTGTGAAATCTTTATGTGTGGTGTATTTTGCTAATATTCAAATGAGAGATGCAGTATCATTTGTATGAATTCAGCTCCTGGAAATTATTATTATTATTATTATTATTATTTTTCTTGAAATGGCTTCCAGAGTTAACGAAGAAATAACAAGCCTAACACTACAAAGAAAACTACAACTAACGTTTCTCTAATTAATATATTTTAATCATATCTGTAATGCATACTTTTATTTTCATTAGAGTAAGATGGACATGTCTGTCTTATTGGTTGTTCTCCTCCTCATGAGAAATAGAAGACAACGAAGGACTACAATATGCTTCATATATTTAATTTTGAGGTAGATTAAAACTTTTAGGCCTCCTTTTACTAGCATTCATGATCAATTCTTTCAAACGTGAAAAGTCAAGGTTTCGTCGAATTCGATGACCAATTTTTTGTTTGCCATTCATTCTGTGAGTTCCTTGAGTAGTTTTCGCGTTTTTACTGAGCTAAAACGACCCATTCCCATTGCTGTCGTCTTAGGTTAACGTTGCATCAAAAACATTTAGTAAAGGTCAATTATTATCAATCAATTTCCGCTCACCTTCTTCCTGTTCCATTGACATGTCAACACACGTCATACCCACACGTTAACAACAAAACATTTTAAACGAGCAAGTGGTTGTTAACTGTGTTCAAGACGAAATGTTAGTTATTACCTAATATATGATTTAATTCTTTCTAAGCGGGGTTTACACACTAGGATACACATATAGCAAAAAGTGTTATTAAAAGATATAAATTACGGAGGAGTATATGCTTAAATACTACAAAAAAAGTATGAAATCAGGATACCACAATTTTATTTGTCTGAGTTGAGAGGATACATTTTACGAAGTCAGATGAGACGGGGCCTAATCAGCTTCGAGCTTATATTCTTTCTACTCAATTCGATTTTGATGCAATATTCTATTCATACTATTTATCAGTGTAGGGTCTGGTGAAGCTGTATCATTTAAACGTTTTAAATGATTAGAAATAAACATCACAGCATGGAGCTCTTCGTTTACAAAGCACCTCACCAAATATTGACTGACTCATTCCATTAAAGAAAATTATTTACCCGTTTTATTTTCCTACTCTCTTTGTACAGGATATGCTTGGAATTAGCTGCCATTCAGGACTATGTAAGTGCAAAGTTAGTTGGAAAATTGCATTTTTATTGCAAATACATGTTAAAAGGAAATCATGTGTTTAATAGAATCTCCATTTGGAATTCTATTGACTTCCCTTGCATGGAAGTTGTCCCTGACTCGGGGTATTTCCACAGAGAGATAGTAATGACAGTAGCTGCACTGTTGAAAGCCATGAAAACTGAAGCGTTTTCTGGTTACTTACATATTAAGTACCTTCAACCCTCTCAAAAGTCAGCAGATCATGTTGCCTAACCATGTCAATCTTACATTAGTCATGAAATACAGAACGAATTGCCATCACAAATCAATTAGAAAGGGGGCTGAGTTAACTCTCCCACTTTAGTTTTAAAGGACATAATGTTTTAAGTTGACATTTAACTAATGTAGGCAAAAAATATCAAAATATTTCTGTTTTTTTAAATTCAGTTAACAATAATTTGAGATATCAATTAGTTTACACTATTATCTGTTGTTTAGTTTCATCCGTGGTTCAAATTTTTTTTTCTTACAAACTCGTTTATATTTTACCATGTCCAAAGATAAAGAAAATTAAATTGAACCAACCATGAAATTGCAGTGTAGGCATGTATAGTGAATCTATTTTGTTTTAATGAAAGTTTGTATCGGGAAAAATTAGAATCAACATCATTTCTATCATTTAAGTATTGTTACATTGATAAAAATTGCTACTATTACCATTATTATCATCACTTCTTTTAGTAATATCATTAATATTTTGGTGAAGAAGATAATGGTAATATCAAGTGGGGATGTAAAATGAAGGTCACAACAGTCTTGGAGTAAAGGATGGTTTAAGTCATTTATAATTAAATAGGATAATTTCTTAGCTCTCTAAACTATGAATCTCTTCTTTATCTCATAGGTTCCTGATGTTCTTTAAAAAAAATTAATTTTTATATGTCAAAAAATCTGAAACAATAAAGGGAGAGACCAAAATAATGTCGAAAAATTTAAATAAAAATCGTTTAACCATAACTATTTATTGAGTCATAAAAGTTTTACTATTTCCTCTTGTAATTTCACATTTCGTAAGAAATAAAAAACGTGGTTGTATTGTTCTTGGATACCAGGAATGTAATTTTCGCATGAAAAAGTAAATAAAAATTAATTTCACGAATACTTGTCTTCCTGTTTGCACTTTTTACTGATTTATTCCATTCATACTAACACACGAACAAACAAAAAACCAACAGTAACTTATAAGAATTATTTTTATTTTTAAGGAATTCAACAATGGTAACGCCCGGCAGAGAGGTCTCTAAGTAACTGGTTTTATTTTGGCTTATTATAGGCTTAGAGGTTAAATTTTTAAGCTGTATAGAGCTTTCATTTTCTATAAAAGGCCTCTCCGAAAAGCTGGAAAAAATTGCTTGGTACCGGAGAGCCAGGGACTCATGTTGAGGACCTCTAGACTGATTGCAAGTCCGCCTAGCTTACCATTCGGTCACGCTGACTCGCTAAATTTAACTTCGAGGCGACCGAAGGGCAAGGGAAGGGGGCGTTTCGTTCAGGTCTACATCTCAATTAGCCCTTATTTTCATTTTCAGAGCGGCACTTATCGAAGAAAATGTTTAGTAGGCCTGTAATCGGCTTTAGTAATAGGGGGTCGCCTCTAATAGATAGCCTAAGTTTGATAAATCGCTATTCTTATCTGAATCAAGGAAAAATATAATTATAAGCTATTTCTGTGAATTTTTCGGTGTAGGACAGCTTGAAAGGCTTGGGTCATGAGTTTTCCTTCTAACCAAAAGTTTTCGTAATACTCAAGCTGATTAAACTCGCTGCATCTCAGTACCAGGATAGATTACAGCTAACAGTCTTTTACATTCACCTCTTTCATTAATTTAGAATTGTGCTTCGAGAGGCTTAAAAAATTTACATATTCCGCATATAACGATCCCTGTCATTAATAACACTTACCTTTCTTTGTCTTTAATTTATTGACGTCACGCCAACCATCAATCACTTGTACAAGGCTTTCACGCGAGCCAATTGGTGTTGAGGCGAACACAAACTTTTTAAGGCACAACTTGCTGACAAAGAATATTTCTTTTGCTACTTGAGTTGATCTTGCACTCTCTCCTAGTACCTAAACGAACAAAAATAACAAAATTACAATATTCCGGTTTCTGTTTCTAATGGAAATATCTGACGCAAAATCGAAATTCCGCTTTCGGGTTGAAAGAGTAATTTGGTGATACAACTTCGCCCCTCCTGTAACTTAAAGGTATCTTCACGCTATGCAAGAACTCTCGAATAGCGTCGAGCTAGATACCTTCTTCGAACTCTTAAACACCCTGTACGTTCTGTAGTCAAGTCACTGTCAAACCACACAGAACTCAGTTAAACACAAAATCCTTCCCTGGTAATTTTCAGCCTACCCCTCCCCCCTCGCCCCTCCCAACCCCCCCGTAACCCGTCCAGGTTTATAGCAATACGTGGGCAAAGTATACCTAGCCTGTTGCATGTCTGTTTAGTCAACTTACTTTTAACCCTTTACACCCTAACATTAATATCCACATTCTCCATACTGTTCTCTATACATTTCCTAAGTTGCTTACAAGGAGAATTTGTATAACAATCAAGGGCGTCTTCAGTTGGTGATCATTTCCTTAATTTTCATGATCTTAATTTTTAAATATGGGGTGATATTTTAGGGAGAAATTATATGCTAGTCACTCTTCGGGGTTAAAGAATTAATTAAATCATATTGAATCATTATCTATCTAAGTCTCACAGAGCGACAAAATTGGTAAGACGGAAGGCATCCTATTGTGTCCCCTGGCAACTTTGTATCATGGGCCTTTTTTCAAGTCAGTCAGTTGAACGACATGTTCACGAAGCAAAGAGAATGGAGATAATTAAAGAGAATGGAGATCATGGACAAGGCTTGATAACAAGAAGGTGAACGTTATTTAAACAGCAAAGTACTTTTTGTTGAAATTCAGTGAATGAAAAATTTAAACACACGAGGGTTCCATGTAAAACTTTATAATGGCTCGAAAGGCTGACCGTTTATATATTTCACTACTCGAAAACTCGATAACCCTATATCAAACCCACTTATGAAAATGCAATGCATGCCGCGGCCTATTGCGGAGAGCACATATAATACAGTCAAACTGTGTCGGCGACCACATCCACACGTTGATACCAGAAATTCCGCTTCAAACAAAGGTTAACAAAAGGTAATAACAGTAAGTCGCCCGAAAGGGATAGAGAAATGTAATCAGTAAATCAAATCAGACAACACCATAGTGATTGAACGGAAGCTCCAAAGTCTAATTGAAGAAGTCACTACGCCAACTCAATAGCAGTGTAGGACTTAATTTGCACAAGTACAATTTGCATAACCTCAAGATAACACACATCACCAAAAATAGATACTCCAATTTCCAATGCAAACGTTATCAGATGATAAATTAAACCAAATATCGAGTCCCACAATTTAGTTAAATGCATTCCTAATGAGTTCAAATGAGAACTTAAAGCGTCCAAGTTGACTGACGTAAAAGAAATGTTAGAACATGAAAGAGTCAAATATCGATATGTGTTGTGACACATTCACCGATGATTTTCGTAGACTTCACTTGAGCGCAGAGGTTGGAAATAAAAACATTTCCTTTCCCATTGTCACCCTCTACAAAGAGGTAAATCGTAACGATTCAAGCATGAAAAGCATCGCATTTATTTTCGAATAATAGACCCATCAAAGTCAAAGAACGGTTTTGTTTACTCCACGTGGGAAGTTGCTAATATAACACCTGCTCTTACTGACCTCTAGAACTTTTACATTGTTTTTTCTTGACATTAGAGATATTTCGTGTTACGAAAAATAAAAGACGTCATTTCATTCCAGTGAAAGGAGAAAGTAAAACCTTTTCTTAATTTAAAGCTTTTCTCTAGTATTCTCAAAATAACGTCGCAAAAACACTCGAACAACCAACGACAAAAATTGGTTGTGTTGGTGATCACTTTAATGTGTCTTTTGTTGGTTTTCACTTGTATAGCAAGTGAGCAAAAACATCAACCTTCAAGAGAATATAACAGCGTGCAATACTGGCGACCAACAGTTAATATTTTCATTAAGTAAACCTGATTAAACATACATCAGGGCAAAGAAAGTTTGTTAAAAATTGAAAACTAAAACCGTGTACAATTTGTGTCTCATAAGTAGTTAAATTTCATCGCCAGCAGTGAAGGACGAAAAAACGTGCGCAGGAAAATTGAAAAAAATCGAATTGAAAGAAGTCCTCTTTAAGTTCTAGGCACTGAGCTGCCTGCTTGCCCCTTTAAAAATCTGGTTATTTAAAAGAAAACTATAGACATTGTGGGCTTTTCAGCAATTTTATGAAGGCATAATTTGGCAACCAAAATCGAGATACATGATGTAAGCAAACCACTAAATGACAAACATAACACAAAGTTCAATTACAGATAAAAAAGAATAATTCACGCTGGAACAATAAATAAAATGTAGAGTTAGAATACGAAGGTGCGTCATTTTCTTGTTAAAAATATGCCTTTGATAATTTGTACGGCAAAACCATTCGCTTTCATATTCAAGGAAAAATCTTACTCTCTCAACTTGAGGAAATGTGATCATGAACAACCAATTTTGGTATCAACATACATCATCAACGCAGCCATCATATGGTGTTTTCCTTTCGTACTCACATGAGATATGATTCTTCGTAATCCAGTGTTCTTCATCTTTACCATCTCAAAACGAGTGGACCCTTCAAACTCCATCAGACATCTCCGTTGCTAGACCGTCGAACAGCTCGAAGACTGAACTCCTTTCCCTGTCGGGACAAAACATTTTCGATGTAATTACTTGCATTTCAAACTTCCAAAGCAAATATTTTCTCTGTTGATGAAAGCTGTTCGAGGGGGCCCGATATTATATTCTTGCAAATACTGTATGTTATCCATCCTGAGAAGTCGATCAATATTCATGCCCCATAATGCCTCGCGACAAATAATAGATTTAAGAGAGGTAAGGCAGTAATGTATTACTTGATAAACCTCTTTAATAGTTTCCACGCATTCTTCAATTGTTTGTGAAATAAGCTTTCTTAACAATGTTACAATTCGTTTCATTCCCTCTTCTCCTGCGACCAGAGAGGAAAATGCCAGCTTCATAAGTTACTGCAATAACAGCCATATCGCGGTTACTTTCAAAGGTTTTCCGCTGCATATATTGCGGAGGGCTGCTTTAAAAAACCTCTAACTGAAAAGAATGAATCTTCCGGTTTAGGTGATTCGCACTATAGATAACAACTGATGTATGAAAGGAGAGAATGGTTTGACTGTCAAGTACTATCGGCTAACCTCGTACATCAAGGTAATAAGAGTTCCCAAGACATCTTTTCAGTGTCTACTCGAACGTCAATCCTTATCTATATTGCTAACGATCACTTAATGGTTCAAGTCACTGCTCACGTCAAAATTTAATTAGAGTAACCTTATCGAAAAACCATCGCAACAAAAATGAGAAACAGATAAGGAACACTCAAAATATATTTAAGAAAAAAAAAATGAAAATTTTATGAATTAGAAAACGTAATGTTTAGTGAAATTCATTTTGGATACCTTCGTCAGAAACTACTACAAAAAATTTTCAGGACCTTTATTACCGTTGTTGGTGCGCACAGATTGTTCATGAACACCCCGTTACGAAGCTTAAACGTCGGGTTGTGCACCCACGCCTTTAATTCCATTTTTGTAAATGAATTAAATTTACTTCTCTCTTGCAACCTATGCTGACTAAGTTTCTCTAAAAAGCTCTTACGTTGAAGGATATCCCATGGCATTATACCATGTATCATTATATCAAGGGGTGAACAAAGTTCTCTTTTAAGAAAATTACTCTAGAAGAATTGTATCAAATCTCTCGTTTACCGAACTGCACCCCACACACTTCCCTGCTCACTCCTATTTTTCCAAATGTTTTCTTCCCAACATTTCTCACAAAGTTTGGATATGTAAATAACAGTATGTCGGAAGACATCTGACAACGACTAACGGGTGAGTTTTCCATACGCCGACCATTGCTAAATTGCAAGATTTGTTTAGAAAAAATAAGCAAAAAAAAAAAGATGCTGGCAGATTCTAAAATTTTATTGGTGAAACCATCGCAATTTAAAGCATATTTCGGGATGACCAAGATGCAGCGTCTTTGCAAAGTGTTTGGGAACAGTATTCAGGAACGATGTTAAAATGGTAGACGTCGAAATCAGAAAATATTTTCGACCATTTAAGACCAGTGAGATGCTCCTGACTCTCTAGATCTAAGTTGTTGGATGTAGAGATCTGGGTGATTGATGTGGCGCGTTCAATAGCTATAAAGCGTCTAACCAAATAGGCAAGCATTGTTACCATGACTAACGACTCTATGAAACATTGAGTTCACTATAAAGTTACCTACTCTGGCATCATTCAATATGCAACGAATTCCTTCATACTTTACCATTGTGGCGTGTAAAGAAAAACAAAACGATATCTGTAATCGGTGAGGTAAAACTAAACCAGCAAATCATTTGTATCAATGCGTAATAGTATACTAGTGCCCAGTACTAGACGAACTAGCATTCGATTCTACGATAGCCTCACGTTGGAACAGAGGCAAAGATAACCCCTGTAATTCATGAACGAAAACAGCGCAAGTTAACCTTAAGGCCCCGTAAGGAATCTGCTTATTATCCCTCGGCTTCCGGGGTACCGTCACCCGCAAATGAAATACAATGACGGAAATATTTCAGAACGAGACATATTTCGGTCATTTCAACAAGAAGGAGTTCGGCGTCGAATATCATAGGTGTCAAAAGTTAATTTTGATTCAGTTATGTCGTAAACACGAACATGACTAACTGACTAGCCATTCACAGAGTAATGAGATCGCACTAATGTATTTCAATTTCTAGGTGGTTTTACAGCAAAATGAGTACGTTCACCACAGAATTGATTGATTCAGGGTATAACGAAGATTAGAAGACGCGGCTAGGGTTCCTCGTATCAAACTAAGTTAAAGTAACGAGTAAAAGATAAAAATATGCTCCATTAACTGTCAGTGGTGTTTACTGGCCAAATTACATCGGTTGGGGTTCAACTACATTTACCTCTGACAATGAACGGTTCAGCGTTGCGGGTTTGTGAACGTGATGGAATGTTTTCTCAACACTTGAACAACAACGGTAGAGGTCAAGAACTGTTTGTTAATATAGCAGAAAGTTTTGAAACTACTTCTATCATCAGAATTAAGGTTGCAGCGATACTGCATCCCAGCTGATATTTGTGAAAAAGTGTTTCCCCTTTATCCAGGGTTAGGAAGCCTAAGCCTCAAGTCTTCCCGTTGACTTGATCATACCATGGACACCAAATAATTGCTGTAATAAAAATATCCCACACAAAGCGGGATGTTTAATACGCTTTTGAAGGCAGCATTCGGAGACGTCAATGTCGACAAGGGTGGATGAGCAAAATGAAAAAGAAAATAACTTACGCGCGTCAAGCAAGCATAAGAGGGAATCAGCATTTACTCAGCAATTTCCACATTTCAATTACAGTCATGATGTCCAAAATACCTTACTAATGGATTTATGAGGGATTAAAAGAGAAAGATATTATTGAAGACTGAGAGTCTGGCTTGACGCCAGAGAAGGGGCGATTTTTATTTTTAGCTGTATTGTTTGAGGTCACTGAAAGGTTATTCACATGACTGAAGGAACGCGTGAAAGCACGCAATAATATTTCCGATATTCCTATTCCGAGCAACGTTTTCAAGGTTGGCGAAGGTCACTTTGGAGTGAACTTCAATTCACGTAACTTACCGAAAACACAGAATTCAGATCATCGTAATGAAAACAATTCCATGAAACATCCGAAACGGATTAAGAGTTCACGAGAAGCTAGATGAGCACAAAGCAAATGAGGCAAAGAGATTTATCAACTTTCAATTTCAAACGGAAAGTCGCGAGACTCAAGAAGGACTGTGCATGGATACGATCTTCAGTTTCAGATCACCTTTGAGATGGGGTAGTGCATTTTCGCATGATATGAAAATGTACAGGACAAGTCAACTGAAGAATGGACCAAGCAAAGCAAAAATGTGAAGAGTATGTTTCTAATGAAGCCATTAGCATAGGAACAGGATCATGACCACCCCCGCCCGCCTCTCCATGACTGATTCCCCTACCTATTGTTATCCCGGGTGGCCCCGTTTGCCGCATCCGGGGCCCAAGGTACTTTTAGGTCTGCAACTTCGTCTCGGACGCAAACTCCGTAAAGAACAAAAAACAACTGGAGGAAGGCAACGAAGGCCACATCACAACAAAAACACGATAGCTTCGTTTGCCAGTGCGTACATCTATGAGTCGTCCACAGGAGCGAGATTTCGGGGTAAGTAAACGATTTAATGCTTCACGAAATGGAAAAGTTACGTACAAAGCACAAGAGAGAAGGAACTAAAGGTACCATTTAATCTACTACGATTTATTTTTGCGTGATTTTGAAAAATTGTCGTCAAAAGTTACACACTATGAAGAGTTCTTTGTGACAACCTATACTTTAGCCAGGCATATTAGGAAATAGTCGAAACTACTTGACTGCTCATTTAAATGAATTGGTTCTTTTTCTCTTCTTTTTTAACAGCTGGTTCTAGAAAGCATGATTCCGTTACACCGAGCTTTTGGCACTTTAATGCGCTCAGTGATGAAGTACCTGTACACGACTTCTTTTGAAGGGTAGTTAAAGAAACATCTAACATAAAAAAAGAAGTACAATAAAATTAGCAGGCTCGGCGAGGTTTGACTAGCGAAAGTCAATTATTCATTATGACTCAGTTCATTGAAGATAAGTCGTAGTGACGTTGTTCATATCTAGCATAGTCTACAAAACAAGTACCTGTGATATTTCATTTTGTAACATTTCCAAATGGAGCCCTTGTTTTTGGTGCTGATATATATATTTCTTGGTCAATTTCAAACTAGGAATTCACGAAGCCTCAATTTGAAGCTATTTGTAGCTTCATTGTCAAACTGAAGCAGGACCTTAGGTTCATTGTTCTCCCTGATAAGTAATGGCATTCAATAAGATAATTCGATTTACGTTACTATTAAAAAATATTCAAATACAATTTTAAACCACCTAGGCTCTTTAAGTTTGTCACTGTCAAATGCAGTAAATAAGTGATCAAAGACTGTTTTGAGATGGAAGGCAAAAGCAACGCCTACAACTCACAAAACACAAATTCAACCAAGCCATGTTTTTATTAATCTTTATTTTTATTACTTTTTATTGCCAGGGAAGAGATTAATGAAAGATGGGGACAACTTAACTGGGTAAGTGTTTATCAAGTAATTTTAGAGCATTACCACTCCTTAAAAAAATGCAGATGAGGTTGAGATGGCAGGGACTCGTGAAACAGAAGAATGAGTACGCTCAATTCTTAACTCTTCTATTGACCAATTACGTGGGACAACATAAAAATCTGTACCACTGAGTCAGCCTTTGTTATAGACGATAAAACCTTCAGCTTTAATAAGATTCATTTTCTTCTCCTCAATATTGGTAGGAAAATCCAGGTCACGAAGAATTTAATTCAGTCACTGTATGCCTTAGACAACAAAATATAATGCTGCAAGTAAGTGCTTAGAAAGAATTTGTAATCTTTCGATAAACATGAGAAATCGAACAGACAGAAAACAAAAGTATATTTTTTCTCAATCTTCTTTTTTCAGGAAGATCATCGCCAAGGGAGAGAGACCTTAACACGCAAGAACTTGATAAATCTCGCTCAAAACCTTTGGACGTATTTACTTTTAAACAATTCAACAAGAATGAGGACATTTTCAAGGTAAATAAATATTTGTCCTCTAGGTGGTCTGGAAGAGTAATGAAGAGCTCAAAGCAAATATGTTGAGAGGTTGCATACAAAGTGCTGGAAGAAGAGTCATGATATGATCTATTCCTACAGTCAAAGCGTAATACTTTCTTTTTTGTTATAGTATGTATCGTGACGGAGGATGGACACAATTTTCCTCGGTAAGTGGAGCTAAGACTAATAAGAATGACAGCACTTAGGTTAAGCGCCCCCAATTTTCATCATGAACAGTGCCAAGAAAAGATGAACAACTTTGTATTTCCTTTAACTTTCCTTGACTTCTCTGAAAGAGGTCAATTTACCCTGACTCAAAGGGAAATTCCCTGACTTTTCCTTGACCTCCATCAAAAGGAACGAGAACTTCTTCATCAGATATTCCATTATATCAGGACTTAAGCTTGTTCGACTTGTTTTGCACCTTGGAAATTTATGTTTTTGCAATGTCCTCCTGTCCAATTTACAGCGACATGTCACAACGTTTGAGCAAAGAGTACAAATGTTGCTGCAATTCTTAAAGGTGTTCACAGCCAAGTGGAAACCACAGGCCTCACAGTTCACAAGGTAATTAACAGAATTACTCCACGGATGGGAACATTCAAAACATCTCCACCAAATGAAAATCAACCGAATATCATCAATGTTTAGACCTCTTCAAACAAATAGGCGTGAACTCTATCACAATAGAATACGTGAATACCATAAAATGCTGCCTTTCTCTCAACTTTTAACAAAGATTCAACAATGTTATTTCAAGTTTACAAGATGTTGGCCACTGTTATAATTTGTTATGGTACCTCAAGAACAACATGTTGTTTCGCATAGCATTTCTCCAGTTTGAAGCCAGTTATAGCATAGACTTAAGAAAAAGGAAGCAGTTGAAGATAAAGGTTGTTAGAACAAAATAATTGTAATTCTGCTACACCTGCACCATGCCAATGGCTTTACTTACTGTTCGACATAATGTGGTGCTCTTGGTCAGGGACGCCAATACAACAATGGTGAAAACTCCTCTGGTCACTAACCTGTAACCTTAACTGTTTCGAAACTATAGAGCCGAGAAAGCTGATCAGACGTTTCGTAGCTTGAATAACATCACACAATTTCATATTTTTACTAGAGAAATTAGTTCAATACCTATCTACAATACACCTTTAAGAAAATATGCAGTGATGTAGGAAGACCACTGAATGTCCAAATGGCATTTGCAGCGATACATAAAGCCTCTGGCAAATACGGCATTATCTCTGCACCTTTTTTAGCCTTACATCAAAGCTTAACACAATTGACTCCATTTGGACTGTTCTGGCTTCTCAATAATACATGTATGGCTGCCAAAAAAAGTTCAGAATCAAAATCACTCTGCCTTTATTATTTCTATATCCGTGGTTTCAGTTTTCCAAATTAAATAATTCTGGTAGCACATCTCTGTGTGGTGTGGCAAACCATAGAGCATGATCGGAAGTTGGAATGACCTTCTGTATCGAGGACACATGACCATTGTTTGGGACAACATTTCCATTTAGAACACACTTTACGTTCCTCAACATTTTAACTGACTCCTTAACTTATGGGATCCAGCTTTCTTTCCCATCACACCACTAAGTTATCTTAAAGGCTTAAAAATGTACCAAGAATTGTGGCAGGATCCTCACTTTCCCTTTTGTAGATATTACAGTCTTTCGTAATGCAACATTACGACCTCACCTTAGTTTTTTTGTTTGTTTGTGCAGATCAAATGATATTAACCTGGAAGAGTTTGGGATTCTAAATGAATATTCGGTGAGTTAATGTCATTGCAGTTAATACTCAACTCAATGTTACGTTATATCAAGCATGTCTAAAAACTTTTGGGTTACTTTCCCCACTCTGAATAATGAGACTTATCAGATTCCAAAGAATAATCTCTCGTCAACCTAACAAATGTCTTAGAAAATCCATGGCCTTTTAAGCACATTGCAGCTTTGCGCATGCATCAAGAACATGGGAAAACAATTGTACAGCTCAGTCATGTCCTAATCACAGTAAAATGAAACCTGTTATAAAACAGTCCATTGAGATAACAAATAGGTAACACTTCCATCTGTTGTTTGATCCACAGGAATCGCTGTAATCTGCTGCTGCATTGGACTATTGCAGCAACTGAATATAAAGGGTTGAAAAAAGAGATTTAATGTAACGATTCAAATGTTTGAAAAACTCCTTGTAACCCAATTCTAAAATCGGAAAAGTCCATGCGATTTACCTTTGCAGGGCTGCTTGATTTTAAACTGGTAATTGATCCATATGACAAGCTGTAACAGTTGTATTGTTCGGGCATCTCATATTTATTTTTGTACTAATTTAATGACAATGAATGCTTTTATAGTAAATCAAATCATTTAAGATGGCAAAACAAGTGAAATGTTCAGACATTCGTAAAACAAGTTCGATCAAAGGGTTAAGAACTGCCAAAACTCTTTTCGAAGAAATAAGTGGTAGCTGTGACCCTTTGCCATTTAACTAACAAGAACTCGTCTTCGCTTCACTTATCAGCAAAGAGGCAAACAAATGTTTTACAAGTGTAATCACATTTGTGATTTCAGTTGCTATGATAACAGTTTTAATGTCCCAGTTGAATTTAAAAAGGCTAACATTTAAGATGTTTGAAGTAGTGCAAGTCACCTTAGTGGTAGACTTACCACGGTTGGAAAATTTTTATGTTTCTAAAAGTTGAGAAAATGTTGAAGTAAGGTTAAACCATAGGAATAACTGAAGCTAGTTATTTATTAATCAGACTATATTTTTGTACTCCACTCATGGATGGTTTGATCTATAAGTACACAAAGCACATATTTCACTTCCTTCAATTTTCAGTATAAATGCAAAGCGTAATTAACGTCACCTCCACTCTAGTGAAGTACCCATACAGCAAAAAGTGAGTGAAAGTCAGTTATCTCATTGATGTAACATATTAATTCTGAACTGTTTGAGGACATTTTCTTGCTTCCAATAAGTATAAGTATCTTAACAACTTTCCCATGATGCGTTTTGTAATAAATGAATAAGCAAAGAAATAAACGAGTTTAGATTTTGGAGAAGGTGCCACTTGCTTTTCAGTCACATGTATCAGTCCCTTAAAAGCGACGACTTCAGCTTGAAGCTTCATAGACGCCGATGGGTCGTTCACAGACCAATCATTTTGGCCTTTGCAACAGTTGTTCAAATCGGTGGGGGTCTATCTTTTTTGAAAAAAAAAAAATTCAAGGAAATGGCAATAAACTCCCCAACAACCCAGCTCCCACCACTACATTACAGCTGACTTTTAGCATTATCTTTTTGTCGTTTTTTTAAGTTTTCTCTGGTATAAGTAACCATCAACCAATGATTGCCTACCACTATTCTAGAGTGTGTTACTTAAAATCAATTACTATCGAAATACATGCACACTGAATTGCTTGTGGGACGGCGCTTTGAACTGGGTCCGAGTACGTGAAGTTTTCAGCGTCTTGCTATTCTCCTTCGATTTGAAGCAACAGTTCCGAGTTAAACGGAATCAGTGGGGTCGTACAACAAACATTTTGATTTGATCTCTTAGAACAGAATTACATGAAGACATTCCCTATCAGGATGCTCGTTGATACCCCCGTAATTGTTGTTTTGGGGGATTTTAAAAGAGTGTTGCTCAAGATAACAAAGTGGAAGCGTGTCTGCATAATAGCACCATTAGCCAAACAAGCTATAAACCACACAAATGAATCACTTACCGTTCTACGGTTCTTTGTGTTGTTAAATCTCTGGCTTCCCTTTGTGAGTACCACACTTGATAATCGGAGGAGTGGGAAGAGTACCCTGAGCGGAAGTCAAAAAACGGGAACGAAATATTACTTTCACTCAATTTTCCTCCAATTAGAGTGCATTTGCATAACTAGAACGTCAAAAGGGTCAATAGCTTTTGATGGAAGATAAAAAAGACGAAAAGTGCGGGTGCGAAGCCTTCACAAATTTATCGAAACAGTTTTTATTTTTTTATGGTTTAAAAAAAAACTTCCAAATTTGATTTGTAGTATCTGTTATTTACAACATGTAAATCTGTACGGTGATAACGCTGAGGTGACTCGACTATCCAGTTCATTCCATCTTTTTGTCGCAATTACGTAATGGCTGCATGGTTGTTAAATCTTCTGACACAATTGCTTGTTACCTCTTACGACTGGACCAGTGAACGGTAGCAGGCAGTTGAGTCACTGATATGATTCTCAATTCCAAATAAATCTCAGCTCAAAGAACAAAGACCCAAGAGGGGAGGGGAATGTTTGGCTGGTCGCTTTATCAATATGATAGATAGAGACAGACAGAGAGAGACAGATGAATAAAGGGGGTAGGTTTCTAAAGGAACTGTGGTGCCGCGTCAGTGGGAGAGTATAACAGGGTAATTTAGAATTATTAACCCGGTTGATAACATAAATTGGCTACCATAAAGAATTTGAAATGGACAGATGGACAGATAGACAGATACATAGACAGATATATAGATATATAGATAGATATCTATATAGATAAATACACAGATGGATAGAGAGACAGATGGATGGATTGATGGACGGACGGATGGACGGATGGACGGATGGACGGACGGATGGACGGACGGACGGACGGACGGACGAATTCTTGGATAGACAGATGGGCCAGGAGCAATTACGGAAAGCCCGCCTTTCTGAACAGGCTCTAGGTCTTCGCTTAAATAGGCAAGCAATACATGTTCATATAAGGGCGCGCGCTACTCTAACCTATATATCATGAGCCGGAATATTTGCCCATTTCAGCAGGGTAAAGAAATGTTTGCGCTTATAGGCCTTTTTGATTACATCAGAGACATCAAAATTCCATTGAAGGATATTAGATATGGTTATCCTTAAAATTTTGAGTTGACCATTACAGCGCCTTACTAGTATTTGGTTCTCTTGCATTCAACAATAAATTCTTTGCACTTATTTGGGTTCATCTGAAGAGTTGTTGTTTGCAGACCACTGCTCCACTGCTGTTGCAGCGCTTTGGATTACACTTCCAGTACCTTTTGGAATAACGCCAAATTGGTTCGGATCGATCTTCTCAAGGATAGCTGGGCCTACGTAGATACTTGGGGCAAAATCCTCGAACAACTTTGGCAAGGCTGGGGTTATCGAGATGGGTCCTATATGCTAGGTAATAACAGTGACTGGTTTCTCCTCAAGCAGAAGGACTACGTCAGCACGGATGGTAGCGGCAGGGGTGGTCGGTATGTCGCAAACAGGATGAGCGAGGAAAACAGCAAAGTCGCAGAGAAGTTAGTTAAAAGGCCATCAGAGCTACTTGCCTTTCGGGAATTCAGCGCAAATAACGCTGAGCAGACCTCATATGCACTGAGCTTTAGAACATCAGTGTCATGTGCGACTAAGGGCAGACTTAAAAAGTGGGCTGTAATTTTGCATATGCTCGAGAAGAGCCGTACTGATCAAATTCGCAATATCTTGGTATGATCTTCCCTTGTCACTTTCAAGATGACTGCATCAAGATGGAGATGTGATCTTATGTCCTCGCATGAGCGTCGGTAATCGTTGCTCAAACGAAATGTACACGGTTCAATTTTCAATGATTTAAATAATTGCATCTGTTAGAATGCTTAAAAAAAGAAGGTCTAAAACCATCGGAGCGCTCATCGATTGAGTGTCGTAAAAATAAAACCCAAAGTAATTAACACAAAAAAAACCTATGAAGAATAACGTTGCGTTTTATCACATGTTCGCACGTAACAACATTTCGTGCAATGGATACGAACGAAATACAATTACTCACCCGCCTAAACGAGGGAGTTCAATATCAACATGAACCTTGTTGCCGAAAACGACTAACACCATCAAAAACAAAATAAAGAAAAGAGGCAACCCATGCCCCCCGCATTCTCCCCTGAGGTTCGTCATTGAACTGACGGTAGTGCTCTTTCTTTTTTCTGCTAAGACTTATTTCTGCAAATCAAGAGCAAGAGTTAAAACCCTGCACAAAACTTTTATGCCATACGGTATTTATTGCCATTCACTTTAGCAGGAAATGTAGCAATATTGTGGAATCTTATCAACGGACAGAGTTCTGTCCGTTTTCACGTCATATTGGCCCACAGGTATGGCACATTTGCACCACAGGCGTAAACCTTTGATCATCACGAAAAAGCCGAAGGAATTTCTTATAACCACAACTTTTGACTGGGAAATATTCAGCTGTCATGTCTGACGATTTAATTTTTTTGTAAATAGGAAATGGTTTCCTGTTCGGCAAATGAAAAAGCAGTTCAAGTCTATTTTTAAATCAAAATGGTCACAAATCTGAGACAAATGTTTGTTTTTACAAGTTGCGGAAACTGAGGTCCAAAGTGGAACGATATGTTGACAAGTCCGGCGAATGATTCCATTTAAGTTCATCAGTGCCGAATAACTCTTGGGGAATATTAGACAAAACACTTTTCAAAAAAAGGAAAATATACATGTCACTCTTGGCAAATCCTAGTAACGCCATGAAATGAATACATAAGAGCAAGTCTCAAGGCACTAAAAAAGGTTCTCTGTAATTTTACCATTAAGGAGATCACTGCAACACTTGCACTTGAAAGGATATCTGACATGGTAAAAATAGAGCGAAACTCGTGTTCATACGTAGGGATTGAACAGATAAAATTTCCTTGTAAATATCAACCGTATGCGAACTGAAATCTCCACCCAACGACGAGCATAATTGGTGCAATGTTGCCGTCACGCACATGTGGTTATGTATGGTTGAGGACACAGGTGGCATCTTTAAATTGAGACACAGAATTATCAAAACAACAAGGAGAGCGAGATCAAGGCGATTATCAACCAAAACTTTTGATACTCGGCGACTTGATCGTTCAGTGTTGTCAATGTCTCTATTTTAGTCGTAACAGAAAGATAAAACAAAGCACGCCTCTAACACGAGCGTGAGGGCGAAACTCGGAGTGAGTTAAATAAACACAGAATTTACCTTATAGAGCGGGTATCACGCGGACCAAGGAACAAAATGTAAAGCGATTTAGCGAAGTTTGTAGTCCGTAGTCCACGTTTTTAACTGACCAAAACTTTAACGTAAGGCCGGTCAGCTGACAACGTAACTTCCGCTTGTAATCGTAAACTACGTTCCATCAGAGACAAACAACGAGTGAAATATAGCTAAGTGAATTCGTGTATATTATTACATATTCGAAATCATGACAGGTACCACAAAGGGAAGGCTGACTTGAAATCAAAACGGCTTAAAAGAAGGAAAGAGAGGTTTTGCCGCACAATTATGACACTCACCAAGAATACGAAGTGTAAGACCATCTCGAAAATAAATCGGGGCAGATAGGATCGAAATAAAAGTATTCACAACAGAGAGGAGTCAATTATTTTGTGCAAACTCTGATCTATGCTTTCTCAGACAGTGGAAAACCATGTCTTTCTCTATCTCCAAAGGGCATCGCAACCACAGCAGGATCATGTAACAACGGCATAACCGAGAAAAAATTAAAATCAAAAGAGCACGCGCGACAAATGAAGACAGCATATCGAAACCAAAATGTTTCCCCATCGACAGCATTCGACGTATTCGACGAGAAAACTCAAGGAATGCTAAAAGCCGAACGTCCTCTGCTAAGTCTAAAAAATTATTTCGAGTTACATAATTATCCATCTCATAATAGCCAGAAAGACTGCAGTTGGTCGTTGATTGGGCTAAAATCTAGAAAATCAAAGGATAACAGAGCACACTGGTGTTTACTCACAGAAGGTACATACGAATGAAATAAATTTCGCTCACCCCAACAGTGTGGCTACGTACATGTCTATCTAACTAGTGCCCTTAGACTGCCAACAACTACTGTACTCTGAGGAAACGTGTCAATGCCCTTTAGCCAAAGGACGACTGCTGCGTAAATATACAAAATACGATCACGCGTAAATTTACATTTATACCTGTGTTATATCTTCATCCCTGAGGCAGAGATCCATAAACACTTGATAAAATGGTCTCTCTATCTTCAAGAAGTACTCAAGCATCAACGCACTGTAGCGAGTGTTGCACATAAACGCTACAAATAATAAAAGACTTATGTTATTATCTCATCACGTGCTACTGAGCCCGCGGTAGTTGTACGAATAAGTAGTAAGACATGAGCACATGAGCACATGAGCCAGCACGTGTTTTAAGTTACTTAAATATGCATTGGTCCCTTTTCTGAATGCATTTGAGAGTATATTAAAACTAAATAAAACACGCTGTAAACAAACCTATACCAAGAGTGCAGAGCCAAATTTTAGCATGCATTCTAATTTTCCAACACATATTACGACGGATGTAAATTTAACCATCGAAACGGAAAGTTTCAATTTTTAGCCATGTAGATCTTAAACAAATGAACCTCCCCCATACGAACAGGAATTTTTTTCTTCCGATATCTCCCGACCCACGCATCAATGCTGTAAATACGCACCTATTCTATGTCTACATTTTATGAATTAACACATGGCAGAACAACAGCATCTTTATTGGCAACATTCCCGCTATATATAAAACAAGGAAAATTTGCGAGCACGAAATAACCCACACAAGTTGGATTAAACTTGAAAAATGTCCGGCTAACTTTACCGCTCACAATCCATGTGCGACTTGCCATGTCAAGCCTATTTTTTTTTTTTTAGTCAACGCTCCATTTATATGAGTGCATGCCTGTTTAATTAAAGCGATTGCTTGAAAGTCTGATTTATCAAACTTAAGTTTCCGTTCACTGGTAACTCGACGCTAGACAAAAGTGTTATGTCAAGGAAAGGATAAGAAAATTCACTGGGAGGGGGAAGAGGGTCCTTGTGTTCTTCTCTGTGACAGGAAGCTGACGCACACGTTCCATTCTCGTTTATTTTTCTATACGCGTGCTAACCCATCTGTAGACTAAAGCTAGAGTCTCCCTTTTAAGTGTCTATTTTTCATACACGCTTTCAATGACGGGGAGTATATATATAAAGATAAGAGTACAAAGGGGTAGTATAGAAACCAACTTTTAATTGTCTCAGTTTAATCACCACGTTTCCGCCTCAACACTTTTAATTACGATTTGTCGGCTCACCGAGCTAATATCCTATCCCCCTTGACAGGCAAATCAGACTACTCAGTTATTAACTCAGTTATTAACTCAACCATCAGTCACGAGAAAGTACATGATAACGAGGTCTTGGTACCCTTTGACGTTGAATCGTTGAATCTTTGTTTACAAACGTACCGATCGAGGGTGCAGTTCAAGTCGTATTGTGAAAACTGGAGAAAGACAGCGACCTTGCTAACCGCACAAACTTAACACCTACACAAATTGCCGGTATGTAGATGACACTTTCGCAGTCTAAGACCGGGACCATGTCAACGGCTTTTTACAACATCTAAACAGTCAACAGTCTACTATTCGTTTCACCATGGAAATCGAGAAAGATAACCCCCTTCCTTTTCTCGACACAACAGTTGCAAGGGACTCAGACGGTCTTCTCAACACCACTGTCTACAGAAAGCCAACCCACACTGACCATTATCTAGCCTATCATTCATTCCTCGGTCAGTGAAGCGTGGTATTGTTAAGTGTCTGTACGACCGAGCTAAACACTTCCCAACGAAACTGTCAGTTATTTAAATCTATGACCGTTCTCCTTTACATAAAGGGTGTATCAGAGATTCTTAGTGCGACCTAGAGACGCCTTAAAACCAACGAAACAAAACGGTGTCGTTTACAAGATGATTGCGGTAGAGTGTTTATCGGTGAAACAGGGAGATCAATGCGAGAAAGGATAAAAGAACATGACAGAGACATACGGTTTGCTCGTACTCAGACCTCTGCGGTTTCGGAGCACGCTAACGAAACGGGGCATATTCCTATTTGGAGCAAGGTTAATTTTATTGATCGTGACCCTCACTGGTGCACACGTAAGGTCAAAGAGGATATTAATATAAGATTTCATCCCAAAAACATCAATAAGGATAGTGGAATCGAAATTCCCGAAGCTTGGATACCCACGATCGAACAACGCTACAGCCGATCAATGCGGACCTATGAGGGAACACCATCTAACGACCAGAATGATAATGAGGATCGAAATGTACCAACATTGTGGCAGCCAACCAACGTGCTACAAATAGCGACACGTAAACAATCAACCTCATCGCTTGATGAAGACTAGCAGTATTGCAGTGGAAACGTCGCGATCAACATCATGATTTCAGACCAAATTGCACTCCACCCAGTTCAATTACCACCATTGATTATTGCAATTACCGCTATTGATATTAGCCAAGAGACTGTCAGAACGTGACAATCGTTTTCGAAGAACACAAAAAATAGATTACCGTTAATGCTCGAATTAGCGCCTCAACTCGAATATGCACCCCTTCGAATGAGCACCTCTCCGATTGACCAAACCTTTAAATAAGCATCCCCCTCGAATAGGCACCCTTTTCTCCTTCCCTCCACGGTTTTAATAGGAAAGTTATGAAACAGCACTAACGAACAACCTTTTTTAAAATCACTTATAAATGCTATGAACTATTTCAATACATTCAAGAAATCACTTTCTTTTTCCTTAAATTGCAGTGACCTTTGTTAACTACCACTGATAATTTCTCTGAATTACTTCACTGTAATTCATGAAACTACTTTTTTTTTCGTCAAACTTCATCTTTGCTTTTCCGGATCCATGGTTTTTGCGCAAATTTGCCACTATCTAAATCGCAGAATCATCTTTGTTTAAAATTTAATAAAGTCAGACGAACGAGCGCGCCGCGTTATTATATAGACAATACGGCACCTAACTCGAGATACGCGGTAAAATATTACCGAAAGCCGCACCACATAAGCGCCTCACTTTAAAGCAAGAAATTCGCATAAAAATTGCATGATCGCCTTTCTTTAAAATATAATAAAATCAGACGAACGAGGGCGCCGCGTTAAGGTACCTAAAGATTTTATAGACAATAGGGCACCTAACTCGAGATAACCGGTAAAATACTATCGTAAGCTGCCCCATATAAGCACCTCACTTTAGAGCAAGAAATTCGTAAGGCACAGGTAGGGAATACCTTTCTCTCGAAAAGAAAAAAACTTGGGAACGTTTTAGGACAAACATTGTCCTTTTTTAGAAATTCTTTCCCAGTCAAATCTTAAACTCGTATTACCAAAGGGGCAATGACACTGAAACTTTTGCAAAGATAAAGCAAGCTCATGTTAACGGCGAGCCCATTTTTCCCAAACAAACAAGAGAATGCTTGATATATTAGACTTGTTTCTGCTTTATATGTATATTATCTTGTGATTAGGCCTCTAAATGGATACCACATCTGAGTCGCAGAGAGATTAATAGCAAGGCTGATATAGTTGATACAATCAACTATATCTGCCTTCAATAAACAATTACTTAACCTTTTTGTTTGTTTGTTTATCAACTAAAATACGCACTCTCAAAGGTAACATGGGTTATAAATTGGCAAACAGTAACTTTAAATTTTAAAGGATGGAAACTCGAACTGACTTGAATGCATCCGTAGGACATGTTATCCATGAAATTTTTGCACGAAAATATTACCAGGGTAAAAGTGGAAAATGAGTGTTTGAAAATAATAATGAGCGCCATTCTGGTGTCAGACTTCTTCACGCATCGGACACGAATTATTACTAATATTTGGAAGACTTTTTTCTCATTCAAATATATTTTTTATCCATTACCATTTTAATCATAACCATTGCAAAGTTAATTGTAAACATGCATGTCTCAACTACAAAACCTCGTTGATGATTTACTTTTGCATGCATCTTTTAAGCACCTGATCTTTTGAAAAATCCTGCTGAATCTTTTTACTTGATAAACAACATTTTCATGATATTCCCCAAATGAAAAAACAAACTTAACAACTGCGTCACATATCACCCAGACTGATGTTAAGGACTATCCTGGCTGATGAATTAAAACATAGAGGATAGTACAGAAGACGAATTGTCACTCATTAGATTTAACTCAAATAAAATACATGACCCCATGTGCTTCACGTCTGCAATTACAATAAATTCAGCTTATTATTAATGATTGTAAAGAAAACATAGAGAATTTTTTCAAGAAGTGTCAATTACCAATCATTATTGGCATACATTGGGCTTAGCATCAACAAAACTTCTGAAAGGTTCTGTTACAAATCTTTCAAGATGACATACCAGAGTTGTATGTGCATTTGAATTCAAATTTGAATTTCCTAGATATCAGTCCTACAAACGAAGTTACCATTTGCTGAAAAAAAAGTTGACGTAATCTTTGCAGCCAGAATATCTCAATTGAAGTGAACTTTTTCTTGGTCTTTGATTGTTTCCCCTAAAAATGTATACGCTGAGCTATACGAACAAGTGACAAAAAAGTTGCGCAAAGAAGTGCATTTGATGTAAACAGCTCTAGAAGCAAGATAACACAAGTTCCAACCATCAAAAAACAAACAAAAAACTGATTAAGAATGGGAAATAGCCTAAAATAGGCTTGATTTAATACTGTCCTATATTTTTTCATTTCAGCGCACCTCTTTAGTGAGTTTTTATACTCGGAACTAACCTATATTGCAAACTCCCTAAAATAGAGCATTCTCACCTTTCAGTGACTTAGCAGATAATTTTAATAATTCTTATCAAAGTTTTATTTTTAGTGATGACCGAGCTAGTTCTCGGCCACTCACGTGACAGCGCCGTGGGCTACCGACGAGCCAAGTCGAGATCGTCAACAAGAAAAACATGGCTACAGGGAAATCGGTGAGTAAAACTCAAATCTAAGGTAGTTTTCCTTATTTTCTCGAAAAACTCATCGCTGTCGATGAAAATGTAGGAAGTCATGCTACAAATAGAAATTTGATATTGTCATTTCAGTTAATTTTAGATGGCTTACTCCTTCCGGTTGAATACGTAGGGAACTAATCTGCCGGAACGAAACAAACACATCAAATACGATTGTTAGATGATCGAAAGTTTTCCCTCCTGTTTTATTTCTAACATAGCTGTCATTATGAAAGGGTTATCTTAAGTCATAGAGGCTAAAGTTCGAACAAATTCTCGAACAGATTCTCGGGCGACTGACAGAGTTCACTCACTCGCTGAGTAGCTTTTGCTCCAAAAAACATTCGCAGCTTGCATTCTTTAGAGGCGCTATCATTTCTGTTCTCAATGTAGCGGGATTTCTTTAACCATATACCTTCTTGGGTAGTGTAAACCTCAGGGTAATTTTTATTTTCATTTATACCGTCTTCAGTAGTGTATACCTGAGGGTAATTTTTAATTTCTTCGATGCCCTCATAGGTAGTGTATACCTGAGGTTTATAGTTATTCTCTCCTATTCCCTGTTGGGTAGTGTATACCTGAGGGTTATTTTTAATCTCTTCTATACTCTTTTGGTTAGTGTATACCTGAGGTTTATATTTATTCTCTCCTATACCCTCTTGGGCAGTGTATGTATACCTGAGGTTTACTTTTAATCTCTTCCAAACCCTTTTGGGTAGTGTATACCTGAAGTTTATATTTATTCTCTCCTATACCCTCTTGGGTAGTGTATACCTTAGGGTTACTTTAATCTCTTCCAAACCCTTGTAAGTAGTGTATACCTGAAGTTTAAATTTATTCTCTCCTATACCCTCTTGGGTAGTGAATACCTGAGGGTTTTTTTTAATCTCTTCCAAACCCTTTTGGGTAGTGTAAACTTGGGGGTTATTTTTAATCTCTTCCATACCCTCTTGAGTAATGTATACCTGGAGGTTATTTTTTAATCTCTTCTATATCCACCTGGGCTGTATATACCCTCTTGGGTAGTGTATACTTGAGGTTAACTTTTAATCTCTCCTATACCCTCTTGGGTAGTGTAAACCTTAGGGTAATTTTTACTCTAATTTTTACCCTCTTTATTAGTGTATGCCTGAGGGTAATTTTTAATTCCTTCTATGTCCTCATGGGTAGTGTATGACTGAGGTTTATATTTATTCTCTCCTATACCCTCTTGGGTAGTGTATACCTGAGGGCCCTTTTTTTAAATATATTTTATACTCACTTGGGTGGTGAACATCTGGGGGTTATTTTTAATCTCTTCTATACCCTCTTGGGTAGGGTATACCTGAGGTTTATATTTATGTTTCCCTTTACCCTCTTGGGTAGTGTATATCTGAGGGTTATTTTAAATCTCTTCTATACCCTCCTGGGTAGTGAACACCTGAAGGTTATTTTTCAACTCTTCTATACCCACCTGGGTAGTATATACCTGGGGATTATTTTTAATTTTTTTTGGGTCGTGTAAACACAAGGGTTAATTTTAATCTCTTCTATACCCTCTTGATTAGTGTATACCTGGAGGTTATTTTTAATCTGTTCTATACCCACCTGGGCAGTGTATACCTTCTTGGGTAGTATATACTTGAGGTTAACTTTTAATCTCTCCTTAACCCTCTTGGGTAGTGTAAACCTTAGGGTAATTTTTACTCTCACTTATACCCTTTTCAGTAGTGTGTACCTGAGGGTAATTTTTAATTTATTCTCTCCTATACCCTCTTGGGTAGGGTAGTGTATACCTGAGGGTTATTTTCTTTAATATCATTTATACCCACTTAGGTAGTGTACACCTGGGGGTTATTTTTAATCTCTTCTATACTAACTTGGGTAGGGAATACCTGAGGGTTATTTTCAATCTCTTCTATACTCTCTTGGGTACTGTATACCTGAGGTTTATATTTATTCTTCCCTATACCCTCTTGGGTAGTGTACACCTGAGGGTTATTTTTAATCTCTTCTATACCCTCCTGGGTAGTGTACACCTGAGGGTTACTTTTAATCTCTTCTATACCCTCCTGGGTAGTATATACCTGGGGATTATTTTTAATCTTTTCCAAACCCTTTTGGGTAGTGGAAACCCAAGGGTTATTTTTAATCTCTTCTATACCCTCTTGATAAGTGTATACCTGGGGGTTATTTTTAATCTCTTCTATATCCACCTGGGCAGTGTATACCCTCTTGGGTAGTGTATACTTGAGGTTAACTTTCAATCTCTTCTATACCCTCTTGGATAGTGTAAACCTCAGGGTAATTTTTACTCTCATTTATACCTTCTTCAGTAGTGTATACCTGAGGGTAATATTTAATCCCTTCTATGTCCTCATGGGTAGTGTATACCTGAGGTTTATATTTATTCACTCCTATACCCTCTTGGTTAGTGTATATCTGGGGGGTACTTTTAATCTCTTCCACGCCCTTTTGGGTAGTGTATAACTGAGGTTTAATTTTTTTCTCTCCTATACCCTCTTGGGTAGGGTATACCTAGAGGTTACTTTTAATCTCTCCTATACCCTTTTGTTAGTGTAAACCTGAGGTTTATATTTATTATAGTTATTTTTAATCTCTTCTATACCCTCTTGAGTACTGTATACCTAGAGGTTATTTTTAATCTCTTCTATACCCACCTGGGCAGTGTATACTCTCTTGGGTATTGTATACTTGAGGGTAATGTTTACTCTCATTTATACCCATTTCAGTAGTGTGTACCTGAGGATTTTTTTTAAATCTCTTTTATACCCTCTTGGGTAGTGTATACCTGAAGGTTTTTTTTAATATCTTTTATACCCACTTGGGTAGTGTACACCTGGGGGTTATTTTTAATCTCCTATATATCCTCTTGAGTAGGGTATACCTTAGGGTTATTTTTAATTTCTTCAATGCCCTCATAGGTAGTGTATACCTGAGGTTTATAGTTATTCTCTCCTATTCCCTGTTGGGTAGTGTATACCTGAGGGTTATTTTTAATCTCTTCTATACTCTTTTGGGTAGTGTATACCTGAGGTTTATATTTATTCTCTCCTATACCCTCTTGGGTAGTGTATACCTGAGGTTTACTTTTAATCTCTTCCAAACCCTTTTGGGTAGTGTATACCTGAGGTTTATATTTATTCTTTCCTATACCCTCTTGGGTAGTGTATACCTTAGGGTTACTTTAATCTCTTCCAAACCCTTGTAAGTAGTGTATACCTGAAGTTTAAATTTATTCTCTCCTATACCCTCTTGGGTAGTGTATACCTGAGGGTTTTTTTTAATCTCTTCTATACCCTCTTGGGTAGTGTATACCTGAGGTTTATATTTATTCTCTCCTATACCCTCTTGGTTAGTGTATATCTGGGGGGTACTTTTAATCTCTTCCACGCCCTTTTGGGTAGTGTATAACTGAGGTTTAAATTTTTTCTCTCCTTTACCCTCTTGGGTAGTGTAAACGTTAGGGTAACTTTTTTCTCTCATTTATACCCTCTTCAGTAGTGATACTACTAGTTGCTTCATGCTAAAGAAACTGAGATACGCTCAGGCTGGGTGGGCCTCCAGGTCACTTGCCAGCACAGTATTACCAATACCCTCCTGGGTAGTATATACCTGGGGATTATTTTTAATCTTTTCCAAACCCTTTTGGGTAGTGGAAACCCAAGGGTTATTTTTAATCTCTTCTATACCCTCTTGATTAGTGTATACCTGGGGGTTATTTTTAATCTCTTCTATATCCACCTGGGCAGTGTATACCCTCTTGGGTAGTGTATACTTGAGGTTATTTTTCATCTCTCCTATACCCTCTTGGGTAGTGTCAACCTCAGGGTAACTTTTACTCTCATTTATACCCTCTTCAGTAGTGTATACCTGAGGGTATCTTTTATTCTTTTCTATACCCTCTTGGGTTATGTATACCTGAGGTTTATATTTCTTCTCTCCTATACCCTCTTGGTTAGTGTATACCTGAGGTTTAAATTTATTCTCTCCTGTACCCTCTTGGGTAGTGTATACCTGAGGGTTATTTTTAATCTCTTCTATACCCTCTTGGGTAGTGTATACCCAAGGGTTATTTTTAATCTCTTCTATACTCTCTTGGGTAGTGTATACCTGAGGTTTACATTTATTCTGTCCTATACCCTCTTGGGTAGTGTATAAATGGAGGTTATTTTTAGTCTCTTCTATACCCTCCTGGGCAGTGTATACCCTCTTGGGTAGTGTATACTCTCCTATACCTTCTTGGGTAGTGTAAACGTTAGGGTAATTTTTTTCTCTCATTTATACCCTCTTCAGTAGTGATACTACTAGTTGCTTCATGCTAAAGAAACTGAGATACGCTCAGGCTGGGTGGGCCTCCAGGTCACTTGAGCACAGTATTACCAATTCCTGAATTGGATGGTGATACTGAACTCCTTTGCAAGAAAACAATGAGTGGGAGGAGAGGCACGCCTATAAAAGCATGTCGCATGTTGTAAAACGCCATGTAATGACTATGAGGTTACAACAGCCGTGGTCTCATCTGCTCTGATTGTAAATAAAGGGGTAAGTTTCTAAAGAAACTGCGGTGCTGCGTCGGTGGGAGAGTACAACATGATTATGGAGTGTTATCAACTGTGTTAAAACGTAGATTGGCCACCGTAAAGAGTTTGAAGACTGACGTTACGGGCGTTCGCCCTTCGTTAGCTTTTCCCTCTGACGAAGGACGTTAGCCTTTAAACTCTTCACGAAGGCCAATTTATGTTTTCAACTCAGTCGATAACACTAAATTACTCTGATTGTAAATGACAGTCACCAGGCCTCCTTAAAATGTAACTCAAAATTCCTAAATAAATGCGGCATGTGTTTTTTTCAGGAACCAGCCTTAATCCGCTTTGATGAGACATCCAATTTATGGCCCGAGCCCTTCTCCACCCTAATCAATTGCATTTTCCCACTGGAATATGTGTATTCCGATTGGTTTCAATGGCAAGCAAACATTGAGGCTCAACGCAGAGATCCAGAATTTCCCGGCAGCTTACCTGGAGACTGTTTTGAGGCTGGAAGTCGCGTTGAAGGGTTTTGCATTCCCCAGTTCCTCCTCAGGAACAGTGACATTGATCAAGTGAACGCACGTGCTCTTGATATCAAAGAACAGTGGCTCCCTGATCTTGACTTAATGAAAGTTGTTGATTCATTTGTTGAAACAAATGAAAAGAGCCGGATACCAATATTCACTGTTGAGCATTTGGAAGACGATCCAAAGTATGTAAAGTTGAGGTTGACTGACGAGTTCAAGGAGCATGATTCGCGATTTAAGAATGCTCCCTACCTCCATCACTCGTACCTGCTTCCTGACGCAGATCACCCCATGGTTAATGATGAAAAGGGTGTGTGGTCGAACGACGTGCACGGTCCGGTACGCAAACTCATGAAAGCCGATTTTCCATGCCACGAAGAGGATCGAACGGATGTTTTCAAGTTTCCAATCGCATGGCCTGAGCCTGCTATGGAATGGTTGGTCCGATCACGCCCTTGTGGTTGGCCCTCTTCAGAGCTTGTTCAAGAGGTGTTCGACAGTGGTTGTCTTTTAGCACCTGTTGGTAGAGGAAAGCGCCTGTACGAGCCCATCGATACCTTTGAGTATTACCGAAATCCAGAACAGTCAGCGACAAATTCCGCAATGGCTGATGCAGAGGGGAAATGGGCCATGGAAGAAACTGAGTGGAGAATTTCATTTTCACTGGCGGAAAACAAGCTCGGACGGAGTGTTTCACCCGTTCAACGGCACGTTATGGTTTTGCTGAAGATGATCAAAAAAGCTTACTTTCCAGATGTTATTTCGACGTATTATTTGAAGAACCTGCTGTTCTGGGAATGCGAGAGTAAAGGAGAAGCCTTTTGGAGAGAGGACAACTTCGCTAAGTGCCTGTTGTCTATGCTGGATCGTCTACACGAGTGCTTAGAGACCTCAGATCTTCCATATTACTTCATGCCTCAAAGCAACCTTCTTCAATATGAAGACACCGCTAATCTCAAAGAAGCTGCTATTGTTGTCGCCGAGGTGAGGAGAGAGATACTACCGAAGACGGTCAGTCTGTTGAAGAGGCTTCAGTCACTAACGTTTCAGTCAAACACCTACTTGCGAGATGTTGGCGTACCACTGAAGGATCATCTTCTTAAGATGCAGGACAGACATCTGTCAGAGGATGATCATGGAAAACTGCTGACTGCTCTGCTTTCACTTTTTGTGGGCAAATGCAAAGATGTCATCAAGAGTTTGCGGAGAACCACGCTTGAACCTGACAAAGGCAAAGGAGTAGAAAATCTGTTGAACGTTGCTTTGTATGCTTACCAGTCGATACTTGCCAGAAATTTGTACAAGCTGTGGTTCTTAATGACCAAGGATGAAGACACCAAAGACGGAGAGAAGGAAGAGGATGAGTTTACGTCATTTGTACGCGAGGAAGTGAAGGGCCTTTCTTTAGATGGCGATTTCGTTGCTCAGTCCCTCGCCTTCTTCCACAGCGCGAAAAACGGAATGGAGCCATCTCGGTCGATTCTTTGTTCAAGAGCGATGAAATACCTTAGGGAAGAACACGTAAGGATGGCTGTCGAGAGCACAGAAAGTGCACTTGGAGAGTTAAAGGCAAAATTCAGCTGGTTTAAGGTTAGCGTCTTGAAAGAAGCTGCGGAAAGAGCCACAAAGAAGTTACTAAGAGAGAGTCATACTAGAGACACACTTTCAAAAGAAGCGATCCAGAGTGCACTCGAAGAGGAAATTCAAGCACTTCATGGTGAAAGAATAGGAAAAAAGTAATATCGTTAAAAAGAAAGGAACGAAGTTGTTGGCAGAAGTTAAAATAAAGAGATGAACTGGGGGAAAGAACATGGGTCAAGAATTTTCACTCTTCCGTAGAAATAGTTTGATTAAGTGTTGAAGTGAGCCACTGACTCGTTCCAAGTTGTATTCAAAGCGCGTGTGACCGACACGGGCAGGATGGGAGTGCAAAGTGTGATGAATAGGAAGTAAAACTTTTAATTTTAGATATTAGACTAAATTCGTATAACTCTTCCAGTACATTCATCGGACTGTACTAGACTGTTCAAAACAAATGGTAGTTGCCTTAGCCAAAATATTATTGGAGCCCAAAGACCATGGGGATGCATGATTAAGTGTAGCAATTTTGAATTTACTTGACTTTTTTTACCTTACAGCCGCAACCACACGACGAAAATCATTATCCTTTGTAGCATCGGTTTTTTCGGAATTTTTTTGGAGAAAATTCAGCGGTCAAAATGTATATGAATAGGTGTTCACAACTGTTTTTTATTGATCTTCTCAGTGATAGACTCATTAACTTATAACGAAAGGATTACACAAACTCACTTTATCAACCCTCATGAATTCAGCTGAGAAGAGAGGTTGTTCTTTAAGTATACTGCACTTTTCATTACGCTTGGCTTGTTGTGAATTGAAGATAGTGAAGCCAATAGGTGCACCTGTGAACTGTCTCAGTATTAGCCACGCAAAAGAAAACGGAAAAACCTCGACATGAATTCTTTCTTGTAAAAAACGTCGATCAATAAATAATTTTTATAAACTGCATTTCTAGTGAAATCATGCACTTTTAAGATCTTGTGTTTCAAGAGTCTGAAACTGGTATTTCAGCGAAAACAATCTATATTTCTCTACTTCTTTCTTAACCTGAAAACACTATCAATATCATTATTTTTATAACATGAATCCTTTTCAAGTTTTTGTTTGCTTTTTTATGGTTTATTTTGATTCAGTTTTTGTGATCATCAATCCAAACAGAAAGGGACAAAACGAATTCACAGATTCTACACAACATGAACAACCCTCACTATGCAAAAACATTAATCACAATGCTAATTAAACCGTGGTTTTGTATCTCATTAAGCCTTTACACCGTAACATCAGTATGCATATACTCCACACTTTTCTCTGCACATTTCCTGTGGTGTTAACTAGGAAAAATTTTCAAACAATTAAGAGCTTCATTAATTACCGATCATTTCTTTTATTCTCATGACCTTCGGGTTTGATTGAGATCTGGCATGGAGAAATATGATGGCAGTCACTCTTAGGGGTTAAGGGTTATTGATGGTTTTGAAACATTACGGAACTTTCAAGTTCAGCCCAAGTTAAAACCAGTCCTTTCGCAAGAATCAATTCTCCTTTGAATCCTGCCATCTCAGTGCTAGGCAAGTTAGGTTTTTACGATGTTGCCTACGAACTGTCTTAAAAGTTTTGCGGTAACAAGTAATCTCTATAGCTTGCTACTGATAGCTTGTGCCATTCCTGGAGATTCATCATCAAACGCAGCGCGTAAAACATCCTCTACCCGGTTGACCAAGATAAAGTTCATCTCATCCTTGAAAAAAAAGGAAGAAGAAAAGCATAAGAAATGATGACTAAGAACATTTTGAGGGAAAAATATTTTCCATTTTAGTTCCTCAAAATAAGTGAATCCCATGCACCCCACTTCGCGTAGCAAACGTATTGAAAGACAATTTTTTAATCTGTAATATTCTGATAAATGGCAGTCCCGGCGACGTGCTCTTTGATCACAAGTAAGAAGAAGTAAAGGATTTATGTTGCGTTAAAAAATGTCTCTATGACGAGGACAAACAAAGCACTCCTTTCAATTTTTCAAATCTCTTACCTTCACGTTATCCGGCAGCTCTGAAAGATCCTGGACAGTAGTGAAAAAAAACGACAATAGCAAATATCAATAGGCTCATTTTGATATAGTTTGAGATTATTCTGTAGAGACTACAAACGCTCTAGTAACAGCTCATTCCCTCTCTAAAAAACTCCCCACCCCTTCTGCGATAAGCTCCGTGCAGCCCCTCCGTGCAGCCCTTCTCTAATAGTCTCCAACCTTCCCTCTAAAAGGCCCCTACCCCTCCCCATTGTGCCTCCACCTGCTATCTCATTAGCCTCGCCCCGTTGCCTCTCTGATAAGCATCCTAACCCCTCATCGATAAAACTACCCACCCCATCTCTAATATGCCCACTACACTCCACTCTAATAGGCCCCTATCCCTCATTGATAAGCTTCCTATCCCACACTGATACACCCCTCTACCACCTCTCTAATTTGCTCCCTCCCCGTCTCTGATGAGACCCCTTCCCTCCCCTCCCCCCTTCTCTATAAAGCAACCACCTCTTCTCTATTGAACCCTCCCATTTAAATCCAAACTCGTCCACTAATTGTTGAATCACTCTGTCCCAATTTGACCCACCTTTTCGTTTCTTTTCGGTAGTATCACCCTCTTTAGTCCAGCCCTGTGGGCAGCCAACACTTTTTCCTTGATTCCACCAACCTACAAGAATACATCAGCAAATAAGTTTCTTCGCTAATAAATTATCTGTGTACAAATGACACAACCGTGTCAACCCTTTGGGGTTCATATTATCGCTAAAAAGGTGCACTACACAACAAACCATACCGGTAAAACAAGCCCCCTCAAGGTTATTTCTCCGGTCATGGCTGTGTCTGAACGGGTACATCGGCCGCTGTAAAAGCAAGAGTAGGATGCGAAATTAGAGCGAATGCAGCATTAATTTATATACAAAATCAAAGGGATCGATGTCATATAAAGTAAGATTCATCTGCCAACGCCATTATTTTCCAGAGCGTGATTTAATAAGCTAGAAGATTTTTAATACTAAGATGGAGAGAACACACAAAGAGTTAAGAGTTTATAGAGAGGGAAAGTTTTCATAGCTCTACTCAACCGATTCCATCTCTGCTCTCTCACAACCTTTTCGTTCTATTTCTTGAACATGTAAGGAAATTGTGTGTGGTGAAAGTTGAGGATGATAAACTTTTATCTCGATCTTTGAAAGAAGCAAGAACCTATAGACTCCCTGTAGTTCATTGGTAGACCATGAGATCATGAAATCCGAAGATCTGAGGTTCACATCCTCGCAGACTCAAGGTTTTTTCTCTTCCCAATTCCTTCTGCTCTTCGATCCATTGCCGTAAAACGAAACCAAGGTTCTTATGATGGCCAATAAGAACACAGGCTACTATTATCAGGTGCCAATTGGAACTCAAAGTATTCAAACGAGAGAGAAAGCGCGAGCACCCAATAAGTCGCGACTGGTTTGAGTTGAGCCGATGATTGGTTGGGAGTGCATTGCGAGTTTACGAGACCAATACAAAGGGTAAAAGGTCAGAACTAACGCAATCCGGAGTAAATTCGACATTTAGTGAAATATTGTCCTATTTACCTGAAAAGCGATACAAGAACAGTAACAATGGTAACTCCAGCTGATGGGCCGTCTTTGCCAACGGCGCCTGCTGGGAAATGAATATGTACATCTGTGCGCTCAAGTAGATCCACGCCGTCCTCTGATGTCAGACAGTACTGCAGTGACCGGGAGAAAAGGATAAAACACTCAGTTACTGTCTGACAAATACAATATGCATGAGAAGTTAAAACGTAATTGAATGATCCCAATTCCTCGATACTTTCCAAAAGGCCTACAGAGTTATGACTATTCGTTGAGCATAGGATCGAATTCTTCCAAACCACAATACCTGAATCACCACCAATTTGAAACAGTAGCGTTGTGAGAACAGGGTTGTTTTTGGTTCTTTTACATAAAACCTTTGAAAATACTCTAGAGGATAAAGGATGAGGTCAGAGCACAAACCATAGGTTTGATTAAGGTGATTCCTCAGAAAAAAAAATGATATCGAACAATTTTTTTCAACGCTTTCCTTGAATGTTTTGATTTCTCCAATTTAAAGGAGATAATTTGTACACCAAAATTATGCAATAAAAATTTATAGATCACCGTGATTGTTCAAAAGCACAAGACCTCCGTTCCTCTTTACTTGTTCCATGGATTGAAAAACAATACCGTGTTCTCGGAATGCCTGCGCGCTTATTCGCCTTATTACGGGATTATTATGCCCAGTACAGGATGTGCATAATAATCACAGCCATCATCATTTATAAGCTTAAGTCCACAAGGGTACGTCACTTGCTCAAATAACCAAGCCACATGGTGTAAAAAGAAAAAACTTACCTCAGTTGAGCGACTTCTAAGCCAGCTCAACGCCAACTGTGCGGATTCTTTCATGACATCCCCTGAAGTTGGAAATGTAAACGTTTGAGACGATGCTGTGAACTGTTCCAGGTGAAAGTTTGTTCACAGTGAGGGCAATTTTAGTCACCAGATTCCGCAGGGAAATAAGTAATTGTTGCCAGCGTACAGGAGAAGCTGACCTGTAGTAAGTTTGTACTCTTGTCGAAAATATTAGACAAAGATCCTATGCGTTTCGTGGGTAGTCCACACAAGAGCTTTAAAACTAACTGACACGACTAGTTATCTCAAGACTCAGAAGTGACTGACCAGTCTTAATTACGGACATAACAATTGAACTGGCCAGTTCTGTCAATTGGAAAGCGACAAAAGACTCAAGTTTGCTTTCTGTCGAGGAAACCGTGCTTGGACGTGGCCGATTTTTGGCCATTAAACAATATACCTATAAATCAGTGAACTTACCCAGCTGTCCAGTCAAAGTGATTTTTCCCTCTCCTCCCATTCGCGTCGCCTCCACAAACATGATTTCACCACCCATTGCTGTCCACGCCAAACCTAGTGAAACAAACAATCATCTGTTTCAACTGTCTTCAAAATGGTATTTCAGTCTCCAGTATTATCCGCAAATCAGAACTGAGCTTTTAGCAAGCCTGACATCGAGAGGATGTCTGCAGGGAAGGGGTGGGGGGAAAGAATCATGCGCATTCAGAGAACTAAGGATATGTACTCAACCAAAGACACGAGAATTGCAAATTTCAGGTCAGCTCGTTCTTAACGAAACACACCAGAAACGCGAAAAGTAGTCGCGACATTATTACGTACTTCGATTTAAGTATTCAAAACAGCCAATCAGGGCAAAGGTTAGTATCATCCCAAGCCTTAGCCTATATGAAGTGAAAGTAAAACAGGCGAGCTGCTTGAAGAGCGGGAAAACGCGGGTGACCAAGTCGCGGTTGGTTTAAGGGTTGCCTCTGATTTGGTAAGCGAGTTTTCTAGACCAATCGCAAAGCAAAATCAATACAATCCCGAATTATTTTCGACACTCAATTAAAATTGCTCTATTCTCTGGAGTCCACACTCCTGTAATCCTAAATAAAACTGTGAAGATTCAGTCTCTTTGCTTGATCTTGTCTTAAATTTGACTTACCTACTGCCACGCCTGGAGTTGACAGTCTTTGAGCCACTTCAGATTCAAATACAGGAGGCTAAAAAAAATAAAAATCAACTTGCAAACGTCAGTGAAAAAAAAGAAAAAGAAACATCCTCAACCACTGGGAATAAATTCCTTGAGAGAAAAAACAATTTCCCTGAGTGCCAGGAGTGACACATTTACTGAGTATCTTACCCCTAATGCTTCAGTCAAGAATTTCTCAGTGATCAAAAACGCCTCTCGGTCAGCGGGTTTATCAGTTTCGCTCTTGGGTTTTTCGGCTTCCCCTTCTTTGGATTCTTGTCCGCTACTTTCTTCAGCTTGCCCTGAAGCACCTCTCGTTGCTTCAGCTACCTACAGGAGTGATAACAAAGCACGCAAAAATGTAAAAAGTCATAACAGTAATTAGCCAATACTGCCCTTCTACCGTGACTCTTTTGAATCCTTTCGCTACCAGAGATTAAGTTATATTCTCCTTGGTCAGCGTCTTGCGTTTAATCATGTGTTAGTTTGCAGAATTTGTGTTCCACTCATTCAACTTCCTTGAGCTTTTTCAATCCTTATCTTCTGATTGCTTTTCAATGCAATAATTTAATACTGACAAGGCTGCCTGTTGATCACTTTTCTGAGTGTAAGACCGGTTAGGAACGACTTCGCAGTATTTTACGATGTCTTCTAATAAATAAGTCAGTGTTTATAGAAAAGGAACTGCTACAACCTCAATATGAATAGTTTAGCGAAATAAACAAAAACTACCAAATAAATATTGATCGTGTTACAATGCGACATGACACGGGTTGAACGCTTAAGATTCTTGAAAAAGATTAAAGAAGCCTTCTCTCCCCCTTCCCTCGTTCATGCCTCAGGCGTCACCGCCCTTGCGTGTGTCTTCCCCACGATCGCATTTCTAACTTTCTCAGACCGGCGCTGGTTACCAGAAGAGATACTCTTCAAATCCATACCTGCACAGCCACAGCCCGACACACGCCACCAATCTTGCGCTCCAGTGACCTCACTCCAGCTTCCCGGGTGTAATTAGAGACTGAAAAAAGATCACCGAAAACTGAGTCAATAGCACTTCTAAAGAAGAGAAAAATGTAAACAGCCATCAATGAAACAAATCCTAGCATTGGTAACGAATATGAGAGAGATTCCGAGGTGAAATGAGATCATCCGTAGTTAATTCGGACAGCGACTAACGTCGTTAAAAAAAGACTGACGTTACCACAACCTAAGCAGAATTCAGCATCGAGTGTGTAGTTGGATGCCAATCGAACGCTACCAGTTTAGGTCGTGAAAGCTGATTAACGTATTTATTCAATCAACCCTTTAACTCCCAGGAATGATTAACACGTAACTTCTCCCTATAATATCCATAAATTATCCAGCAAAAAGGTAATGAGAATACTCAGACTTATCAGGCAGAAGTTGTCATCTTGATTTAACACCAAATTCTCGTAACTAGTTTACAAGGAAATGTATAGCAACTAGAAGGGAGAATTAACAATCAGATCCTGGGAGTTAAAGGGTTGAGCGCTTAACCTCGAAAGAGCAGCCACCTCCCACCTCGAAAAGGGCCCCCTGTTGGTAGGAAAAGTTGATAAGCGCCCACCCGCTAATAAGTTATTTTACTTACTTATTGCCTTCATAGAATCCTCAGGAAATTCCATGTCTTGTTCAGCAAGTCCATGTTCCTAAATGAGAAAAAAGAAACAAAAAGTTGTTACTTCTTTATTATTCTGTAACCCTAGCGGTTAAAAATTGTCTTTTTAAAACAATTTCCGAACCTTCAGCTGTTTTGGCAAAAGATGCCGCTTAGTAATAGCGATCTTCTCTTCCTGAGTGTAACCTGGAACCATGATCAACTGAAATTTAAAGAAGAAAAAAAAACAGTTAAAAAATCCAATACAGTCATACAACAAGACAAACTTGTTGTCACATAATTATAACGACCTCTCGTGGGCTACATTATGTCATCCCCTCTGCCCTCCCCTTCCTGTCCCTTCATTTTCACCTCCCCGTCCCACCCTTTCCAACCCTCCGGCCTGAAAACAGGATGACTTAGGGGAAAGGTAAGGAGGCTAAATAGTACACCACACTTGTTCATAATAATAACATATTACGAGAAAACAGCGGGGTTTGACTGCCTTGTCCTTCTCATTTACAACTGAACATCTCTCACCTCCATTCGATCAAGCAAAGCAGGAGGTATTGTGCTAACAGTATTTGCAGTGGCTATAAACAGAACCTGTAGGATAATAGGAACCAAAATGGGCAAATAAGTAAACAAAGGCAGATAAGAGGAAAATTAGAAAAACGATATATCAATTTCAAAAGCTCAGACAATACTCACTTGTGAAAGATCAAATGGAATATTGAGGTAGCTACATAGAAGTCTGTGTTAAGGACACAATAAACCAAAATACATTTTTAGAGTGAAAAAAAAAGACACTCAATGAAAGGTTCATGAACAAAGCACTTATTAAGGATTAATTTTCTTTTTACCAGCCCACCCTCCCCTTCCATCCTTTTCTCCTCTTTGAACTCTCTCTATTCCCTCCCTCTGGCTCTTTGCCACATGATCAACCCATCTATTCAATGAGCTCACTTGAAATTTTTGACTGAATAATTATCAGCATATGATTTAATTGATTCTTCATCTATAGCAAGAATGAACAGTTTTCACCTCAACCTGAGAGTAGTAAATGAGTGCTAGTAAATTGTCATGCAAATGGTTCAACCTAAATTAAATATGAGGGAGGGGAGGGTTAACTGTAACAAACAATCATCAAACCCATGGTATATGTCAAATGGTATTAAATGAAAGACTTGATCAAAAAAGATACTGGTCTACAAATGTCCAATTCTGTTCAGGGTCCAACACTTCCAATAGGGCAGCAGCGGGGTCACCATGAAGACTCTTGCCCTGTGAAAAGGTAAACAATTAATCAAAGGAGTCTCTTTTTCTGGTCCAGGGCTTTTAAAGATATCAATCTCAGGCAAATTGAGAAAAGAAAGAAGCAAGAAGGTTGAAAAGAGTGAGAGAAAGGAAGGAAAATTTGGCGCAACTTAAATTACATCCAATGAAATCAAGTTTATCAATACCATCTTGTCCACTTCATCCAACAAGATAACAGGATTCTTTGCTCCAACCGTTTTCAAGGCATTTAAGATCCTTCCAGGCATTGATCCTATGTATGTTCGCCTATAAAAACACATACATGTATGCACTCAAAGATGAGTCACAGTGATTACATGATAACCTCCTTAAACAGAAAAAGTCAGCTATTGAGCCTAGGATTGCATCATACTTGCCCCTGTTTCCTCTTAGAGCCAAGCATCTGTAATTTCTCCTTACAGTTAAAAAATGCTGAATCAAACAATAAGGTCAGGAAAATAAAGGAATTGATAACCAACCAAAGAAGCTTTTGATGAGAAACAGATGCTCCTGGTCACCACCATGAGCAATGTATAAAGAACAGTATGGCAAACATCCATACTGATGTTAGGGTGTCAAAGGTGTAAATAACAGAAGCACACCTAATCCCATGGTATGGAGATTACATGTATGTTGCAGAATATTTGGGTGGATCCATGTCTGTATAAGAAACAATTTCTGCAAGAATTTGATACCATCAAAGCACTGCCCTAGTGAAAAAAAAGAAAGGCTATCCTCCAAGATGATAAAATCTTACCGATGTCCTCTGATATCTGACTGGTCACAAATTCCACCAAGTGATATTCTGGAAAATAATAATTAAAGAAGTATCATTAGTAAACCAGTACAGTTTCAGGAAACATCATGCTAACAGAACTAACACACACAAAAAAAAAAAAAAAAAGGAGAACAATTAATCACGACCATGAGTTTTCCTACAATTGTTCCATCAGTTGAAAAGTACTGGAAAGAAAAATATTTATGGCACTGTACAAGTTATATGCATGTGATTACCTGTACCTGGAACTATTACATGTTACTAATCCACCCTTATTAAGCCCTATTTTCTTGAGGTAAACAAGCAACAGTAACCTAACTGAACATTACACAGTGTTTCGAAATATTAATATAGAATTAATTGGTTTTTTTTTAATAAAAACTTAATCAACACGGAAAAATACAACTACTCTAATCTAATTAATACTTGTTGTACCTCTGAAATTCTCTGCCAAGAGTGTTTGCAATAGATCTTCCAACACTTGTCTTTCCAACCCCAGGGGGACCAACAAAGCATAAAATAGGACCTACACATACAAGACGATGTTAGTAAATGTAAGCACCCATAAACACATTGAATAAAATTACAAATAGTCTGGCAACTGACTGACTGGCCAAATGACTAACTGACCTATCATAGGAAGGAACAATTATGAGGAGAGAGAGGAGCTGACCAAAGATAAGCATAGACTGAGGTGTTCTGTACATTTTCAAAATGCAGCTTTACCTTTCAAACTGTTTTTCAATTTTCGAACAGCCAGATACTCAATGACTCTCTTCTTCAGTTTCTCCAAGCCATAATGGTCATGATCCAGATCCGCTCTAAAATGGCATTACAAACAACATTAAACTAGCTGTTAGAACAAACATTTTCTTCCAACAAGTGGTGTGAGTTTGCTGTACCACCGAAAAGCAACTAAAAAATTGCTGTAATTTCCACTCACTGTTACCTTGCTTGGGATATGTCTAACTTGTCGGTAGTTTCTTTGCTCCATGGGAGGTCAACCATCCACTCCAGATAATTTCTTAAAAAAAAAAAATGACACATCATTAATAACACCTTCCCTTAATGAGCAAGGGCTTGCATTAATTTTGTAACATACCAAGTACAAGTAACTATGTAAGATGGAGTTCATTAATTATATAACAAATAAAATCAAAGTACCTTGCTGTAGCATGCTCTGGGAACTGTGGGGGCATCTTCTTCAAGCGCTTAAAATTACGTTTATAGAAAGGAAATAATTATCATCCATAAGTTCAAAAATAATGATTAACATATGACCCATAATGCCCCTTGTGTGCAATCCATAGAAAACCACAGTGAAAGCTGACAAGTGTAGCTAACAGGTTGACCTGACCCTGTCTGGGTAAAGCCTTGTGGCCCAGCACTCACACATCTTTGTTGCAAAAACTTAAAGGAAAAGTTTCTTTTTCTGATTTGAAAAAACAAAGGAAAAGTTTTCATATTTGTAGAATCCTTTTTAGGTTCTCCTGTGTTCCTGTCCATTGTGCCCTTTTAGGTTGAAACAAAATTTTCAACAATTAGTGCTTGTAGAATAAAAAGCCTCTTGCCCCCCCACTTAGTCAATAAGTATGTAATACTTCAGAATAGCTCAGTTTAACTTTGCCTTCCCAACAGCCTATGCTGCCCACAAATAACAGGTTACAAGGACATTTGGTCCTATGAGAGACTTTATACCTTAGATAAATGATACATAGGACACATAACTACCTTCAACTCCTTCATAGCTACTTTGAAAGCATGTTCTGGAAGGTCAGCAGACCTGGCAAAACATAAACAAGAAATAAGTACCTAGTAAAGACTGAGCCAAGTTCTTAATATTATCCTATGAGCTAAATATCTTCCCATTCAGGTTGACTTAACTCAGTAAGTTACCATCTTACACCACAAAATCTCATAGGGCTGTACACCAAGCTGAGCAGCTCTTTCCAGTTCTGTTAACATTTATGGCCCTCAAACAGTGTTTTTTTTAGGTGATTTTGGGCAAATTATAACATTCAAATGATAACTCCAAATTAGCACAGAAATCAAATGAAAACAATAAAGTTTCAACCCTAATACTCTTCTAGCATCCATTCAACAACAATTTTTACAATGAAAGTGATCACTTCAGAAATAAAGAATAGAAACTCAAAAATAATGCCACGACCCTTCAACTCTTAGAAGTGATTAACATGTAACTTCTCCTGTAGTTTCCATACATTATCCCACAATCTTGTATTGAGAGTACTCAAACTTTTATAAGGTAAAGTAAAAAAAAAAAAGTAAAAAAGTAAAAACTTTATTCACATAGGGTAGCCCATTCAGCTCTGAGGCTGGTATCCATAGGGGCCCTGTTTCTTAAAAATAATTTACATCAAAATTCTCAATTATATATATACATGACTAGAATTTTAAAACTACATTTACAGCCTAAGACTACAAAGCCAAAACACAATTAAGACCTAAAATAGTAGATAAAATATCAAAGTTAATATAAAAAGAAATGTCTTACTCGGCGGCAGAATGTTTGAATGTTTTCACTCTTCACAATGTTTAAAGGGAGTTTATTAAAAATTTCTGTGCCTTTAAACATTGTGAAGAGTGAAAACATTCAAACGTTCTGCCACCAAGCAAGACATTTCTTTTTATCTTAACTTTTAATTAATATTTTATCTACTATTTTAGGTCAGGTCAGGTAGAAGTTGTTATCTAGAAATCCATTAAATTCTCGTACCTAGTTTAGAAGGAAATGTGTAGCAGCTACAGGGGAGAATTAATAATGAGATCTTGGGAGGAACTAAACCTACCTGTCTTGTTGGACCTAAATCAGATCTTGGGAGATAAAGGGTTCAAAGTTACATTTTAAATGCACAGGGAAACAGAATAAAGGAACAACTAGATCAACTACTTTTTTTCCTTCTAAGCTGATAATCAAAAACAGAATCTGATATGAATTTCAGAATGTTACAAGTCAATGTACCCAACAATAATCACACAGTTGTAGAACTAAATTACAAACATTTTTAAAGAAATTACCATACCTAATTTTCCTTTCAAGTTCCTCCACGTCATCTTCATCATTATTGTCGTCATCATCATCTAAACCTTTGGAAATCCTTTTGGGTTCCTTAGAAATGAGTATGCTGCCACGCTTAAATTGACAACAAAATAGGAATTGAGATACATAAATACATTTGATACATACACTCATAAAGCAAGGCCACAGCCAAGAAAAGTCAATCTGAAAAATCAAAATGTTAGTGATAAATAGATTTCCATTCAATTGAAACTGTAATATTATTTTATTGCCACATTAGTTACATTTAACTTTTATATCATTTTGCATCCCATAAATTGTTGTACTTTACTTAAGATCTCCAGCAAGATGTTTTTAAACTGATCAGTATTTACTCCAGAAGTGAATCCACAGCATAAATGCACCTTCTTTTTGGTGGATTTCAAAACTCTTTGGACACATTTCAATTAATAGTCTAAGGATCTCATCAATAGAGCATCTAAAGGTTAAAATACCTTTGTATTATTTTTCCACATCCTTCTGTTAAATTCTGAACCACCCTTCAGCGGGTGGCTACCTCTCATTCCCTGAAATTTAAAGAAATTTTAGTTGATGAAAATAGAAAGATTTCCCAACCATCACCTGGAATGAATGGGTGAAAGTGGAATGATTTATTTAATTCATTTTTTTTTTTAAATCTTTGAAAGGGCAAGACATTTATAAGAGTATTCCCATGAACAAAGTGCCTCTCATAACCTGCATATACTAATTAACAGGTACCAGCAAATAATAAAGGGCGACCTGTTTAAGAGCCCTACTTGCTACTTTAAGCATGTTATAGAATGAAACATTTCTCGTCTGAGCAGGAAACACTTTGACTCATATTTTCAAAGATAAAAGTAACAAGTAATAATTAGGTGTTGACCTGGTGTGCCCTCCTAAATCTAATTAAGCAAAAACAATAAGTCAATTTTGCCAAACAATCAGGTTAGTTTCTAAATTTAGTTTTACTTTCAAAAGCAATCATGTCCTATGCTAATCCTTTTTCAGTTTGTTCACTAAAGGAATGTCCCAATTCCAAAAAAAAAGTGCATTCGTATTGATGTATAAAGTAAGAGAGAAAGATTGTCCCAATTTACAAAAATAAAATTGAGACAGAATTGTGAATGCAGTCAAATAATCATTGTAATAATAATTAATCAAATCTATTATGTAATATAACATAATAACTCCCATCTTACTACGTGACTGATATACTTTCCAAAATGATCCAGCAACTAAATTTAAACACCACTTCCATGATCCTGACTTACTAATTTAATAAAATTATTCAATAATAAACTGAAAGATGTACTCTACCTCTTTTTGTCTCCGTAGCAAAAGAAGAGATTTCTTGAACCTTTCAATCAAATCTACTGTATTCAGGATCTACACAGATGGATACAAGAAGATCATTTCCATTGAAAATAAATGTCCTACATTGATATCGCGTGAGGAAACTATAACTTCTTTATCATTCTTAGGATTGAAAAGGTTAAAAGATCAAGTCATTTACGCAGTTCAGCATTATACCTCTAGTTTCTCTAAGTAAGAGGCTTTTACAATGGATGCCAACGTGTCAGGAAGACTCCCATCTGGTATTCCACTCAACATGTCCTATAGAACAAAGATAAGTGTTATTGTTCAAGGATGAGGTCAACACAACTTGATACATGTATTTCCCAAGTTTACCATGATCCGTAAAAATATGTAAAAAAAGAACATGGCCCAGATTATGCCATCTAGAAAAAACACGTTTGGTCAATAAAGGATTTATCAAATGACAAAAAGATTAAACTTGAGAATCCCCATATAAATTCACAAACCCCCCTCAGTTCCTTTGTTTTATGGTCTTCAAGATATGGTTTGTGATTCTAAATGTAGTTGTAAAACTGATTAAAAAGATTTTTCTTATGGCAGACAAATAGTCTGTTATAAGTAACCACTTAACTCTTTGACTCCAGGAAGTGATTTATATCTAACTTCTCCCAATAATATCCATACATTATCTAGCAAACAGGTAATGAGAATACTCAAACTCATCTAGTAGAAGTTGTTAAATCAATCTTACACCAAGTTCTCACAACTAATTAACAAGGAAATGTGTAGCAGATAGAGGGGAGAATAAAGAATCAGATGCTGGGAGTTAAAGGGTTCACATAAGATAATTGTTTTTTTCAGTTTGCAAAATTAAATCAGGTAATCTCTGGATGGCAAGATTGCAATCTTGCCTAGAGGGTTGCCAATTGGGCTCCCTTTTTACAGAGCTCACCAGGCATACATTGTATAACATTGGGTATTGAAACAAGACACCAAGCATCATATTTCCATTTTATAAACCAGGAGCTTCATGACTTTTGAATTATTACCTTTAGCCTGGAAACAAATGGTACTCTCCCATCCAACATGTCCACCAACTCATTTGAACACAGTCGAAACTCTTCAGCTAGCATTGTTAAATCAGCATTTTTCCTTATTTCTGCCTCTGTAATCCGAATACATCAGAATACTTTACTTTTACAGCTGCAGATTATTCAATCAGTGAATAATTACACAGCAAATATTTTTTAGACCGATAAAATACTTTTCACCAATACCAAATTTTGAAATCATCTGTGATGCGTAACTCAACAGACACACATTTAGAGAAAGATGTTTTTTGTCTTGTCATGAGCGTGGGACAAAGGAAAAAATTACAAGTCCCAGTAAGGAATTGAACCACAGACCTCTGTGGCTCTACCACTGAGTCCCAGAGACTTTACCATGAGCGAGGTCTATTATGAAGTTCATATAACACATGTCCTGTATATTGCTAGGATCAGCAATGTTAATAGCATCATGTTTGTAAATAGTTTTCTATTTAAAGACACACATTTGTTACAGTGATACTGTTTTGAGAAGTTTAATGTTGATAATGTTTACCATATAACTACCTTGTTCGGAGGGCCTGTCCAACTGTGTCACCTCTGATATCAAATAAGGTTCCTCCATGACTATTTTATCAATTCTAAATCTGCACAATCCAGTAACTAGCAGGGTGTACAGGGGCTTTGGCCAGTTGGTACCTGTTACCTGAACTACTACAGATGCTGTTCCAAAGGCATGTAACAATGATTCTTCATCCTGTAGATTGTAAATAGTTCAATTGTGAGGGGATTTGAAGATGCAAAAACTGCCAAAACATTTGTAAAAAATATGAAACTGGTTTACTTTGCTTCTAAAATCAATCAAACAATTTCGCTCAATTGAAGAATGGATCAATAAATTCTACCTACACAGAAAAAAAATGATTGAATCCAATAGTAGTTGTCATTTTTAAAATGATTCATCTATTTCATTACACTACATGTATATTCGACCACAACAAAGATGTTGCTCAAGTTTGTTATTTTTAATATCAAGGGTCACATTGCATTATCTTACTTGAAACTGGAACTAAAGTTATTGTTAGTAGTTAGGTCTGCTTCTGATATAAATTTATTTTTTGTTTTCTGTTTGAGGGAAGATTGAACTGGTTTACCCAAAAAAATCACTTCTACTCTATTGGAAGTATTATTTATCACACGAAAAACAAACTGCAAACACACAGTCATTCTGCTAATGACGAACTTCCGGTCCAATGAGATTGTACGTGCAGCTCAATGTCACGACAACACGTTCGCTAGGACACTACATAAAATCGAATATTAGCGGGACAGAAATTAAAATAGAAATAAAATAATTTTATGCAACTTACCTCTTTCTCTGATCGTCGTGGTACCACACCTATGATCACACTGCTTAGGGTGTCTTTTCGAAGAAGTCTTGTATCGATCATACGAAGGCTGTGACGATCAAAAAGATCAAAACACATAACATAGTTGAGCTTATGCAATATAAAAGTTATGCAGTGCAGCGGAAAAGAACGCGCGAAAAGTTGAGGCTTTTTTCTTACCTGGCATTGTCTCGTACAGCAATCCTCATGGACGAGCCCGGTAAAAGGACTTTGTCTTTGAGGATGAGCAATGGAAGGCGTTTCGGGAGATCTCGATTTGGAACCACCATTGCTGCGATGTTGCTGTTTAGTGAATGAAGAAGGTGAGCTGGTAACTAGGGTTATCCTACCCAGTACCCAGATTCCTAGACACCACTCTGTCCTTGTGATACTAGAAGTTATGTTACATGAACTATGAGAACGCTCAATCAAAGATGGCGGCCTTAATTCGAAATCGAATTGCAGGTACGAATTCTCCGAAATTATATGTATGGTTCTTCACTGATTTTGATGTTACGTTTATGCAGAAGTTTTCCTGTCTCGTCTGATTTTGTTTCCAGTGTTGACAAGACCATCAGCGATGTCTATGAATTGCATTAGACATTGGAGTACTTTTCCAACACTTCATGCAGGGCAAAAAATGAGATTGAGGTACGTACGTCAGATACATGATAAAATACCTCTTGAAATTTCAGAATCTCTTTTACAATTTTCCTTGTTAGCTTCTTTACATGTGTTTGTGAATGCGATTAGGGAGTGTGGTGCTATATCGGGTTAATAGTGGTCCCTTTAGCTGATAATTTTACCTATTGTAGTCAACTGTTTCTGGATAATGAAGCGATGTTAGCAGCTAGGAATAGTTGCATTTTAACTATTTTTCGCAAATTTTTAATCCCTAGCCGAGGTCAAGCACGCGATGGAATAGCTTATGGACCTCTCACTGACCTACCAGACTGGAGTTTTGCAGGTAGACTTCTAAACAAAATTGGAGTAAATCATGTTTGCCTTGTATCACGAATTATTCAGTATGACTGGCTATGCTACTTGCTATCTATTTGACAATTAGATTCCATGCTGCTGTGTATCTGTTCATTAATGGATCACAGATGACTTTAAAATGTGGTGATGAAGAAGAAGTATTCAAAGCACAGTCTATTATTGTATAGACCCATGGGATATGGAATCTCCATTTTTTATCTGATCAAAAAAAGCAAATTTTTGTTAATGGTGATGCAATTTATGTATCCGTCCTCTGTAGATGATAAGTAAGAACCAATTAAAATTTCATTGTTTATTTAGTACTTCAACTTATTATATAATCCATGATAGATGGTAAATGATATGAGAAGCCTGACAGTATCTAGTTGTAATCATAGTAATATGCATGAAAACATTGCACACTTCTGATTGCCTGAAAACAAGCACATTTTTCATTAACAAAAATGCAAAGTTGTTACATGAGTGCAAATTACAAATAGCATGCACCATGTCAAAATTTTGTCTGTCTTGACCTTCTGTGATACATTTTTTCATGTAAACTAATGATAGGTTTTAACGCGATTTCCTGTGCAATTTGGTGTTAATTAGCACTCATATATCTTTCAAAGATTACAAATTGCACTCGCCCTATTCATGCTTATTCACTTTTTTCCTTATTGTGTAATAGTTAATCTGGGTTTGCGCTCATAGAGTATTACGCAAGAGAAATCCGGCTTTTATAATCTAATTGTTATTTAGCTGTGTGTTGTCTATCAGCACACACAAGGCTTTTGACTGGATATATATAAAATGAGAGCTTACCACTGATTTATAATTTTAGATAAATTCTAATTCCTATTGAATCAAATGATAGTTAAGATAATTACCTGCAGGAAGAATTAGATAAGGTCTGTTGTGTGACCTTCAAGAATGTTCTAGAAGTAGCTGTGTCATGCTGAGCCATCCCTGAATCAATGTATAAATAGAATCTGTTGTGATGTAAGGGAACGTTCTGGATCCTCAACCATACCTATATAAGCCGAGCTTGTAACTAGATGTAGAGAGTAGTTTAGTTGCTGGTATAGCCCGTCAGATACCAATAAAGGTGTATGCTACAGAATACAAGATGTCCACACTTCAATGCCAACTTACCTTAACTTTGTCATGACAAATTTAAGCATCTCTAATCTAATTGTTATTTAGCTGTATCTTGTCTATTAACACACACAACACTTATTTGCCTCAGGCAAAGCAGTAAAAATTGTTGAATAATCCCCAAGAAAAAGGCACTTGGCAGGAGTTGATTATTGTGAGATATGATGCAATCCTCCACTGATCAGAGCATGCACATTTCTTTATTCACTGGAGCAATTATACTCACTGAATGTATCTAGATTGAGGGCTTACCATTGATTGATAAGTTAGTCAGCATCCAGAGATTTTTGCTTTTCTTTAAAGTTTGTGCCCTATTTTTAATGGCTTTGACTGTCAAATACATATTAATTACTTCTCATTTCAGGGACCACAGAAGTGTTTGTAAAAATTCATTCTTTGTATTGATCATTTTGCTTTTGAATTATCAGATGGGACCCCAGCACCAGAGACAAAAAGAAGAAGAACAAGAAGGTTGAAAAGAATGGATGTGGCCGTAAGTTGTAAACAGTGCTATTCAAAGAGTAGTTACTGAATGCATAACCAATAAGCGTTATACTTGATTTTCCTTTTGCCATGTTCAATGCATTGATTTTTATGGAAATTGATGAGGTTTCTTATTAAAATATGACCTGTGCATCACACATTGAGGTTAAGGGAATGAATGAAATGATAACCAACTAAAGAAGCTCTTGAATGTTAAACAAGTTTTTCCTTATCAGCATCTCAGGAAATGTACAGTGTGGAGAATATGCATACTGATGTCAGGGTGTAAATAGGGACCTTAAGCAATCAGGACAGCAATGCCAAGGGAGACTTCGATTAAAAAATGAATTTCTGCCTTTAATTAGAATTTCAAACATTGGCTCCATTTGTTTACCATCTCATACCGCACCACACCTCCACTTCAGCATAACGTATAAAAGAAGCATTGAGTTCCAAATGGAAATTAAAATAATTTGCCGTCATGATTTCAGTTCGTAGATGATGCAAATTGTGGTGATTTCACATTGCTGTTTTGCATGGGATGGCTAAGAAATGTACAAAGTTTCAAAACACACGTGCAGAGTTATTGCTCTGCCAATTAGATTCATTGTTTTTCCATGTCCTCATTGCTGTCGCCGTTGTGGTTTGTGTAAGGTCCCTATTGATTAATCAATGTAAATGTGATTGACAGCTACTTTCTGGAACAGAAGTTTATTCATTTTTGCTTTATTCCAGCATCAAATCTTAACGTATTTGAATGAGGTGGAGAGAGCAGGGGAAGCAAGAGATGAAGATGGAAATGTTCTGGATTCCACAAAACTGCCAAAGAAAGAGCAAGAGATCAGTTGATGAGCGAATTCTGGTTCACAAACATTACCAAGCTGCAATTAAAATGGAAAGAATAGCCGTTTAGGAAAAACGATTCATCCTTCTGAAGGAAATGCATTCATTTCTTATTCAAAGCTAGCAGAACAAAGATTAGCAGCTAGGTTTATCCTAATTTAAGCCTAGTTCTACTTTAACCCATGAACTCCAGAGATCTGATTGTTAATTCTCCCCTTCAGCCACTTACACATTTCCTCATAAATTAATTATGAGAATTTGGTGTTAGATCAAGATAACAACTTCTACCGGATAAGTTTGAGTATTCTCTTTACCTTTTTGCTGGATAGTGTATGGATATTATTGGGAGAAGTTACATGTTAATCACTTCTGGGGTTAGAGGGTTAAATATTTTTCTTTATTAATAGAATGATGACTTCACAAACAATATTTGAAGTTTTCATTACAAGGGCTGAAGACTTGACATTTACTGGTAGTGTAAACTTTTTGAGTGATGCATTTTTAAGTTAAAACAGTTGAGAGCTTTACACTTTTCAAGTGTTAATTTCCTTCAAGTTGTATGTAGTTTTTGTCCATATAAAATCAATCCAGGGTGCTTTGTACTTTAAAAATTAAAAGAGACATGAACTGAGATAGCTGTTGTAGGTCAACCCTATAGCGCAACGTCTATCATTTTCAGACAGAGTATTCAGAAACGCATATAAAATAATGCTAATATCACACACGGTAACATCCACGACCAATTTAAGACCTCGGGTCTGGTTTGATATCCAATTCAAGACGCTAAATAGTGAAACTGTCTATCGTGTTTAAAAGCCAAGGAAAGTAGAACCAAGCACTATTTGACAGCACATACCTATTAAGGCAAAGTTAAGGGGACCCTAACAACCCCCCTCCCTTCCACTAGCCATCATTTCACCCCAAAGGGGAAAGAGCATGACACTTACAAGGTTCCCAACGGAAAAAATATTAAAACCCGGAGTCCTTTTTTTTTCCCCTGCTGTACTGTTCTCCCTTATGATTACGCCGTGCGACCCCCTCTCAATTGATGTGGGTAAGAGTGACGTGACACGTTCCTCTCTCTTTCAGAGTCTCAGCTTAAATTCGGGGAAGTCCTTAGATGATCTTAGTCAACTGTTTATCTTTAGAATGCGACCAAATGGACTCATCAAACTTATAGACTATTTTTACGTCTGTGTTGCAGCATGGAGGGAATCTGGGATGATGATGATGAATTGATCAGAATCAAAGGAAAGTTTGGGCGTTTCCAGAAAACCAATCATAACAACGAGTAGAACAAAGAACGAAAGGCAAATTTTGACTCGTATGGGATGGAAGAGGTTTTAATCTCTTTGGAGGGTTTTCGTCTGCCAATTTTTTTTTCAGCAGAGTTATTTGTTTAAGTGGATTAAAACGTATGCAAGTGTATTTTTGATCTTTCTTAATCCATGCTCTTGGAGTGGCGTTGATCTGATCCCAAATCTGCTCTCTCGTGATTTGGCTGCTTTCGTTGCTTCACGGAATTGTGACTTCCTTTTCCTGGATTTTGTCGCCTTCCTGTGGAGTAAAGTAGTAGAGAATAGCTGAAAAGAAACAACAAAGCTTCTCAGCAGTATCGTGATCCGGCAAATTGCTTCTGAATCCCTTGCGGTGATACTTCCCAGCTGACCGCAAATAAGACAACAAGCCGCTTAATTTTTTGGCTTGACAAGTAGTTCTCACGCCTATTGAATCAAATGTTTTTAAAGATAATTATCGTCAGGAAGTATGAAAAGTCGACGCAAACACGAACTGAGAGGGAGCGGAGTCTTGAATATTTCAACATGCACAAGCTTTGCCTTGTGTCAAACTCAAATTTAATTGCGGTGTGGTGGTGTTTCCTCCCTGTAGCTGTCAGTATCAACTATGATTGTATCAGTAACTGATACAACCATAGCGGTCTAATCATTTGCCCTGGGCAAAATATACGTTTTTCGGTTTTTTGATTCACACGCTTTTGGCTTGTGAGCCAAACCGCGCCTAAAAGACGCCCACACCTGGAGGCTATAGAAAGACAGACTTTATCTCAACTTTTAGCACGAGAGGAAATTAAAGCAAAAGTCTGATGTATTTTCATTCTAGCATGTATTATACCTCTGCGCAAATTTAAACTATTTTCTATACTCTTATGTGATTTTCTGGCAGCAGAGCTAACGAGGAAATCGTTTTCTTAAAAATTTGTTTTCCGGTTCTCTCTATACGGCCTAAACACTAAATCACACTGTAAGATGACTTGAACTGTAGCCTTAAAATAATGCCTCTGAGAAAAGGTGCAAGGCTGAAGGCAGATTTAGTTGACAGGAAGATCCTCCTCCACACCCCTCAGGAGCACCGTAAAACGAGTCAAGGAGACTACGACTTAGAAGAATGGAACATGGAAATACATATCTCTCGACGAGGAATTGCATCCTAAATTTACGATTTCGCGCTCCAATGCATTGCCACAAAGCCACACAGGGCCATTACTAGGGCGTCACTTGGCTCGTGAGGGTGAACTGACTCGTTCGTCTAATTCACTCTGAGAGTATTGGAAGTTTCTTCTCATACAGTATTCTGCTTTACTACCCCTATTTGCCACTTTTGACCCCAATCACTCAGAGTTGATAAATTATCACTGAATCAGGATAGCTTTTAACTTCAATCATCTTTATCTTTGATGTTATCGGACTTGTTGAGGCAGATAGACATCGTAAAGCTGGTTCTCGTATTTAAATAAATCCTTAGACTAAGAGGATTTCTCTGAGTCTCGACGGTTACAGATTTGACTGTCATACGAAATCATCAAAATCCTGATTTGTCCAGTATAATTAGGCAGCGTTTACATTCTTCACTTTAACAGTCCTAAGTGGTCCATAGTAAAGTCTGTTATGTTCAACACTTAGATAAAAAAAATCTCTTATTTCCTCAGGCCCTTCCGAAATACGAAAACGCACGCTTTGTTTCACTGCTTAGTAAAAGACATTAGAGCCTGCTATGACTACTTACTTATTGCGGCTTTCTTGCGCCTATACTTACAGGAAAACGAAGGGTGCGAAACCAAACTACGCTTTGACTTCGAGTAGCTAAGATCAGTCGACTCAATCGCCTGTTAGCATTCCAAGCCCTGAATTACATGCATGATATCAAATTTTCTATAATTTCTTCGGTATGCGGCCGAATCTTGAATATTAAAGATTTTGAGTTTCTCACAACGATATCATAATGTCAAGTAAACATGAACCGCCAAATCTTCAAATTTTGACATTGTATCCTTTTATAAGCAAAATCACTTGACATAAAATCTCAAACTTCTTAACTTCAAATTTCACTCACGGTAAGTCACACGCAGAGCCATTACGATAGACTGAGAAGCCGAAGGTTCGATATGTTTCAAGCTTGCAGTTTACCGGTTTATACACCCTGCATGCAGGTAACAAATGGGTAGAAACATGTTGACCACAACTTGGACATCTCGTTTAATCACAGCTGCTTGGTCATTCACTAGAGATATTGTAATATTCTGAACAACATCTCCAAATCTCCACTTTGGAAAAATAGCCAAATCTCGATTACAGACCACACACGAGAAGAGCGTCCTAAAATAGCATCGTGTCGACTGATTTTAAATTCTCAGTCAATGTGAACCTAACATAACTTGATGGCTGACAGCCAAAACCCAGCACAACTCCCTTCATTAATTTATCACCTGACTCCGTCTGTTGACAGCAAAAATTTCCTCATTTGGCGGTTTTCGTGTACAGGTTATGTAATATCAGATGATCTTGTTGCCACTTCTATTAGACGGAAGTTGCTAGCAAATATACATCCTTTGCTTCGGCACGTACAGAATCAGGACAACGTCGTCCCTCCATCCCATGAACAAAGCAAGATCTGTGTTGAAAGCGGCAGTAAGTTACAAGTAAGTCTCAAGTTTTTGTATTACCTCGTTAAATGTCATTTTAAAATATAGCAAGACGATTCGTGTTTAACGAAAATCGGAATAGCTTTCCCGTGACTTTTCCCGTCACTTTTGGATGAGATCAATCATTCGTTGGGCTTATTACGGGTTTCCTTTAATCATTCCTTTCCAGTGCGATACCTAGACCTCCCACTCACATGGCCGTATGTCAGTTTTATACTCTAGATGTCTCTTATCTTTCAAGATTATCTTTCTTTTCCAAAGCCGTGAGCTCTGCGTTTCGCGGTATTTTCGGGTACCTGTGGGAGTTTCAACAATCATTTATGATTCGTACGAATATCTGAGACCCTGTTCAGTTTTCCGGAAGTTTCACTTGAAGTTAAAAAGCGTCTCTGGGACGCACCCATATGAAAGGTCAAGGGAATGTTATTTCCGTGTCATAGGAACGATCGCTTAAGAAGTGATGGTATGCAAAAACGTGCAAAGATAAATTCGTTGGCTGCATTTTGAAAACAAGCAAAGCTTTAGGCTTTAGTCAGCAACATTCGTCCTGTAAGGTAAGGTTTTTTGACTATTACTCTTTTCCAAAACTGCAGTACATTACGGCAATTTTTGCGGATTGTTCTCATTTTTGAAAAATAAGTTAACGCAGAAAAAATATTCGGCGAAATACTTCGCCGCTAAGTAAAGTTTGATAATTTCATACCAGTGAAAGTATTTGCATGTAAATTCAGTTACAGTTTGTCTTGTTAGCATTCGCGATCGGACTTACTCGAATTATAAGCATCTGGCCCCGGTTATTCGAAGCTTGGATAACGCTATTCATTGGATAAATCTCTATCCGGTGGATAGCGCAGTACGTGTTGTACTGCACTTACCACTTATCCGCTGGATATCGATTTATCCGTTAGATAGAGTTATCCTCCCCTTATACAACTGGGCCAGGGAATTATCTTCCACACAGCTTCTCTCTTGATCCAACGCTACAATTAGAAACTTGAAAATATCGTTCCTTCCTTGAATATCTTTTGCTGCTTGACTATAAAATCGTAAGGAATTAGCATTTGCAGTTGTGACGGACTACGAAAAGTTGTTCCATTAAGATAAGAAAAACCTCTAATTCGCAAAACAGTAATCCCCTCGGACAAAACAGCTAAATAAAGTAACATAAATTGAATTTCCTTCTTATTACCACAAGAAAAACAAACAGCAACACTTGAACTGTACAAACTCCCACACAAACTGTGTTTGGAAAGTAACTTGACGAAAATAAAATGGGGGAAATTTGATGCCTTTTGTTCACATGCACGTACCTAACTACTTTAGCTCATTTGTATGATAGCATAACTTGAGATTCAGAACATCATAACTTTTTTTTCTTCCAAGCAAGCAGTCAGTGGGTCTGTTTTGTTCAATTCACTGACAAAACTAACTGGTTTATCCAATATCCTCAAATTTGCCAGTTGTTCCAAATATAGTAATAACTTTTAATGTGTGGAAAAAGCAATTTGATGATTGAAAGTGTCTCTGCTGACCTAATTGAAATACTTTAGTTGATGTTTTCAAGTCTGCTGAATTGAGCTGAAAATTTGTTTTGCTGGTAATCTTGTTTAGTCAATGGATTTTTTAATGCAGTCCTGTGGAGAGAACATTTATCAGACAATGTTTAATTTGTTTAACAACTTATCGCCGGCCATCGCATGCAGTACACGGTCGAAAGCGATATTTGCAATGGACGAATTGTCCATACACGATAAACAAGACTTGGAACCTCTTTCGGAAACATTTCATTCATCAGTCAAATTTCCGGAACAAACTCCATCAGATAATATTGGTTGCTCACGATTCAAGAAATATTGCCGATGGATAATTCAACAGGAAACTGGTAGAATATAATTGAAGATAAAGTATTTGAAACTTGACAAAAGATTTTAAGACATTTTGCGCCTCAATTCACATTGTTTTGATGATAAACTCTACAGGTTCATTGCGTTTATGCAAGTTTTCAATACCTTTCCTTAGTCTTTATGAATAGAGGAAGAAAGTTTTTTTTGTATCAAACAATATCAGAGCTGTGTGTTTGAAAAAGATATACCGTTCTTGCAGAAACAGGAGGATTGCTTGCGAAGTTTCTAGCAAGTTCTCTATTTTTTTTTACCATACTTGCACTAGAGAAACGACCACGATCTAGAATTTTTCGGTTCACTGACCAAGCAGCGAGTTACATCATACAGCGACCTCAAAAGTCACCAAAGTTAATGTAACGTTGCATTGCTCTCTTAATCTCATCATAGAGTATCGAGAAATATTGACTGGAAAATTCTTCCTGCCCGCCTTTTACCTTTTAGTAGTATGTTCTGCGGTCAAAGCTAGCAATTAGCATAATTTGATTGCGTTTGAACAATACAAACTTTTTGAGTATTTTTGACGCAAATTAACGGGTTTAAATTAGGAGTGCCATGAGGTAAAAAGACCGGCTTATGCTTTTGGTGTTAAATCTAACTGTTCTTCTTCACACCGGTAAGTAAGAACTTCAATAATTTTTTTCAAAGTTTTGGCAGAATGTTTAAGTCAAACGCACCACGTGAGGTTACAGTTGAATACAGCATAACAGGGAAAATGTCTTTGTGAATCTGTTACTTGTTACACGCAACTCCAGATAAACTTTCTGCATGTTGTGAGACGGGCAGTGATATAGCGATGACCCCCCTAAGTATGTACAAATGTACGGTTGCATGAGATTTTATCCTTATAAGTAAACGCGACAATTTAAGCAGAGAGGAATTCAAAAGATTCTGAACCGATTATAATTTCGTCGAAGGAACAACAAAGAAAACTTTTTAACAGTAGGTTTTCTTTGATGTTGCGGCATCTCAAAGAGAAACGTCTACGTCGACTAATCATCTTTTCTCGGTGAACCAACGGACCGAGCTGCAAAAATCTTGCAGACACGATTAACTAATTGATGTTCGGTTAATTCCCTATGACATCTTTGCAAGGAACTGATCCACTACTACTTTTACAAACGTTGAACAAGAGACTGCTAACAAGCGTGTGCGATAGGCATAAATCCATTGAAGGAAATTGACACAACGGCTGAACGCAAGTGAATTGTGAGGGAATAAAGGTTGTAGTGAACACATGGAAATATGACGCACCTTGCTTTTATTGTTTCAAAGAAACATTCAGTTCGGATTTAGAAATGGTAGCATTTCGCAAGCACAATTAATTCACGTGCTGTTTCGGCGCAATAAATTCTATGCAATCCCTGTTATGCTCTTATTACCAAATCGCTTTGTTGCGTCATGCAAAGTTCTTCCTTGATAAAGTTTCACCCACAAAATGCTAAAAATGTCAGTTACTAGACGAAATTAAAGCTAAATTCAATTTACTACAATTCTTTTTTCGTCTTGTGGCGGCTCGTCTATGGGAGTTAATGTGTCGCAGCGTAAAAAAAATTAGATCAAACACGCGATTTTGTTTTTTAGTTGCAATTTTTTGCGTCATCGCAGCAATAGCAGAATAAGCAAGTTCTTTTTCTTTCTACACCGGAAACAGAGAACTGATTGCAAACGACGTTTAAGTTTGTTCTTTTAAAAAAAAACATGAGTGAGCCCCTTGTAGCTGAAATGACCTATCCCAAAAATTGTGTTCATTACAAGTCGATTCCCTGCTGTGTGATAGCATGGTTTGGTTTATTTTGATTACTTTTCATCTACGTTTAATGCGAGGGCCGTCTTATCACGCAGAGAAACGGAAAACAAAGTTCGAGCTTCGCTTTGTGGTGTTCTTCAGTTAGTCAAGTCGGTAAGTAACACATTGAGTTTCCAAGTATTTTACATGCGAATTTCTCATTCAAATTTAGTTTGTTCGTCAGCAATAACCGTGTTTCAGTCATCTGATTAGCAATTGTCGCGCGGTAAAACGAGTCCATCAGCAAAAGCAGAACGTGATTAATAGTACTTGCTGGGAGTTATTGTTTAAAGTGGCTTTTATTGCTCTAATGATCAACTGAGATTCAACCGTTACTAACATAATGTTTATCAACTTCTAAGAACCCTGTCAGAAATTCTAAAATCTAGTCTTTATACAGTGTTAGAGACGGACATTGAAACAACGTGGGGGGAATGTTAGTTGATACGGGAAACAAATTGTAAAAAGTCTAAACAATTTTGAACTCAAACTGTTAAAATGACCTTTCTGTGTTGTTGTTCCTTTCCTGGGACTTGTTTCTTTGCCATCCTCCAGTTCGTTTTAGATTTTTCTTTTACGACTGAGCGGTGATGTAAATCTTCAAAGCGGAAAAATGACAGATGATATCAGGAAAGCAACCAAACATTACATTCAAAGTACCTTTCATGGCACTTCGCATGAAGTTCACGTTAAAAAGATTTCGTGCGTCAAGATGTTTTAATTTCAGGGCTTTTCAGGTTGCTTAAACTTGTTTTTAGTTGAAATGGAAACTTAAGTAATCAACTATTGAAGGTTTTCCAAAGTCGATGAACATTTAAGAGGAAAGGATGAGCGAAATTGGAAAGGAGATAGCCAATATTGACGGAAAATATGAAAATGGCGTTGATTGCAAAATTGAAAAAAACAAAAACGAAGAAAGCCAAAAGATAAAACTAGACCGTGACGTAACGGCTACAAATTCTAGACCTATCTTAGGTTGTGGAGCTAAACTTGTTACATAACTGAATGAAAATTTTGAGTGGGGGCTGGCTTCTCACACGTAATCCTACTTTTATTAAGCCGTCCGTCCCACACCAACGCAAGTTAGCCTAATTATCAGATAATCTGTCCTGAATGCGGATAACTCAAGGTATTGAACCACAAGCTGGTAGCTTTAGGTTGAGGTCATGAAGCTTCTTATGGCCAGAATTTGACATTGATTTATCTTTATGTACTGCTATCTGTTTGTTTATTTTTCGGGTCAAAATTAACACAATTAGATAGTGAAGTTCTGAGGGTCAGGATTGAAGGATGAAATAAAAATCTGGATGAAATTGGAAATTGGCTGACGTTCTTCATCGTGGAATCAAGAACTAGTAAAGACCAATGTTTTTGCTTTAATTTCATGCAAAAATGTAAACGAAAAACAAACAAACAATTGGCAGAAACAAACAGAAAGTATAAGATTTGTTGAGCGCTTTATTTTCTTCGTTATGAGTTTTGGTTCGAGTGTTCCTCCAACTATTCCGAGATGAAATGTATATCAAAACCTCCTCCTGAGGTGATGGTTTTTACGACCAACGGTTAAAATTTTTGCCATTTTACGGCTAACAGTTAATTTCCTTCTGTTATTTTAAAATATTAATTTTTACAGTTTACATTTTTAACGACTAGCGGCCAAGAGTTGTCAATTTTACGCCTCACGGCTATTTTTTCCTCTTTTTATGCCATTTTACGGCTAACGGTTAATCTTATTGTTACCCCTCTACTGAAATCTCTCGATTATCGTGTTCAAAATGGTATGCCAAAAAAAAAAAAAAGTTTGAGTTAAATCTTGGAAGAATGTGCTAGCTTATCATTTGTATGACATTAACCAAGTTGTACTTCAATACATTCTTCCCCCCCCCCCACCCCTCCCTCCAGCCCTGGGCTCCTCAGCCCTGAGGGGTAGAAGGAAAAGCTGACCATGAACAATTTGATACCTTGCAATAACGATGGCGAGACAAAAGGGGTTTGTTTGTTATTCCCTGAATATCTTAGAAGTGCTCTCGTTTTAGTCTTAAATGGACTTTTGATGCGAATGCTCTCACACGTTGCAAGTGGCAGCGTTCCATAAATACGGTTCGATTGTATTTTTAGGGGACATTTTTTAAGAAGTGTCAAATAGTTTGTCTATTTCAGTAATTGTTAACAAAACAGGAAATGTTGACACTTTCAAACGTGTCTATAGACTATTGAATTCCCAAGGATGCATTCTTTGATGTCATTTCTTTTCCACATTCGCGTGATACAAACGACATCGTAAGCGCTCCTTCATTCCTGAGAAAGAAATAACTCTCCTTATAAATCTCCTTTTACCTCCAAATTTTGTGGATTGGTGCATCAAGCGACGAGTCTGAATGTAAGTAAAAGTAATCCACTAAAGAAAGCAAACGATGAAAAAAAAATATATATATATATATATATTTATGGCCACAGGGATAGAGCCGAGGTCAAAACGGATTGCAAAGACAAAACAGAAATATTTTGACGAAATGTACGAGACGCGATATGCTCCTCTCTCTGAAGTAGATAAAATTCATACCGGTGAACGCACAATAATCTGCCACCATCACAAATGAAGCATCGCAGAAAACTAACTGTCGTCCTCTGTTTCATGGCAAGCTTCGATGGCAAATACTGACTTTTTAACCCCAGTTGGCCACACTAGAGTATGTTTTCGTTTTGGAAAGTAATCGGAGGGGAGTTTCTTACACTTCAGTTCAACTATGTGAACATGAATGATTTACGCACGCGGGCTGAAATCACCACAAACAGAAATCAACCCACATTATTTAGGTTTTGTTGTTAAGGCCGAGAAATTGCAATTACATTAGGATTTCAAAGCCGGAGAACTGAATATACGATATGATGGTCTATTGGAAGCGTTGTAGTTACAATAGCATCAGTCAGGCAAGTTATTTGTGATCAGTACCAGTCCACTGATATCAAATAGTGGATACTTCACGCAAATGTTCTTGTTGTGTTAATAAATTAGAAAAGTGGTCTACTTATGTCACAGCTATTACGATTTTTGACTCCTGTTGCTTTCATTATGAGTACCAAATTATCTCAGAATGAAGACAGAATCTTAACGGCAAATCAAATAAGATTGTAGTTGCCTTGGGTTGAAGAAAAAAAAAATGTTATGGAAGTTATAGATGTATTTATAAATGCCCACAACCAGGAGTCCGCAACAAATATCTCATTCATGAACGTAAAGCGCGCACGTCACCACAATCGAAAAAAGAAAAAAAATTTGAACAAAATTTCTCTCGTACTTTCTTATGCAGCTGTATGGGAAAAGGAAGTAGACCACTTCAATAATTCATTTTTAGTTCCTTAGATGAATAATTGAGATAAGTCAGTTTATTAAAAACTTTTTCTGATATATCGAGATATCGAGATTCTATCTGTACGACTTCTATTTTTGGTGCAAATTGATAAGCTAACGTTAATTACAGGAAGTTGGCTAGCGTAAACTAGGCTGAACGGAGGATATAAAGCAACAACAAATAATTTCTATTTCTCTGATTTAAAACAAAAGAAAAGGAAATCCCCTTACAAGGAGGTTATCCAACATTGTTCGGATAATTCCATGGATCATCGTTTCAAGTGTAGAAAATTCAATATGTGATACTCAGAAATTTCACAGCGGTAGACATTTCAGCTTTCCCCAGCTGTCGCGTTCTGGGTTGGTTGTTTTAAATATTCATAAAAGAGACCGTTCTCGTTTTGTGGTTTTACGTGGGTATAAAATTTACGTGGTACTAAAATTTATTTAATCGGTTTTATTTCATTGGCAGATTTCTCTAGTATCAAGCTTTGAATACAACGTTCTTCACCTCTCACCAAATCAGTCGAAGCGCGGGCAAAATGACTTTGGTAAAATATTTCGCTGTCGCGAGTTTGCTGTGTTCAGCTCTACAATTTCCTGATCTTGTTTTCTCGTCTCGACAAAGGATTAAGCGTGTGCCATTCACTTCTTCTCCAAAAGGAGGTGATAATGTGTCGTACAAACAAGCACACAAAATACCAGAGGACGTGATGGACGACGATTTTCCACCTCTTAGCTTTTACATCCAAGACGTGAACATCACCTCTTTGCAGAGAACAAACCAAACCAGCTCACTTGGGTGGAACTATACTAATTCTAATGAGCTGGATTTCGACGGATTAACTGTATCAGCCAATGACTCCATTAAAGACAGCTTACCAAGGCTCAACTATGAAACCTTTTGGTCCAATGGAAGTTTAACGCTCACCTTAGTGGAGCTTAAAAAGGTCGAGGGGATGGGAAACGCAACTCACGACGTATGGAGCAAGATGGCAGACTTTGAGCTAGAAGTATCCGATGTGGTTCCCAGTGACTTTGACGTTGTCAACGATCCTCCTAACATGGGGCGTCATCGGCGAAAAAGAGCTGTATTTGGTCCAGATGAACGAATTAAAGTCCGCTATGACGATTCGAGACAGCTTCCATACTCTGCGGTGGTGAGGATATCTACTGGCTGCACAGGCACCCTTATCTCAGAATACCATGTGCTGACAGCGGCACATTGCGTTCACGATGGCATGAATTACCTCGTCGATGTAAAGCACTTGAAGGTGCTCGTCTTGAGGCATCAAGGAAAGGTCATCAAAATTGGAGTCGACTTCGTCAAAGTTCCGCGAGGATGGACTCTCTCTCGCGATTACCGTTACGATTATTCCGTCATAAGACTCAAACGGGCGCACAACAATGAATTCCTAGGCATGTATGAAATTCCTGCCGCCCTGGACATTCGAATAAAAATCCAGTTCGCTTCTTTTCCCTTCGACAAAGAACAAAATACTCTGTGGTACTCGAATTGTGCAGCTCATTGTCGTAATCATGCCATCATCAATCGCTGCGATTCTAACGCCGGAAGCTCTGGTGCAGGAATCTACGCCCTGATGAGGAAAGGTAAAGTAGTAGAACGGTTCGTGTTCGGAGTATTTACTGGTTTGGGAAGCCGCGTACGGTTTCGTGGAAAAATGCGTCTCATGAACATAGGCACGAAGATTACACCTCTAAAGCTAGCGCAAATTCGTGCCTGGATGGGTCTGCCTCCAAGAAGACATAAAGGTTCAATCGACCAAAAAGCCAAAATGCCTGTCTCTCCCAACCATTAGAAACAAAGAAAGCTCTTAATCAACTCAAAGGAGAAGCTATGGAAACTTTAAAGTAACGGCCGTTTTCGTGGAAATTGTAGTCACGAAATTTTTTCTTTGTACAGGGCAATAGGGTTGTGATACCCCACGTTATCAATCAGCTATTCTTTTGAAAATCTTTCAGTTGTGCAATGGAACATCTAAAGGACAGACGTCTAAAAAGACTACTTATTTGTACGGGAAATATTTACCAGCGAGCCTCGACTTCGGACATCCAAACACGCATGTGTCAAACGAAGGCAATTTATATGAATTAGATATTCTAAAATCAGATGTACGCGAGTAGATTGGGACCAAACTCCTTCAATACATTCCGGTTGCGTGTTTTTTTAATCTTCTTTCCATCTGCATGGTTAAATTCCATTTCGGAATGTGATGTAATCTTCGTGCCTAAATTCCATGTGTTTCACAACAAAGCTAACATAGCCACCGCATATGTTCCACGTTGTTCTAGGGAAAAAGAGGATGATATTATGACTCTCGCAGGTGTCTTGAGCACTGTGGTATAACTCATAGCAATACGCAAACTCAAGGCACGTGTAATAGTGGTCCCCCAACAGACACCTGATTTTAGGGCATCCACTGCATTTAAGCTTTAAGAAAAACGTTTCGTAATTATTGTCCGCGGAAGCTCAGCATTTTGAGGTTTAAGAGTCAATGAACTTCTGCTTTGAACGTTTCATATACGTTCAACATGCATTTACGCGGAAAGGACTTTGTCAATTCCTACGAGCTAGTTATCAATCTTTAACTGTTGTTATGTAACTCCCAATCGTTAACTCAAATATTGGTTAGATTTTCTTTAACTTATATAACAGACTTCTCTTTTTATACTATCGGCTGCTCCCACGAGGAAGATTCAGGGCAAGAATAATATTATATTAGCTTATTTAACTGAATTTAACTTAGTCAAAATGAATGGCAAATAAGTTGTATTTATATAACAACATACTTTGCTAATAAATATAAACAATAAAATGGCTCAGGTTCTCGGTTAATGAGGTTAATGAGAGAAATTCACCCAGTCTTTCAGGTTTTTCTCTTACTCACTCATCTTACGAAGGGCTTGGGACGGGTCTTTTCATATAAACACTTTCAGAAAGTGTTAGATGACATATGCAAGAACTCTCACGCCGCATCATTCCTCTCAAAATATCGTTGTTTTAAATAATCCCATTCGACAAGTTATTAATTCATTCATTATATGAGAAACTGTTGCTTTTGTTCTGTTACATTTAATTCTTTTTTTGTTAAAAAACTAATTGGTCACGTCACAGTCAACTAGTCAGCGCACCATACAAATTTATTATATTAGTATTATGCTTCACGGCCCCCGTATCAAGCGTGGGTGCGAGTTTCAAAGCGCGTTTGCGACGAAAGATACCGGCGAGAACACTCGCGGGTAGTAGCCTTTTCTCTCCTTCCCCTGGATGTCATCTTAATCTTGCTTACGTACAGCGCTACGGCAGGGTTTTGTAATCTGTTTGGAAAAACCAGACAAAGGTTTGTGACTGAATAGTAAGATTAGCTTCCTCCTTGCTAAGGAGATGGCGTGACCGAATTATTTACAGAGAATACGACTGTCGTCCAGGAGATCTCGATTTCGAGTAGCTTGCGGTGCTGGCATAATTTTGGCAGGCAAGTGTTCAGTATTTTCTTAGTGAAAATCATAGCCGCCCTCTCTGCTTTTTACAGGCTGGGAAGGCTGGGAGGAGAAAGAAATCTGTACCAAGAGGGCGAGCAACGGTCAAAACGAAGGAGAGAGGAGGGATGGGGTGATAGAAATTCTTGCCCCCTCCCCCTCCCCCCACCATCCACTCTAACTCTTAATCAAACATGGCATCCCAGATAATGATCGTGCGCTTGTAACGTTAACTCGCCCTGATACGACACCCGCATTGCGGGGTATATTTCGGGTCCTGACCCACGCTGTTCATTGGCCGACTGGTTTGCGCTCTGCTACTTATGACTTTTAGCCTTGTAATCTTCCACTTGAACTCTTTTTTTCACTCTTTTTCCCGGTCACACAGGCCCTTGAGCTGTAAGCACTGTATATAAATACCGATTTCTTCATAATTGCGTCAACACCAAAATATGCGAATCTGATTGGTTGTTGACAGCCTTGACTCATGAGCTAATTGGATATTGCAAGACCAAACTGTCTGTTTAGACCCGTTAGATCAAAAGACGTTTTTCGTATGACACATCGGACAAGACAATTCATAACCCAAATTAAAGCAAATTAACAAATAAGTGGGGAGGTTTTTCGACTCTTTATTGAGGAATGACTGAATTTAGGAGGGAAGAGGACCAATGCATTATAACTAATCTGACACCACTGATTTAGAGAGTTAGGAAATAATATAAAAGCCAGACTTAAATTAACAATGCAATAAATGCAGTTCTAAACAAATGAAGAAGAAATAGATAATTTATTTATCTATTTATTTATTCATTTGTGATATTTATACAGGCAGGCCCGGCTCAGCTTTAAATCTGGTTTAAATGGAGGCCTGCGTAAAAAATAACAAGGCCAGACGACAACAAAAGAACCTATATTCCCTACTATATTCCTATATTCCCGAGAAGTGCGTTGGTTCCTTAACAGAAAGAAAGTTTGTCAAAACACCTCCGAAATATTTCCATTACTGAGTTCCTGCGCCCTATTAGTGACAATTAATTGGCAACATGTCAAGAACTATCGGACGAATTTATTAATACTTTCAATATTTGACATAGGTAGAGATGTCAAAAAAATTATTCTTGTGTATATCTAGATATCCACTGGTAACTATGACTTGAAATAGTATCGGTCGTCTGGAGAAAAGCATGGAAATAGGCCAATGTTTCCAAAGATAAACTTTCCTTAACTCAAAAATACGAAAAAAAAAACATGAAATAAAAAAATGGAGCGGGGTCGTTTGTCATACAGTGGTATTTTAATATTTGAAATGCTGTGAGTCGTCTGCATGGCACAAGCAGCTTATATTCTATTGTTAAACAATATTTCTGAAAAGTGAGAGATTGAGCTTGAGTTTAGTTGGATTAAGACTCGACAAATCTAACCAGAGCTAATAATAACGCAATAGTGAGTTTCTAGTATTGTTCGTCTAAAACCTACTCAATTAGAAGAAAGCGCCCAATTTACGGATAACAAGCCAACCATTCCCTTAAAAAATTAAATTGTCGATGTTTGCTGGTTCTTTTTTCGGAGCTCGATAAATATCCAGCGACAAACTGAACTCCGACCAGTAATACTAAACTTCGCTTGTGCCGGAATCATATATGACACCAAACGAATATATTAAGGGGACCCTTATTTTCTCTTGTTGATATCAAGAGGGCACGTTGACACACATCCATTTTCAAGCAAGTATCGAAAATAATGCGCTTTTCGAAACAAAACTAAAACCAAAGTAATCACAACAGCCGATCAGAAGAAACCAATGAGAACGCAAAGTTCGTAAAGGGCGGGAAAACGCGGGTGACTAAGTCATAATTGTTTTTGGTTTTGCAACTGATTAATGGAGAGGGTGGCTCGAGTTTTCTGGATCAATCGCAGAGCAAAGTAAAGCAAGACCAATGCAATCTCGGATTACTTTGGACACTCAATTGACAATGACACACACAATGATTACCAAACGACAGGAACGTGTATACAGGCGACACGTGTATACACGGCAATTTTCTGCAATGATGCCTCTGAAAACAGCCCAAACGATGTCACTTAAAAATTGTAACACGTATCTGGAAAGAACTCTAAATGCACAGATCTACGAAATTAGGAATCCAAGTAATGAATCTCTGAAAGTATTTAAAAGACAAATAACTTAATATTGATTGCGATTGTGATTTGAAGTTTGCATTAGAGACATTTGCAGTTTCTTGTGTAAGACTTATTATCAATGTCAATTTTCAAGTGGTGTTATGAATTGCATTTGAGTTGCGCTTTGTTCTTCGTTATAAATATCTAGCTTCATAATTAGTTTGTGTGGACAACTTTCTTAATATCTGAAAACTAAACTAAATTTTTCAATTACACACATCTAACGGAGCAAAAAGCAGCAAACAACTGCCGATAAGTTTATGATACGCCAAAATCGTGAGGCTGTTTTGTTTGGTCGGCTTTACCTTTGGTTCTTGTTATGCTATTTTTGTTTTCGTTATTTTTTAGCTCCACAAACTGACAAAAAGTAATCAGACAATGCTAAATCTGCTCCAAACTTCTCTCTCTATATTTGTTTTTACTGTTGGCTAAACTGTTGCGGAACAAAACTTTCTTGACGGTAAACGAGAGAAAGTTAATCGCTTTACATCATTAAGGATTCTTAGAGTGTAACGGGCCCTAACAGAGTTTAGTGATTGTATTGTGAAAACTCCTCAAGGAGAGATGTTAAGTACAGAGACAGACTGGCGACTGAAATTAGCGGACAGAGACGAAATTCAAAACGTAAACATGTTGTAAATATTTTAATAAGCTCCCGAGGGGCTGATAAAATTTCCATGGCTGTAACTTAAAGAAAGCACGATCGCGTAGGCGGGCAAATCGGAGGGAGCAACAGATCGTAAGTTTTTACGCTAGATTGAAAACTGTAATATTTGTCGATGTAAGACCATTTTAAAGTTTGAAAGCTCGTTGTGAAAGTTATGCGTGGATTAATTAATTTGCACCCAATGTAAATCACGTTTTAATGGGAAGTAGAGTACAATCAAAGCGTTTTTCTTGAAACTCCTGCAACTGTTATTTTAAAGAGGAGCTTTTTCGGTGCTCGCCACGATTTCTTGATACCGGCGGAAATCTGAACATAACATAAGTTATTAGTAACAGCAGCTCACGCATGTAGGAGGTGGTCAGTGTTGGATTGACTTGTTAGATACATTCTATCTCTTCCGGCGATGTTTCCAGGGGCAAGCGAGGGTACGCGACAGATGTTGTAAACATTTCCGGACATGGTGCGATGGAGAGCGTAGATAAAACCACGATTTCGCAACAATTCTGACTTGAGAGACAGACCTTGAACTCAACAAATCAGATGCTGGTTATTAACCGCTTAAATTGAGAAAAATTGCGATGGTAAATGAATCAGTTCGTTCTTAGATTTATCAAACGATATCTTATAAATCACCAAATAGTAGCTCACCTGAAAACAACCACAGGAATATGTAGCTGTGAATTTCTAAAAGTCAAGGTCGCCGGCCTTGAAAGTAAATGATCCCGAAGATGATAAAAGTATGGAATATAAAAATTATTTCGACCTTAGGGGCAGTCTACTCTAGCTATAGCTCTAACAGAGTGATATTTTAAAGTCTGGCTCTATTTTGAGGTATACCCCCTACTAGGGGACGCTAAAAAAGTTAATGATATCGTGACTTCAATTTCGTAACTTGGTATGCGATAATAATCAGAGACTTTTTGAAAATAGCAGGTCTGAGATAGAGCATGTTGTTTACTTCAGTGTGCTATCAAGGGGTTTTAGAATGCATCTTAATGTTATCTATAGAAGGTAATTAAACATCGATTGTGGGTTTAAATTCAAGAGCGTTGGATACCCGCGCAGCCGCAAAAAGTTATAGAGCACCCTCAGTAAAGCCTTTTAGACCGTGAACACTAGGAATGAACGTTGTCTTCCCAGCAAGTCGTGTTCGAATCGTAGGTTTTCAAACGTTACAATCAGTTAATATAACTAATATCTATGAGCTTATCTATTGTTCATCTGTGCTTCAAGGACGACGAGAAATGGTGGTGAATGGTGTTGGGTGACTGAACTTAGCAAACGAATGAGGCTGATATCTGAAGACATAGAGTGTAATCAATTGGAGAGTGCGTTTGATATAGCATCACTTTTTATCATGTTATAAAGCGAGGGCTTAATAGCTTATATAACAAACGTTGCAACTCAGAGTTACTTTTTCAGTCAAGGCATGAGCAAGAGCTCGAGGTCGTTAAAAACAGTTGAACTCCATTAAAAAAGGAAACACCAGGAGTGAAATCACCATATATCTAGGATTTTTCCATGAATACATGTTTCCATATTTTGGCGCAGTCACATGTACTTATTCCCAAGTGACATATCTTTCCTTAAATGATCATGACCAACATCGATTCTTTCGTAAATGCGTGGTGACCTGACGATTAAGAGTGTCTCTGACTTAAGGTATATACACCATTAACCCACTTTCTAACTCATTGATCAAGATTGGGCGAAAACTGACCACTTGAACTTTGTGCATGTAGATCTTGACAACAAGGAGTGCTTTCTTATCAACACTTCTGATCTCAGTTTGGAAGTTTTCTAGAACAATTTTGAATTCCTCGTCGAATATGTTTTCTCATCCGCGCACGTAATAAGTGATACAAAAAGAAAAGAAATATAATCTTGATGTAAGAAAATTCTATCTCCACGAAGGAGACATAATTTTAATGAAGAACTAAGGGTGTTAGCCATTTGAAAAATGACGCAAGCATGGGGTCGAAGTATTCTTGAAAGATGAAATTAGCCTCTAATTTTTTTTGCCGGACAGGAATGTTTACAGTGAATTCCAAGTTCGTCTGTTTTTAAGCCACTGAGTTTCTTTTATGACGTCAAAGGACAATCGTTAGATAAAACTGGTCAGGTTTAACAAGAGAAAGAGGACACCGCAATTTGTTTTGAGTGCCACAGCTTTCTCCAAAGTCGTTTGGTCCACTCGTGTATTGGATCAAGCGGCAACATGGCGACACACACTCGCTAAGGATTACCTCCTTTTATTGTCAGAGAAAACTAACGCTCTCTTAGACTAATTTGTAAACATTACACAGACAATAAGCGGGAAATAGCGGGCGGGATAAAGGAACTTGCTCCTACAGAAAAACTTTCTTTGCGATCTCTAGGAAATGTTAGCCGTAAACAAAGAGTTTCTAGGTGACACAGAAATCTAGACACAACTTTCTGATATACTCCCTTTCGAAGAAGGCTCAATCTTTTCAAGATTATCAAGAGCGGGTCTAGACAATCCATTGGATTATTGTTAACGTTTATCATTTCGTTATTTATATTTCTTTTATTGTGGCTTGAATGAATTTCATTCTCACCGTCGTGGGCGACTCAGCTATTTTTTTCAAATCACGAAATTCACACATGGAAGTTATCAATTATGATTAAGTGAAAAAAAAAATTTAGTACCTCCGTTTCTATTCAGACGTAATTTCAGTTTACTGCTTGTTAAAGGTATTGACGCAGCACAAAATTAAAATAGCATTAACTGAATAGCTGACATTATGATGCGTCATATTGTTTGAGGTTAGTCTTTAAGACTCCGGAAATTACATATCCAGGAGAAAAAATCAGAGACTACTGATATATATTTTGTGCGTAACACAGTTCCCACAGTTTAATATTCCATTGGCATTATGTCAAAATTAACGAAGTAAATCATGTATTAGTCGAGCACTGATATTTAAGCACATCTGAAGGGCAATGGGAAGTTTCATATTTTCATAACTTTTGTTTCTTTCCTCGTCCACATTAGGTAGTACGACAACCAAAATTCCTTTGGAAATGTTCTGGAATTTGACATCATAGCAATAATCATCCGTTGTTTTTCTTTGAAAAGTCCTCTCTTGCCAAATAATAACAAAATACTTGAGCTAAGCCAGTCAGGCGTTTCAAGGTTTTTTAAGTTGTTACAAAGATAAAACGCGGTACAATAAAAGACTAATTTTTTTTCCTTTTCTAAAAGAGCTGAGCCGTGAAAAAAAAAAACGCCTTTAGAAACAATACTTTTCCAGCTCCCTTTGTTAATTTATTCCTGTTACATATTTCATTTGAGGTTAAAAAGAACTTTCTTTTTTGTTTCATCACACAATTGCAGCCCACACCGAAGTCGCAAATTGGACGCTGCGGTTTCACTTAAACAGGCGCTGATTTGGTCCGTAGACCTACAAACCCACGCCTGTGGAACAAGAGAATTAAACCGAGCACCGTGAGAGAGCAGATGGAGGAAGCTTTTAGGTTAAATTCTCACGAATATTTTTTTAATAAATGGTTAGTGTGTACTTTTTAGGAAACTGAGCATTTTTTTAAAAAGTTATCAAGATCTAAAGAGCCGACATGAACCTTTGAAAAACAAGTTGTTTCTTACCAAAAACAATTCTCTACTCATGAGTTTACGTATGTGCGAAACTGTTACGGTATAGATTTTTTAAGAAGGCTCTTAGACGCGTGTGCGTTATTTTGGAATATTTAGTAATTCTTTCGCTCTTTCACCTGCGATCTCCGTGAAGTCTCTCGAATATCGGACTGACGAGATTGAGCCTGTTCTTTGTGCTTTTTAAGGAAAAAATTTTGCGTAACAACCGCAATCATATGCATATAAAAACATCAAAACAAGATCACAGACACAGACTCTAACAGCTCACTTGGAAGAATACCTCAAAGAGACAAGAGATAGGGAAAATGAGGAGCTTCGTTTCTTGGAAAACTGTCATAATTGTTGCGTTGTTGCTGAGAGTTTATTTGGCCGAGGAAGTTATTGCTGCGTTGGAACGCCCGGAAAAAACGAAGGAGCCTCAAAAAGCCATAAGATTTCTTAGCTCAAAGAAATCAGGCGGCAACTTTGGTGGCAACAAGACCACCACGATTTCCGAAACGAAAACCATCAGCAACGGTTTCTTGAAAAATGTCCCTTTTACAGTGTCCTTCGATGATCCCGAAGAAGATCTCACCGACTTTAGCTACCAAACGATTTGGCACAATGGCTCGGTAACATTTACAAATTTCTCTGTTCATGATTTAGATCATTTCAACTCAGGTAACAGATCTGAAACTCAACACGTGTTAGGAGATGACTCAGTAATTGGTGAGCCCGAACTTTTGTCCTCATCTCTGGAGGAAAGTTATCAAAACTTTTCCCGAACTTTTGAGCAACGTCGCTTCAAGAGAATTATCTTTGGGCGTGACGGTCGCATTAGATTAAACACCTCTACTCTCGCTCAGAAATTTCCTTTTTCGCCATATGTCAAAATTGCAGCAGGTTCTTTCGAATGTTCAGGGTCACTGATTTCTCCGTTTCACGTTCTGACGTCAGCGCACTGCGTTCACGATGGTCAACGGCCGCTGACAGACATGGCCAATCTGAGAGTAGGAGTTCTGCGACGCAATGGAAAATTCCGTTGGATTCGTGTGGTTAAAGTCAATTTTCCGGAAAGCTGGCGCCGTAATTCCGATTCATCAAACTTTGACTATGCAGTAATTAAGTTGATTAAACCTCACAAACGACCCTTTTTCAAGCTCGGAGTGATTAATAGGGCAGGTCCACAATACAAGATTCACTTCGCAAGTTTTCCCGGTGACAAGAAATCAAACACAATGTGGTATAGTCACTGTAATACGCGGGCGAATGCCAATTTGCTAATTTGTAGATGCGACGCCGCTAGAGGAAGTTCGGGGGCTGGGACTTACGTTAGAACCAAGCTAAAGGGGTCTGGGAAAGACCGTGTGATAGTAGGTGTTCTTTCGGGGTCTGGAATCGTCAAGCTTCCCGACGGCAAGAAGCACTTTAATTTTGTAACCAAGCTAACAACGTCAAAAGCAAGGCAGATATGTGGCTGGATAGGAAGAGGCTCAAACTGCGTCACATGGAATTCGTTTGACGCTTCTAACCAAGCACGACTTCGATCAGACCGTTAGAGGAATGCAACTTCGCTGTCTTGGTTCCCAGGATCTCTCTTCTTCTCAGCGGATTTGGCAAAGGAGAGACTGTAGAAATGTGCGGAAGTCTGAAACTTCGCCAGAACATTCTTACAGGCTGAGAAGGCATGCATAAATGCCTCGATAAAAACTATGGGATAATCCTATTTTCCTAGATTTGTCTCCCTTTCCTCTTACTGGCCGCAAAATGTTGTCGCAAAAAAAAATTTGAAGAGTACCTATAACAAACTAAGGCATTAAGACAGGAGCCGGCCCCGCTGTGAATAAGAATAACTATGACAATTTCTCATAATTTATCAAGAAATGTGAAGAATAAGAGGGATATTTTCAAAATCCTGGAGGTGTGCATTTGCAATAATTTCATTAAAAGATCTTACCCCTCACAATCAGTAACGTGTTTTGGTTGTTTGTATGCCAGAGGATGAAGAAAACGGAGGGGAGGAGCTGGAGAGGTGGCAAAGGACTGAACCATCCACCCACCCGTACATTTAAGGACTATACTAATCTCCTACCAAGATCCTACTGTTTAACTGCGACTGAAATGTAGAGACCTTACGACCGCTAGGCCGTGGAAGGTCTAGGTACGCGACGCTTGGCTGTGTAGGGTCTTGGCACGAGACTAGGACCATACGTCCACTCAAAATATTTCTTGTTACCTTCTGCATTAGAAGTGATTTACATTTCCAAGATAATCACACGCGCATTTAGGATAAGAGGATTCTTTGGAATAAAAGTGCTCTCTCCCGTTTTTGTTTTCTTTTGTTTGTTTCCGAAGGAGATTGAACAGTTTTTGAAGGTTATTGGAAAAGGACTAAGTAGGAAGCTGCATTTGGAATAGGACAGAAATAGGAAAAAAGGCCGACTTGGAGATCCGTGGTGGAAGACTGAGATCAATTTTTAAAACGGAGCGGATGAAGATTAAAAGACAGGTTCCTCCACTTGTAAAGTATTGATTGAACTCGAAACTAATCGAAAGTTTTCACAATATCACTTATAAACAGGAAATTGTTTCACAGGTTTCACTCTCGTGGTTTACAATTGAGAATTTATCATCACTTATCAAGTAAATGGCAAGAGTGATGAATGGTCGTTTAGCAAAATGATCCATGGTTTACCTTTACTAGGTTTATATTAACAGTCTTCACACAATATTACAATTAGCACTTCGCTGAGCTACGTCACGGTTAAAGATCGTGAAAAAATTAGGCTAAATTTTTCTCTGACGTAATTTGGGATTATCAACAGAGTTGTCAACGTAAATTGGCTACCATAAGAATTTCGAAGCTAACGTTTCGAGAGTTAGCCCTTCGTCAGAACGAAGAATTTACACCGACGCAGCATAAAAGTTTCTTTAAAAACTGACCCCCCTTAAAATCTGTTATTTTTGTCATTCGAAATCGATTCAGACAAACATGATCGCTTTCAAAGAGTGTCATTGTTGCTCGATCTGAAAACGTGGAAGTCATTAAACTGCCCCCTCGAGGCTGATCACAAATCTGTTGTCAGAGGCAGGTTTTTTTCTCGAGTGCTATGGAATGACTGTCTCAAATATAAAAGGGTAATTTAGTAATATCAACTGAGTTGATATCGTAAATTGCCCACCGAAAAGAGTTTCAAAGCTGACGTTTTTACCGTTAGCCCTTCGTCATTCGCTCTGACGAAGGACTGACGCTCGAAACGTCAGCTTTGAAACTCTTTACGGTGGCCAATTTACGTTTTCAACTCAGTTGATAATACTAAATTACCCTGTTATGCTCTCCCACTCAATTGAAATTGGAAAGGACCGTTACTGCTCAAGCGTTTAGTTCCGTATACCGGAAGTTATGTTTAAGGTTGGTATAGTAACGCAGCAAAATAATGTAACAGGAAGAGCAAACTTTAAGCAAGAATTTAAAGATGCCAAGTCAGTGACGTGTCCTTAAAGAAGGGAAAAAGAAGGGTAAGTAGGAAAAATGTGATGAAAATTCGGGGAAGAAAAATTTTGAGTTACTTAATTGAACTCTGGTCTACAACCAACTGGTCGGGGCTAATTTCCTAATGATATTTATTGAAAGATTAGTGGAAAATTGTTGAGGTTAACCACATTTAACTGCAATATCACCCTATCACTCTTATATTCAAGATCTCTAGTTAACTACACGTGGATCTGTGGATGCTGGTTCTTACAGTGATCTTTTTAAAGGGTTTGCCGGATCGAAATTTCTTGGAATGAAAAAGGTGTTTATCTAAGGTGATGATGGGAGAACTCTCTTAATTTTCGATCTTCCAAATTAAGAAATGAATAAAATTCGAAAAAAACAACTTTATCTGTCTTGGGGCAACTTCGATAACTGACCAGCTGACGTGTTTGCTTTACAGGGTAATTTCTGATGGAAATTGTTAACGAAATAGGAAAAGCTTCACCAGCCACGTGGCGGAAGGGGATTTCAAAAATAGATCTGAACAACCCACTCAAATATACAAAAAAATTAGGCAAAACAGATAACGTTTCAGGAAATTTGGAGGCACTTACGACGTACGCTGCAAAGTGCGTTTAGTTAATTACCTTCCTGTTTCTGTTACTCTGACATGACATTTCCTTTACGTCAATGATCTGAGACAGTGAAACATTACAACAAGGCTTGCTCCTTTTTTACCTCCAAAGCACATGAACTTTGGACTGTTACTTCAGAGAAAACTAAATTTTCGCCGCTTTTCGATCAAGATCGTAGGCTCATCCCCAAACAGCAGCTTGTCATCGAGCGCTGTCCCAAAGACACATACATGATAACTATTACTTCAGTTTTACGCTACTGCTGTCGTTGATCTTTCAAAGTTCGTCGCCATGTAATGTCAGCACTTAGCTTGAACTAAAAGAGCAATCCAGAATTTTCACGCAGCACTTAGTTACGCCTCCTGCAGCATTTGAATTCTTCGCTCATTCTTTAGTCAAAAAGTTTATCAATTTTCCGTGAAATCACCCACACCAATCTTTAATTCCTACTTTGTTGTGTGCTTTTGACGAATTACACCACTGAGGTAACCCTCTATAGAACAACTTTTCACATACATTTTAAACCTAAATATGGGTTTCTTTCGCTTATCAACACTTCAAACTTGATCGTTTATTGTAAGTTCATTAAGAATTTGCACAAAACATTACTACACTTTACTGTTACTATCTTCTATAATTGTTGGCCGATGATGAAATGAATGATAATAACATAACATTCAACGATCGAGTGCTTAAGTCATTGAAAAGTCAACTAAAAGATTTTTGGACTAGGGTAACAACAGTGAAGTAGCTCTGGCTAGATACCTAGAGCGATATTGCTTGAACTATCGACAATAACTAATGATGTGAAGCTCTATTGGCTATTTTGGTTAGAGGTGCAGCCATTAACCTTGAACCGTAATAACTATTACACTTCACAAGACTTAAATAATCATGAAATAACACATAGAAGATTATTTAGTGTGTCCAATGCGTGTTAATTTAATTTAAAATTGTACTCTGACCTTTGTATCAGTCTGCAAAAATAAAATTGATATCACTGTGTTATTCACGTGCAAGTCTGATATTTCGCACAACAAGGAAATCTAGAAGACTTGCTTGGTACTTACTCACCATGACGTGTTGAAATATAACTGACAAAAAGCGAATCAGCAAATTCTTGGAATTTTATACTTTTATTTTAACAGAATGAAGTAGTTCTGCTAAAAATGTTACAGCAAGAGCACTTTCCGCAAGTGTCATTAAAACTTTTCTACGTATCTCTCTTTCACAAAGATTCGTTGAATATCTCAGAAATCCCTCTTAATACTTCTCCTTCGTCATCAGTTGAGAATTAGCAGCCAAATTAACTGGAGTAAAAAAAGCGCATGAACTTTTCTGCAGAACGGTGACTAAAAGTTGGTTGACCCGACCGTAAACACGGTAAAAAAAAAAAGAAAAGAATTAGCCAGTACCAGTGCCTTACTTTCTAACCTCTAGGTTCTTAAATTCCACAAGTATCTTAGATTCTAGAACTACAAAACTCTCAATTCTCCCAATCGCTCTGACGAAAGGCAGACGCTCGAGACGCAAGCTTAAAAAACTCTTTACGGTAGCCAATTAACATTATCGGCTCAGTTGACAAAACCAAAACATCTAAAATATTGGAAAGTCATTGATGCTCAGTGACATGAAAGAGCTCGTTTAAGCAGAAAAATGGTTTCAAGAAAATGGCGAGAAAAGGCGGGGCGCAGCCAAGAAAGATTAAGGTATTTTTAAATACTCCAAACGGAATAGATGAGTAACTGAGGTGAATGAAGACAGCTTCGACTTCATCATTCCGGTTTTATGGTGTTACTTAAGTTACGATAAACGACGACTCTTTGTTTTGAGTATAACCAGGTAATTCAAAAGCTGAGAAGCAATTCTTGTTAAGTCACAAGGTGTACATCTCAAAAAGTTTATTTCTAATGTTTCCTTATTGTAATTTGCTGTTACTCTTTTCCACTCTCCACCATTCTTTTGGTTTTTAGTGACGTAACTCATTTCAGGCCATAAAAGCGCCGAGTATCAACAGAGTATCCACACAGAGTTAGTACACGAGGGAAGTTGTTAGATTGTACATTATTATTTTAGGGAGAAGCTGGAGCTCAATAGGCCATTTTACAGTTGTGTACTTAGTTGCCAAGCCTTTGATTTGAAGTGAGGCTGAAGGTGACCTTATTGTGATAGAGACCAGTATCTAGTTAGCGTGATAACAGTAATTTTCATGTGAAAAGCAGCTAGGTTTGTATCATAACAAGGTCATCCTTAGCCTCACTCCTGTTCAAAGGCTTGGCAACCAAGCACACAACTGTAAAATGGACTATTAGTGTGACAGTATGGAATCCATCTTTGATGTGGACTTCAAATTCGTCCCTTAACTCCTCTCCGTTGGATCATAATCTCTCATCCCTTTGTCCACTAAAATCTCATTATTTGAATTCTCTCATCTCTATGTAATACACATCCTTGCATAACAGTTATGAGAGTTTGTTCACATCAAGAAAATACCTCATTTAGGTAAAAAGATTTACTTAATTCTGATTCCCCATCTACCGTGCTTATAAGTTTTCTAGAGTTGTAGAAGGAACATTACACGTCTTTGAATTCAAAGTTAATTAAATATTATTAAGTAACTATCTAGCTACATCAAAAAGGTTTCAAAACTGTGTAGACCGACAACTTTCTTAAATCATTCAGCACCTTATAAAACTTTGATACATTTCCAAGGAACATATGTACATCTTGCTTAGACAACACAGCAACACAGCGGTCAAGCGTCGAGCATGTATAAATGAATCACTTCTGGTCAGCCGCGTATCAACTTCCCGCGTAAAATCTTCAAGGAAAACACAAGAAAGGGCTCGTACCACGAAAAACTAACCAAAAAAGAAAAAAAAAGACTTTGGAAGTCCGTAAAGAGACAAAAGTAGGGAAAAGTAATGCTTGGGTTTTCTCTGAACATTACAATTTCGCTTTGAGCTTCACCAAGAAAGTCATCGTATGCACATGCGTAGACAATTGACCGCTGTGATTACCTAGACAGTTTCCTCGAGTCTGTGACGCCTTTAACTAACTTCTTCTGCTTGTATGCACTTGAAGGGTATAAATTGAGATTACTAGTCATGTGTTTTTCCTTCAGATATCCATTAACTGCGTAGAGAAGCCAGTCTAGGATAATATAAAAAAGTCACAATTACCTTAACCTTCCCATAAGAAATTAATATTCTCTATCTCTGAGGTACAGTAGACTTCGAGGTTCATTGAACTAGGTTCATGAGATAAGCATTCTGTATATCGCTATGATATCAATCACAATTTTTAAAGCAATAAATTCTGTTTGACCTACATATGAAAATTAAGCAGAGAAATGATCCTCACTGATGGACTAACTTTACAGCTATTGAAGAAAGGACGCCTGAAAAATCCAGGCTTTGGTAGGATTCAAACCCATGCCTCCTAAATACAAGTTGAGCACTATTGCCAACTGAGCTACATAGCCACACTTTGGGAGCAAGGCAAATTTGATATTAGACTATTGTGCAGTTATGTAATGCAATGTATCTTCCAGACAGGCTTGCATTTATGATTCACATTGCTTAGTGAATGGCATGTACTTTGCCAAGTAAGGGGGGAGAGGGGGGGGGGGGCACAGACACAGCAAGAGTTTATTTAACAACACAAAGACTGAATAATTGCTAATCTTTCTGGTAAAATTCTTGCCTCTGCACATTAGTACCAAGGTTCCCTTGACAACTTACTCAACACTTAACATTCCTGGGCAAATGTGTTGTAGCTTGTGTCACAGACCCACCTCACCAACCTCATACCCTCCTTGTCGTCAATGCAACACAAAAACCCAACTAAGGCTCAAAGCTGTACAAAATGACCCAGTATAACAACATTTCTCACCTTTTACTAAGCTGATCCTCCTCTCCTTGACTTCTTTGTGACTCTTGAGTTCTCAATGATGATGTACCAGGCTGTACAGCCTCCAACTGACTCATTATCTCAAGACCATTTTCTTCTGCAACTTGCTGAATAAGTGCTTCAACCTGATCAACAACAGAAAATGTACGTGGAGATGTTTAATACAGGGACTAGGTGATCAAACTTGACTGATCGTCATTAAATCTTAACACCCTAACATCAGTAGTCATAACCTCCAAGCTGTTCTTTACACATTCCCATCTAATTGACTATGAGAATTCAATAAAACCATCGAGAGCTCATTTAGTTGGGATCCATTCTCTTCATTTTCATGAGCAAAAAGTTTGATACCCCTATGACACTATACAAAGAAATTAGAATGTTTAATGGTTAGTAACCACTGGGGAGCTCATAAGAGTGTTTATGACATCTCTTTACCTTTTGCATGCTTCAACCCAAAATGTAATTTTATCAAGCACTACAAGGACAAATTTGCAATAAAAATTCTTTCTCTGCAGCCTACATGTGAAGTACCTGGTCTTGAGGAGTGGACAATGTAGTTGCTTCTCCCATTGCATTTTCCAAAACCTGGAAAAACAGTATCACATGTAATATGAAACAAATATGATTGTCTTTCAGTCTAGAACTTCTTTTAACGATGAAATATTAAAAAGATGAAAAATGGAGCAATAGAAAACATTTCAATTCTACCTGAGTATTAACATCAAGATCTTCAAACATGCCCTCAAACTTCTCCATGGTAGCTGAAATCTACATGATCAAAAAATTGAAACACTTAAAATCAGACTTATTGCAGATTAAATCCTGATGAACTAGTTGTAAGATGTAATGTGAACTTGAGGTGTAATACTTGCAAATGTTATCATGATATTATGACTAGACAGCATTCATGTGGATGATCTTCAACTGAAGCCAACACAACCATAACTTCCATTACGTGAGAAGAGTTAACACTTCAGATATAGGTAGAGAAAGAGACTTCTGAGAACAAAGAGGAAAGTGATGGAAATTGCTGACTACTTGGGGGTACAGCTTAGCTTATAGCTTCTTTTTTCTCAACATTTTCACATGAGTATTATGGCATAAGCAGTAAAGGTGCATTTTCTTCTTGAAAACAGTCTTCATATTCACACAATCCAACAGGGGGCTCACACAGAAATATCTCACTTTAACAAAAGTGTACTGTAACTTGCATGAAAATCCCTTGGGTAGCCCTCCAAGTTGGGACCACTTTGGTCACCATGGCGAGAAAAAATATATTTGTTGCCCAAAACTGCAGTGAAAGTTGCCAATTGGCAACTAACAGATTTGAAAAAAAATTGAAAAATCTATTGATGATTGGTTGAATTATCACACTTACAATGACACAGCATGAAGTGTACTCCCACTGATATCACAATTTTTTTTTGGCAACCAAATAGTTATCTATGGCAACCATTTTGCAGATGAAGGTTGCCAAAAGGTGACTTTTCGAAAAAGGGACCTTGGAGCCTTGAGTGACCATATGTTTTCAAAAAATGTAAATAAAGTACCTTTTCCAGGTCCATGGATGCCATAGCTTTATCTAACCCTTTAACCACACCATCCATGCTCTTAGTAACCTGAAAAAAATATTACACATTAGGACCATAACATGCAATTTGCTGCATGGTGAATTTTCTTGGAGCTTTTTTTCCAAGTGTTTAGTACAGCCTTGTGTGCACAGCTTGCATGAAGTGATTCAAAGGTATTCATCCTTCCTGATCAATACAATATAGTTTCATGAATGCTGACTCATTGGTGTGTTTTATTACATCTTACCAAAGCCATAAATCATCATGTATCTTTTTGTCTGACCAACATACCCCCTCCTCCATGAAAAAAGATAATAATCCAAGATACTATACACTATTCCAAGATCACCACTGAGTTCAATCTACATTCCCTATTATTTATTAACCCTTTAACTCCCATGAGTGACCAAGACAGAATTTCTCCTCACATTATTATTGCTAAGTGAAGCAGAATAGTGATAAGAATAAAGAAAAAATATCAATTGGGGGATTATTAGTTGATTCAATACAAATTCTTCAAACTAACATCATAGGAATTGTATGGCAGACTGTAAAGAGAATTACTAATGAAATCCTGGGAGTGAAAGGGGTAAAACACATGATCTTGACTTTATTTTGAAAAGCAATAATAGAAAATTGTAGAAAAGCATGTGACAAGTCTTATTTTGATCAGTTATCATTAATTCCTAATTTTTAAGCCAGTTAATAAATAAATAAAATAGGAAATGCTTAACTCAGAAAGAAAATGAACACACAAATGCTCAAACACAACCAGGCCCCCTCAGTTAACTTTTTCCTTTAAGTTTTCTTTCCTTTTAAATGCCCAACTGACCAACCCACTGACACAAGAGAGAAAATGATGGAAAACAAAACAATATAGTGGTTTTGAACAGCCTGTCATGCAGAAAGAAGGCAGGGAATCACTTAAAAAGTGTAACATGTACCTGTTTCATCATCATGGCACTCTGAACTTTTGATGACACTGCATCTACACGAGAAGCAAGTCTTAGATAATTCAACCCTTCATTTTTCTTTCTGATTGCATTTTCTGCATAAATCTTCGCTCCTTCAATATTTTTTTGTTGTAGAGCCTACAAGATGAAAGCAAAGAGATGCATGTATTTGATGTGATTATCATCTGTGGTTACTTAAATTAAAAATATACTTATAAGCGATCAATTTTAAAATAAGCATAGTTAAGGTGTGTGTGTGTGTGTATCTCATGCAATATGTGAAGAATACTTCTCATTTTCTCTACATCTATAAAAGGCATTTATTTGCTGTTACATCACTCACTCATGAATGGTACATTGGAACTCATGTTTAAGTATTCAATGGATAGTAAACAATGCTTTGAGAGAAGGAGGGGTAAACTTGTTATGAACTACCATCACATCCTGGGAAAGTTGATGTGGATTTTGCCAAGTCACTTGTGAGTGTTGTTGTTGTTATTGATATTTTAATGGCCAGTATATTTCTCAGATTTTGTCTTAGTGTTCATTAATTGGTAAAAGAACTTTATGTCATCCAATTCAGTCAATACTTTTACTAGTGATTAAAAAACAGACTCCTACTTTGCATTTGTCTCATTTTGTGAATCACTTGCGTGATTACAAAATGAATTGGACTCCACTCAGTCCTATTAACATAACTACTGAATTGTTTTTCTGATCAGGGGCAAAACAGGGACCTAGTGTAAGATTACATGATCACACAAATTGCCAATTACAATGTACAGTTAGATTAATAATAAATGAATTATGTACAGTCAAACCTGTATTATGCAGCACTATATTAAGCAGCCACCCTGTATTAAGCTGTTGGTTGTCAACTGCCCCAAATTTTTTCCCCTTAATTACTGTAATGTTCACCCCCACTGAGCAGTCTTGGACACCCTTTACTGACTTCCAATGACCTTTTTGTTTAATCTTCTATCCGTATTGAACCATCAGTTCAAGTGGAACCATTTAAATAAAACTAAGAACAATCTCTCAAGTAAAATTTCATCCTTGTTCATCTCCCAATAATTATTTTTTGAATGAGGCTCTGTACATTAAGAGGTCATAATTGCATAAAATGGTGTTTTTATTGTTTTTAATAATACCCCTATTCCTTGGAACCTATGTTAAGCAACTAGCCAGTCACCTCTCCATTCCCCATGGGTGGCCACTCAATGCAGGTTCGATTGTACTTAAGATTTGTAGAACTGTAACTAAACAACCTTGATCAAAATGAAAAATGGCATTGTCCAGTTGTCCAGTTAAATAACTTGAGAAAACTAACGGTGGTTACTATAATTAGGTGTGTTTAACCTCATACTTGGTATTAAAACTTTTTGCATTTTGAAATCATTTCGACCCGAAATTCGTTTTACCCCAAAACATATGCACTAGATACCTTTTTCACTTTAGCTTGTTGTGCCTTCTCCTCCTTCTCGCATTTCTTTGAGGATCTTTCTAACTGTTTGCATGTGAACTTAAAAGAGACGAAGACGACCGTTATGACCTCACGAATAATACGGATTACTAGTAAGCAGTTAAATAGTCAGTAATCTTGCAAAGTAAGCCAACAGTTCAATGCAACCATGCAACGCTGGCTTACCTTCAACTGGAACAGGGTGTCTGTAAAACAATCGAAAAAAAAAACAATCAGCCAAAAATCATTACATATACTTTTCTTAAAAATTAGGCATTCATCTCCTACCTTCTACTGACGGCATCTTGAAACTTTCCGATGATTCTCTCCGAGTAAAAATGACGTTTATATGAAAGAATATCGTCGAGTTTACAAGTTCACGTCCACCATTACGGAAATATCAAAAATAAACTAACCCCAATCCCTCACGTCAAATGAATGTCGTCAGAGCATCATAACCCTATAAGGTAATGTTTTCTAAATAAGGCTAGCAACGCCTTGATTTTCTGGTTGGGTCCCCCCGCGGCCTAACGTGGTGCAACTCGTGTTTCGCCATTTTGTGAAAGAATAGTGGAATTTCGTTTCTGTGAATTTTATAAATCACATTTGAGTGTTTGACGAAGAAAATCCGGTAAGTACTATTTAAGCTTGGTTAACTAAGCACTCTTTGATATGTATCACTTTAGTGTCAGTTTTTCCCTTGAGGAAAATTTCAATGGTTTTTGTTAGGCGACGTAACTGCAAGCAGCCAAACTATTATAAACCCAAAATTTTTTTTGCGAGTCCTTTAGTGACCTAATGTTCCACTACGATAAGCCAAAGAAAGTCCTGTTAGAAAATGTTGCTCGCGTCCACTACGTAGATATGTGACTTTTCGACTGGCAATGAAAATTTTTTTGACGATTCTCTCCCATCGTGGTCCGCAACTTTTAATGATCTGCAATCGAAATATTGTCCTTTGAATTAGTTCACTTGCTTGCAAGCACTCAAAATGTGTCTAACTTCTAATTTATGCGAATTATAGTATAATTGTTACCACGAAACAAGTGACAACGCGGTGTAAGGACTCTCAAGGGTGACTGTTACCACGGAAAAACTGTCTTCTAAGCCCCGTACAAGCAGTTATGATAGTTGATGATAGTGCGATCATGCGCTTTTGAACATGCACTATTATCATGCATCATCATCAACTATCATTTCTTATCATGCAATTTGGACATGCTCAAATTCCACATAATAGTCAATGATAGTTTTTATCATTTGAATTCACAGATGATAGGGTATGATACTTATTCCATCAGCAGTATGATATTGTGTGATAGTTTTCTGGTCAGCAGTTTTGCCAAAAACAGACTCAAACCAAATACTCGTCATCTCATGGAAGGCTCCTCACCTCCTTGACTAAAGTTCAAAATACTACTAAAATCCCTGACCTCAGTGCAGAGAAGACTTCGACTTGCATCACTCCATATGGTCCTAACATGTCTGTCTCATTTTTCATGTTCATATTTAGAAATTTTATCTTCAGCATCATCAATCATGGCTGATGACTTTGATGTAGAAGCAATGCTTGAAGCACCATACAGAAAAGAGGTGAGTTGATATAGGGTTTTGGTGAAATTTAGTCAAAGCACTTACATGTAGTAAAAACCACTGATGTCTTGAATGGGTGGCCTTGCTCATGCTTTTCCTCCATGGTTTTTCAATAAGGTCTGAAGCAAATCATAATGAAAAAGTTAAAAGCAGGTTTCTGAAGGCATTTCAAACCCAGACAGTCATTATTAGCAATGAGATATGAACAACTTGGTAATGGAGATTTGAAGTGACTTATAATTTTCTGTCATATTGGACAAAAGTAAAAGAAATGGAAACTGGCTTAAAAATCTGTATTCTGTTCAAAACTCTTTATATGAAATTTGTAGGATATGATTTTTTCTCGTTATTGTAATAACTTTTCCCCAAAAGTTTAGTGAAATTTTAGATTGTGGCAGTCAGTATATCTTTGAGCTAGCTTCTTTCTTGCCCAGTCATCTGACCCCAGTATCTTATTTTCTGTTTTGTAGACTTGAAATTACAGCACAACCAGCCCTTTGAGGTAGTTACAGACCACCTCGACTGACACAATCGTTGTATTTATGAACTGCGCTATATTGGGCTAACCTTTTGTGTCATTTTTGTTCTGATTTTATTGAAAATAAATAAAACTTCATTCTCCCATTTGAATTAAATTTCTTAACAAAAATTTTAAGGCAAGTATTTTGCAGATCCTTTCACTAAAAGGATGAGGTCATGAACTTTCAAAGCTTTCAGATGCATTATTAATTTTCTACAAGAAGGCTGTGTTTAAAAAAAATTTACACACTGTACATTTTTCTGATTAGACTGAGTGCCTTCTTCCTAGCTTTTGAGATGATCTGTTGAGGTGGGTATGTGGTGCTCAGATTCTTTTAGCATTCACATTCACTGCAGTGTTGTCATCATACATCAGTTACTGTGCCAGCAGTCGTACCATCAATAACATAGTAATATAATTGTAACATAGCAAAGCAAATGACCATATTTCTGTTTACCTTGGTTCTCCCCAGGGGTAGACTTGTGTAAAATCTGTGGTTTGTAGCAAGATTATCTTGGAAATCATGAACCAGGATAATCTACTGGATGTATGTTTGGTGTCTCTTTTATGAAGAGAGATTGTCTTCTTCTTTCTTTTAGACTCCTCCCTCTCAAGCAAATGGGAAGGGTGACTCAAACCGGACAAATAGTGATGGGGAAGAGAGAAGAAAACGGTAAGATTACAAGAAGGGCGTTCTCCTTACTCAAGGAGTCTTATCTCTAAAATGTAAAGCCTTTGCATTCGCTTATCCAGATGAACTCTAGAAACAGACACCAAAACACCGTCAGGTTTTTATTCAGCTCATGTAATTCCATACATGGCGGAAGGGTTGCAAAGGGACATAAAGGATGCGAAGTCAATTTATCAGACCACTTGATCAGTGCTCAAGGTGAAGATACATGTACACCTAACAAGCTTCTTCAGTTTTGCAGCACCTCATGACAACCAAGCAATGTGAAATCTGAGCGAATATTTCTGTTTTCGCCCTAGGTAGAAATTTTAGGTTATGCAAGGCATAATTACAGCGGATGATCACTGGACTACAAGATGTCTGGTTTTTGATGTTAACAGGTTGAAGTAAATGGCCATTCAGGGGAGGGTTGGAGTGTACTCTTTTTTAGATTTCAGCCTAAATTTGTAACAAGGCAGAAGTTAAAAAAGCAGGACTACTAGTCAGGAAAACCAAACTCTGAAAACATTATACAATTTCTACACTTTTCTATAATTGCCAAGTTATTATCACCTGGCAAAAGTAAATGGCAGAGATGCCTCTAGCGTAGATGGTTGCTGATCATCTGATTGAGAGAAAATTAGAAAAAAGTAAAGTCTTTTTTATACCTTTATAGTACATAATTCCTGAGTGTAGCAAACTAATGTTGTTGATTGAAGTTGCATTGATTGTGAGTTGACATATTGATGTTGATAGCTTGGTTGGCATTTACAGGGAATACCTAATAGAATTTTAAAAGCCAAAAGTTAATCTTTTGTTTCATAGGTTGGAATTAAATGCACCATAGTTTTTGCTGATTAAGTTGTAATAGCAACAGTCTTATTCATTCCTTGGTCCCCAGTATAGAGCTGCACTAAGCTTAGACATTTGGAACTGATCAAAATTTTTTTTACTTGCTCTGAATAAGCTACATTTGCTTCATCTCCCTAAGTTAACATTTTCCTTCTACAGTGTAGCTTCAGATGTGCCATAACATGTTTTCTCTCATTTCAAACAGTTGTTTGCATCTGAACATGATCCACTAAGAGCAAATAAAGGTATTGTATTATCTACAACGTCAGTGTTACGCTGCAAAAATCCTGGCCACCAGAAGGAAAGCATCTTGTTAATAACCTTTCTTGCCTGCTTTTTGCCAATCTTGGGTAAGAGGGCAAAAATCTTGTAAAAGTACTGCAAAAAGTTTCAATATATCCCAAGGGGTATAGGCTTAAAAGCCCATAGTTGTCTCAAAATATTTATCAAACTGTTCTGACTGTTTTTCTCGGTACTTTTGTCAACAGTAGTCATCGAAATCGGAGTCGCAGTAGAAGCACCGGAAGGTAACTCTTCTGTTCTCTGTTTGGAATTTAATAATTTGATTTTTCTTCTCTAATGAACTTGTGTTAGAATTGTAACTTATTGTTAGGTTTGATAATTTCAGGAGTCGGAGACGTCGTAGCCGTAGCAGAAGCCAGGAGAAGTAAGACCTGTTCTATTCAGTAGAACTTATTAACCCTTTTTGGTGTTTGTATCTAGTTCAACTGTTAATTTAGGAGTTTGTGGGAACTAACTGCATTGTTTGGAAGATTGAATGAGACTTGATGATGGCTTTTCCACACAGCTCATGTCAACCCATCTGGCCCAATATATACACTTGTCAGCTTTCACCAATGCTTTCCATGTGACTGCATGCAAAGGGGCATATGGCTCATTTCATCTTTTAATTAATATCATTGTTATTATTATTCAAGGGAAAGTTTTTTCAAATAGATATTGAAACTATGGTCACTTTTTAATGTTTTAGAGCTCGGAGAGGTCGGAGTCGTTCAAGAGATCGTGACAGGTACAGATATACTTTTTGTACTTTTTTCTTATTGCTAATGGATGGTCAATAATTGTTTGACACTTAAGTCTACCAGATTCTTTATAATTTCCATCATTTGTCAACTATGACTTTCTTTCTTGTTGCTTGGTTTCAGAAGGCGTAGACGCCAGAGCAGTAGCGGGAGTAGAAGCCGTTCAAGAAGCCCAGACAGAAGGCGCAAAAGGTTGGTAAAGCCTAGTCAAATAACTTGTGGAAGAAATGTTTTAATCAAGTCCTTAAGCTGTTCCATTACTAGTTGTTTAGTTCTGCAAACAGGGAAGGTCCTGAACTAGTTTTCTTTTGTTAATCAGTTTCTGTAACGGGTCAAAGGTTCATGATTGCTGCAGGGTGTGAAATAAGGGCTGGTTAACAGACAATACTCGGCCAAATGAAGGTTTTGTTTGGTCTACTCCTTGGATGGCTGGAAATTTCATGTAATAGTTTATTAGTGAAAAGAGGAGTTAGGTATCACTTTTCCCGAGTTGAGTTCAAGGATGCTTGTACAATATAAGCATGGTAACATTGTTTGGGGGAGAGGTGGGTGGGGTGGAATAATTTGATTTTTGTGAAATCATGTCAAGTGACCAAAGACTTTTAACCTGCATTGTACATGTAGTTAGGTTAACCCTTTGTTAAATGAAAAAGCAGAAAATTTTGATGGACCTTGTTTTTGTTTTTGTTGGTTATGTACCATGGTGACCTTTTTTTGAGAGGAAATTTGGGGGTAAAATATCATGAATATAATTTATTAAGATGTGTATGAACCTTGTCCTTCACTCTTACATTCTAGCCATGATCAGAGAGAAAGACGTGATAGAAAAAGAAGTGTAAGTCGTAGTCCAAGTCCATCAAGTCGTAAGAAGAGGGATGAAGCAGATGGAGGCAATAGTGGCACTATTGTACAGCGTCTTGAAAGGTAACATAATTTCCTTGAAAATCTCGATTAGTGTTGTTTTATATTTGTTAAATAGTGCTAAACTCAAGAAGAGTGGATTGGCTTTCTTCCTTCAGTGACCATATCATCACAAATATAGTATAGTTTCAGTTCAACCATTTCTACAGAGGAGAAACTGAAGCTCAGTAGTATTATGACTTTTCTTTTAGGAGGGAGCTAAAGCCTGCAGAGGATATAACACCAGAGGAGAGGGATGCTAGAACAGCATTCTGCATGCAGCTGGCAAGAAATATCAGACCTAGAGATCTGGAAGAATTTTTTTCAAAAGTGGGCCAGGTAAGCAGTGAGAGGAAGGGTTGCTTATATTCATCCACTTGTATATGTTGCATTGCATTCCATTTTGTCCTGTTTTGGGGTTAGTAATGCTATAGGTAATTTATTTACTTTATTATCTTAGGTTGCTGATGTGCGGATTATATCAGATCGTAACTCAAGACGGTCAAAAGGAATTGCTTATGTGGAGTTCACTGACAGATCAGCTGTGCCTCTGGTGAGTTTTTGCATGAAAGCAATGTCCATCCACCGTAGTGGTGTGAAGTGCAGTAATGTTGCTGAAGTTGACTCCACAACAAAACCAACTTGACAGGGCGTGAAATTAACTTTTTTTTCTGATAGCCACTTGGCTCCCAAATTCTTCAAAGTGGTAGCCAATTCAAAAAATGTTGGTCGCCATTTTCAAAGACAACAAAATCTTTCTTTACGCTGTCAGCGTTCTAGATAGACCCTCCAAAATTAAGTTAGGGAAAAGATCTTTAACGTGCTACAAAGTGGACACTAGGATGTATGATATACAATGTTCAGGCTCATCTAAATCCAAGATGGCGTCTAGTTATCGATCGAGATGCATGTGCTACGTTTTGGAAACAAACTAAACAAGGAAGTTTGCCGCGGATTTATCTTTGCAAATTTATTTAATTCACTATATCTCTTGGTAAGGTTATGATGAAACGCTTTAGTCGCCAATTTGGCGACTAACTTTCAGGATTTGGTTGCCAAAGTGAAAAATTTAGTCGCATTGGCACCTGTATTAGGCGCAATTTCATGCCCTGCTTGATTTAACCTGGTCACTGAACAGGGCATCAAACTAATAGTTGAGGGTGTCTTTGCCTGCCTTTGTTTTCTATTGTTTTTTTTATGTTGTTGCAGTGTTGATGCTGAGTCTTGTTTGTGTGCATGAACTTTTCATTTTCATAGGCAATAAACCTGTCTGGTCAGAAACTCTTAGGAGCCCCAATTATGGTGATGCCTACCCAAGCAGAGAAGAACAGAGCAGCAGCAGAGGCTGAAAAGCTCAAGGCTCCACCAGGACCTACAAGACTATATGTTGGATCCCTTCACTTTAACATCACAGAACAAATGATAAAGGCAATATTTGAACCCTTTGGAATTGTCGATAGTGTACAGCTTATTTATGATTCTGAAACAGGAAGGTCGAAAGGCTATGGCTTCTTACAGTTCAGAGATGCTGATGCTGCAAGGCAAGCCATGGATCAGATGAATGGTTTTGAACTTGCTGGAAGGCCTATGAAGGTTGGGCCCGTAACAGAGCGAGGGGACTCATCTTCCTATTCCTTCCTGGATGATGAGGAGTATGAAAAGGGTGGTGTTGAATTAAACTCCACTGCGAGGGCTGCTCTCATGGCTAAATTATCTCAGGGTCATTCTGCCGGTAAGTGCACCTGGCGATAAAAATGGAAAAGAATCTCTTCCTGCATTATGCCACCACCATTCTGAGATTTCACTAAAGTGTTCCTTAAGTGGCTATTAGTTATACATTTAGTGGAATTTTAATTGTTGTTTGTTGTAAGAACTGTACAATTGAAGTCTTAAACAACTCACTTTTTTCATGATATGCAAATGAAGAAATGATTCTCATCTGTAAACTGCAAGAAAGGAAGTGATTCCAACCTGTGCCTCTCGGAATGAAGTTGTGCACTAGTACAAAATGAGTGAAGAGGCTGTGACGTGAGCAAGGCAAGACTTCTGGGGGTGTTTGATCTTGGAAGGAATTTTCTCTCAATTAAATAAAGTAGCTAATACTTGTGGATGAGCCCTTCAAAACTCCTCTCACTTCCAATGTGTGGCTTTTTTTTCTCTTTCAGTAGCATTCAGGTAATGGTTGAAGATTTATTGATTTATTTTGCCTTTCTAGGTCTTCAAGTGCCAGGTGTTCCCCCTGCTGTTGTTGGTGTACAACAAGCTATGACAGCACCTGTAGCCATTCCCCTTCCTACACCCTGTATCATGCTGCTAAACATGTTTGACCCTACCAAGTAAGTAGCAGCTTCCCTCTTAAACTTTTCATGTTGTACTCCAGTCCTTGTACTGTACATGCATATGTGTATGCATGTTTTGTAGGAGAGTACAGCTGGAAGTTCCTGGATGTCACTCTTATGTGAGAGGGATAGTTACCATAGTTTGAGTAGGAAAGCCTTCACATGGTCTGAGGCATTAGCCATCGTCAATTTTCTGTGAAAGCATTTACCTTTGGTAGTGGTTATTAATCTTGAAAAAGTTTTTATTCTGGAAAGAAGATCAGAGTGATTTTATTTGTTTCAATAGAGAGAAAGACCCTGATTGGGATGCTGACATTCAAGATGATGTATTGGAAGAATGCACAAAATATGGTCATGTGTATCACATTCATGTGGACAAGACCTCTACCCAGGTTTGTTTGAAGCAAATAATATGTGCATAGAGCAGCTGTGCATGGACTTAGACTGGTCTTAGTTGCATTCTTCACCACTGCAGCAAGGGCTCGTTATGTGTAATTTTTTTTTCAAATCTTATAACAATGGAAAAATGTTAAAGAACTTCCTTGCCCCTTCCAAGTGGTCCAAGTGCGAGCAAGGCTCTTGAATTATTAACCGTCTCTTTAAGCAGATATTTGCATTTATTTCGCAGGGAGTTGTGTATGTGAAATGTAGTAATGCTGAAGTTGCTGCCAGTGCTTCAAAAGCCCTCCATGGCAGATGGTTTGCTGGTAAGTGATACTAAAGTAATGTTACTGGTGTGAACGTTTTAGTATAGATCGTGTTGGCTGAGCTATTTCCTGGTTTATAGCGAAGAAACCGTTGCAGTGGATTCGAATAATTAACTTCTTCAAGTAGCGTCAAAGCAGCAAAAATAGTAGCTGTGTGCTGATACTGTGCACTGGCTATGGAAGAAGTAGCGGAATCAGTAAGGTTTCACGTCGGCGAAAAGGCTTACTTGTGTCCATGCATACGAACAGAAAGTGTCTGTTGGTTTGTCAGTTGGTTTGTCAGTTGTAAAGCAACTGATCCCTCTAGTGTCTGTTAGATTTTCACGCTTCAGCATCTTTGTGTAGATCGAAGCAAAACGAAAAATTTTCTTCCCTCTACTTGTTATCTCGGATAAGTATCGATGGATAGTGTCTTAGAGGGGTCGCTATTCCATTGAAATCTATTAGTAAGGTATTCTCATGAGGGGTTTTCAATTCTTCAACAAATGCATTCGGTCAGAAAGGTTAAATTTCTCAGAGAACTACCTTAATCATTTATGCGCAAGAAGAACAAAATCAGTCCAGCACCCGACGTCAAAACCATGAGGGTTTTTATCATAGAATACTGAAGTTCTTTTTCTTTATCATTGATAGGGAAGCAAATTATTGCAAGAGCAGTTCCTCTCGCAAACTACCACAGCATGTTTCCTCAGGCAGTGTCGATGGTGAAGCCGTTGCAACCATCCACGTTTTGAAAATGACCAGTCTTTCTTTTCTGAATGTCTTGATATTTCTGTTTGACGAATCAGACGAGCAGGTTCTAATTTTTAACGAGTCACTATTTGTAAATAAGTCGGTGAAACAATAAGGGAAATTGCTGTTGGTTTCCCACAAGTTTGTGTATAATGTGCAAGATAATATACGATCTAAAGCAAGTGAGGATATGGCTTTATGGAAGTGTTGTTTTGTTGCCGTGACACATCCGTCATCCTAAGTTCCCTCCAATTTTCTGAGCGAATTTGTATCAGACACTCTTCCTTAGCATTTTTTAAGAATCTGCCGAAACTGTTACTTTTCTTTACTTCCGTCGATTAGCTTATGCTCCTGAAAAACAGTGATATAAACGGACGTCTATGGAAGAAAAAGATGAAAATGAAATAAAATATAGTTTAAATAGCGTTGTTTGTCGTTTATATCTTCAATCTAAGGATCGACAAACACCCCCCCCCCCTTTTGAAGAAAAAGGTAACTCCTAAAGACTGATACCCATCGTGAGACATTTATGGTCCCAACTGTGTGAACTTAACTTGACGAAATTTGAGACGAATGGAACTCATTTCCCCGCCGGATCAGTGCATCGTGGCCAATGCTAAACGCTTCACTCGCTTCTGAATTGAAACGTAGGATTACATGACGACGGAAAGCTGACAAAATTCCATGGGGGGGATTGACTCTTAAGGCGTGTAATAGAAGAGGAGAGGATACTCCTCGTTGCTTACTGCCACTGAAATCGAAACATTGTAAACAGCAGTAGTGGGCTGCGTGGAATCTTGAAACTTCACCTGGATACTGAAGACAAACTTCAGCGGCGAGAAGATTGAAAAGGTGCGAAATCGAGACATTCGCTGCCACTCCATAATCCTACTAGTGACAACGCCGTTAACTACACAGTTCGATTTCCAGCGTTCATTATGAAAGGATGTTTTACTACCTTCCCAGCCTCGTATTGCCTCCGGAAAGTAAAGCCTTTGCCTTGCTCCCTTTGATGTAAATTGAGCGAACTTAATGAGTTAATGGGCACTTTCTTCGCCGATTGACAGATCCTCCTTTCAATTTTACCCGGAGGTGTCGTCTCCCCTTGAAATTTTATCACCGGTAATACAGGCAAGGTAGGTCATTTAAGCGGATTTCCCGAGTCATTAACGTAAAACACCACAGACTTCTTAAGGCCTATTTACACGGTACGACTTTGTCGCATGCGACAAGCTTACGACAGGCCTACGACATGACTTAGGACAATTTACACGCGCACGACATTTTCACCTACGACATGCCAAAATCGCGTGCAATTCCACTCGTTTCGGCCGTGGTCATTGTTTCAATAATTTGCAAGAGAAGGAAAAGAACCTCTTCCTCGCTCCACAGTGATATCATATTCTCTGTTTCCTCATCTGAGAATGTATTTTTCGCTTTGGAAGCAGTCTTCGACTTTCCGGAGGCGACTTCCTCTGCCATTTTGACGCAAGAAAATTTCACCTTCCTCCCCTACTCAGTAGAAATTTGTCACAAAATACGTCATTTTCCATCAATTTCGGCTACGATTGTCGCAGCGTTTTAAAACATGTTTTAAAATCCTACGACATTTTTCGTGACGTGCACGACAGTCGTAAGCGAGTGGTAGGTTTGATTTACACAATACAATTCGTGTCGTAGGCCTGTCGTAAGCTTGTCGCATGCGACAAAGTCGTACCGTGTAAATAGGCCTTTACGGACACTTTTGACTGACTTTGACTTTTGACTACACCATTTTCTATTACATATACACAAGCTTTTCAGTGTCACACCGCTTCAGAAAAAAAAAATCTATGTTTAGTCTTATCTGAAATAACACACTGTGAATTTCAGTTTATGGTGTGTATAAAATGAAAGAGATATGTCTAAATTATGAACGCCAAGTATTAACAACTCAACTTGCGTGGGTGGAAAAACTCAAATGGAGTCATCCTTCCTTGCAAACCTTGCGCCAGCTGTTGTAACAACTTAGAGCAATTTCGATCCTCTTTATATGTGCCTTTGGGTGCATAGAACAGTGTGTTGTCTCTCTTCCATAAACGTAAAGCGAGTAGAATGGGAAAATCCAGTTTTATTTTCTATAATGCGTATTCCGGATATGATGTTTTCAAAGTGAATTTGAAAAAGAAGTTGACAATTGAATTGAAGTCATGAAGAAATATATGTTAGATCAGGAGGGAATTGAACTAGAGCGTGTTCAATGGGCAGATATTTACTAGGACATTTTTTAGAAAAAAGTCACAGAAATTTATCTTTGTTTTCAAAAATTGCCTTTTCTTGGCCAGATGGCCACTTTTTGCCTCGATTGCCTCGAGCGTACTTTATGTCGTGCCCCTAGGCAACTGCGCATTTGCCAAAATAAAGCCCACTGCGGTGGGGATGTAATAACCGCATCTCCGATTCCTGGTGAATTGCCCTCCTTTCAATTATTGTGAGATTGATAATAATAATCCCGTCCGGCACTCCTAACCCTAACCCTAAAACTGTGTTGACCATTAATGCTAGCCGTATAAAAAAAGATAAGAAACATTCGGTGCGCGTGGAAATTCAAGTCGAATTTGCATCAGGTTGTGAGCAATGCAGATACATTGACAGTGGATCAATTTTCCGTGACTTATGCAAACGCAGGCTCACACTCCAACACGAAATTTCTCATCTCCCAAACTGCTTGACCAGCGACGCAGGTTTTCTATAAGTCAGCTTCGTTAACGAAAGACGCATCGTACGGTGCGGGAAAAGTAAATATATTTGCACATTGTTAGTTAGGATTTGTTGCATCACCTGCCTCAAGAGGTCGACGCCTACTGGCCAAGACATCTAAAGTCCATTGAGTGTTTGACGTTTAGCCAAATGTCCACTGCGATTAAATTTCAGCGATATAAATTAATATCATATCTTCGCTGATAAACTCGGTTTTGGTCAAGAGGCGGAATCGCTTCTACCGCCTGAAACATGTCGGCTTTGAATGCAACTATCGGGGAAACAATTGCGCAGTCAAATCAGTCCATACAGATTTGTCCTCCTCCAAGGCATGAATTAGTGGTGAAGATCCTAAAGTACTTTATCTTTGGCGCAATTTTTGCCGTGAGCCTGAGTGGGAATTGCTTTGTGTGCTGGGTAGTTTGGAAAAGACTTCGCATGCGAACAGTGATGAATTATTATTTGGTCAATTTAGCAGCAGCCGATCTGGCGTTCACGCTAATATGTATACCATTTGATCTTCCCGTTCAAGAGAAGTCTTGCATCTGGCCATACTTCGGCGCATTATGTAAGGTACTCTTTCCATTACAAACATTGTGCGCTAGCGCGTCCGTTTTCACGTTGACGGCGATCGGTTACAGTCGGTATCGCGCTATAGTTCATCCTTTGAAGACTCAAATCGGTCTCGCTGACGCAAAAAAGTCCATATATCTCATATGGCTCGCTTCACTGGTCTTGGTATTTCCCTACGTGTTGGTCCTCAGAGTAAACCCTTTAACTGGTTATTGCGAAGAGGGTTGGCCGGAACCAAAGCAAACATACAGTCGTATCTACTCGTTTACAATATTCTTTGCGGACTACGCAATACCACTGCCTGTTGTCTTTGTTTCATACCTCAAAATTTGTCGCGAACTACGGTTAAACGGAGATCGAGTACCAGTCGCACAGCCAGATCAGATAAAAGACTCAGAAAAAGTGCTGAAAATGTCGATTGTTATAACTATAGTATTTGCCGTATGCGCGTTACCAAACCATATTGCCTGGTTAGTACTCGATTTCTTCAGCGATAACAAATGTGCACAGTGCAATACGTGGGTTATCTTGGCTAACATGTTTGTGTTTGCTAACAGTGCTGCAGATCCCATCGTTTACACAGTTTTTAACAGAAGATATAGAGACGAGTTCAAAAGTCTTTTGAATTGCCAAGAGCTGGAAATGGGAGGGCACAATGAAAATGCGGTCGACCTAGACGACAGAGTTGTATGAATAGCAATGAAAAGGAAACCATAAACTATTCGTAGCTATGAAAACACACCTCCTGGAACAACTTTTATTGAAACAAAAAGAAAAACTGTCACAGAATATACTAATTTTTTCATGCGCGTAAAAATGGGTCCTTGGAAACAGAAGTTAATTTCTAAGAGGCTCTTGCTAACGGGTTTACAGCTTTAAGAGCGCCTTCTTTTGATCTGTATTCATGAGCTTGACTATCCTACAGCTTGAGATGATCTCTCAAATGTAAATGATTTAGAACGAGAAAAAAATCATCTTCAAAGCACTAAAACGGCGTTTAAAGTGCAGAAAGAATCAAGACGAAACAGTCACCCACAAAGATTTTTCAATATTCAATTTTCAAGTCCTCAATACATAGTGTTCATATAGAGAACAACACAAACAATTATAGTTCTCTCTTTAAAAGTTCCTGGGTATTCACTGTTTATTTTGTCTATTTATTTTTTGTATGTTAATTCATGTGTCAAACAAAGATACGTTCAAACAAAGGACACATCTTGTGCACCCAGTTTACTACTGTAAGATAATTGCAAAACTCCCACAGAAGTCATCCTATTTCATTGATTAACGTGACACCTGAAAACAATTTCACAGATTTCATAGGATGCGTCTTAAGGTGCGTTTACGGAACAAAACGTCAAAATATCTGTAAAACGAAAAAAAAAACCCATGAAAATAAATCGCCATGAATGAATAAGGAAAACTTTAGAAAATTGGAGCCAAAAGTTAGTTTGTTTTTCAAAGCGATATACTTTCATAGACATAACATCCTAGGAATGGCGGTCATGTTTTTCAGTTCCCTTTAAATTACCAGGGTATTATATTTAATCTGGATGCATTAGTGGATCACCACGCCTGAGCCAAAATTTTGATTCAAAGCAGTCACGTTTGTCGCAAAGAAGAAAAATAATCAACATAGCGTCTCTAATGAAACAAAAAAAAAAAAAAATGGAAAGAGCAAATGTTTCAGTTCCCTTTAAATTGCCAGGGTACTATATTTAATCTGCATGCATCAGTGGAACCCACGCCTAAGCCGAAATTTTGATTCAAGGCAGTCACGTTTGTCATAAAGAAGAAAAATAATCAGAAAAAAAGGAGCAAAATTTTCACCTGCTTTGTTTTGTACATGGACAGATCTCGCCTACTTTTTAGCAGGTGCCGGAGCTGACACAAAGCAAGTTGAACCTAAAAAAAAAGGAATCTTGGTTCGTGGTTTTCGAGGAAAATATAAACAAGAAAGGCTTACATGGATCAAATTTGTACTAAAGCCGTAAGCGAAATCGTGGTTCTTATCATCTTTGTCTCAATAGTTTTAATCAACAGACTGTAAGACAAAAGTTTAGATCTTGAAGACGATAGAATACAGTCACTTTCTTGAACTGATCAAAATTAAAACGTAAATGCACATACTTGAGCCTCTTGAAGAAAAAACTTGATTGTCATGCATGAGTTCTTATTACAAAAAATTATTATTTTTCATTCGGGGGCGTGCCTCTTTTTAATTTGAAAATGAAAAAAAAAAATTTGACTTGTTTTTCAAAAGCGCAAGGTAAAGCTGGCTACATTAATGAATTTAAATCCCAAGAGTTCATGAAAGAAGGAACACTTGATGCGACCATTAAAACGCTTTGAACAAGGGCTGTCTTCTCCTAAGCACTTTGTCCATGTTATATTTAATCTAAAGTCGAAATGCATTTAAAGTCGTTAACTATAATCATAATTTAATGTCGATGGTAATAAAGCTAGTGAATGCTATCGAGTTATCACCTCAACAACGGCGCAAAAGTCAATTTCAATTTGTAAAGACAATTTTTTTGTTCTTTCTCACACTTGTAAATAAACTCCGTCCCTCTCTTCTGACGTACGTAGTTGGAAAGTTTTCCCATAAGTGCAAAATAATGGCTCGCAATAACCATCAGCTTGGTAAAACACTCAAACAGGGTTATCAAGAAAAAGGGATTTTACTCACTTAATTCGCCACAAATATTGTGCCTTGTCTCAATTCAATTCACACAACCCAAAAGAAAGGGTTTAGGTGGAGAAAGAAAACAAAAGAAAGCCGGGGCCGGTAAAGGAAACGAGATATCAAATAAATTATTCCAAAGACAAAATAAATTCAGTGAAATTAAAATGAACAGCTGTCAAATTGCGGTGAACATCAAACGTTTTCTTAATAACAGCAATAAAACACTTTTAACTAGAAATGATGGAAGATTTGTGCCTGCCAATTGATTGGTCTAAAGGACCCATGATCAGCTGAATATCACAAGAGCATTATGACTCGTCGAATCTAACAAAGAAATCTTAACTAATCTTGCACAAAATAAATTAATTTGACAGTGTCTTGTGGAGTACATATTTGCCTCTAGGCCACTTAAAGTATTGTCAAGATCAAGACAGGAGTATTCAAACAAAATCAAACAGTGTGCGGTTTTTTTTTTTGTTGCCTTTGACAGTTAGTGAGATTAATCTTAAGGCTTTTTCGATCCTGTGCTTTTCAATAATTTTGTTTACCAACTTGAAAATCGCCTGTATTTTTATACGTTAAACCGGCATCTACGTTGTTTCAAAAAGCGAGCATACAGGCAAACTGCAGCTGTTAACATTGTTTTCTCTTAAAGCATACGGAAGTCGGCAGGGCGTGAAATTGCGCCTAATACAGGCGCCAATGCGCCTAAATTTTTCACTTTGGCGACAAAATCCTGAAAGTTAGTCGCCAAATTGGCGACCAGAACGTTTCATCATAACCTTACCAAGAGATATAGTGAATTAAAAAGATTTGCAAAGATAAATCCTTACAAACTTCCTCGTTAAGTTTGTTTCCAAAACGTAGCACATGCATCTCGAGCGATAACTAGACGCCATCTTGGATTGCTTGTGCTTCTTTTTTTTTCCACACTTTGGTTCTCGTTTACAACTTGATGAGCCTGAACTTTGTATATCATCCATCCTAGTGTCCTCTTTGTAGCACGTTAAAGATCTTTTCCCTAACTTAATTTTGGAGGGTCTATCTAAAACGCTGACAGCGTAAAGAAAGATTTTGTTTGTCTTTGAAAATGGCGACCAACTTTTTTTGAATTGGCTACCACTTTGAAGAATTTAGGAACCAGGTGGCTATCAGAAAAAAAAATTAATTTCACGCCCTGAGTCGTCTGTCAAAGCCACAAAAGAAGCGACCCTCGCACAGGCAGATCACAGAAGACTTCGGCCCAGATTGCCACTCAATTCTGGAGAAACAAAACCCAAATTTTAAGAGAATGTATGGTTGGTGAACGTTTTTGAGCAGATTGAGCATCTACTTAAAGAAGTCTCCACTCAGAACAAATTTTCGTTTAATTGTCCGTAATGTGCTGCCAAGTTTAAGTTTGTTTACTTAAACGGTAAAAGCTTTTAGTGAAAGAAACAAGCAGAAAGAGACATCAGCCATTTGGAAATTGGCAATACGTGTGTTCCGCCTTTCGGCATCACTTGTCCTAAGGATCATGGGAACAAATCAGAAGAATTGTTGCCATCCTCTTTTCCAGGGTCCTCTCACTTCGTCGAATCTGGGAACGAGGTGGAGGTATTGTTGGACAAAATAGTATCCACTGCTTGAGACGTAAACGTTCCAAATTGCCACCTGGTAGGAAGTTCTAACATCAAAATTGCTTGTGCTTCTTTTTTTTTCCACACTTTGGTTCTCGTTTACAACTTGAGCAGTAACAGCGTTTAGCAACAAATTGCACCAACTGTTGATCAAAGTTACCTAGGTTCTCTCTTTCTCTTCCAGTCCCCTCCGGCCAGAGAGGACCATTCACTTCATATTTCCACTAGAGTGGTATTCAACCAAATTTCAATTACCATTGTGATTGTTTATTGCTGATTGTTTCCTAGCCTTCAAATCGTTCGAAAAATTACCAAAAGAAATCCATGTCTTTAAATTAGGCAACATTTCTCAACTCCGACAAGAAAAATCCCCCCACGGAAATCGCACTCATGAGAATCCAAAATGTGCTTGATAAAATACTTTTCTGTAAATAAGATACTTTTGTCTATCATTATGCAGATGCAAAACGATGCAAGTCCAGCAAACACGTCGTAATTCTATCGCAGTTTTATTTCGTTTCCCCTTCCATAGCTTAAAATGGTCTCGAGACAATTTTCTTATGTATTTACTATAAATTAAGGACTCACTGAAATTCATTTACAATTCATTTGCAACATATCTTTGTTCAGGACAGGAAAAATAAACCACAGACATTTTGCATTAATAGACCCTGTGTCATCTAACACAAGAGTTGAATTTTCTACGAGTTCTAAGGGATGTATATGTAAGTCCAAAGTTCATTACAACAAACACGATTCCTCCAATGATATACACTGCAATTACCGTGCTCTCCCGAGGAATAAAACATTTTGACAGAGCGAACTTTTCCGGGGAAATGACGCTCTAAAAAAGGAAAATAAACACCAAAGTTAACTCTTTGAAGCTTCTGTTGCCTAAAATTCTCCACGGACACACCTTGGAGGAAAATAATTGTGGCAAGGAATATTCAATAGAGCGGCAAAAAGAATGAGAAGAATGGACATTACGAGTCATCTTTAGCTCAGTGGTAGAGCATCCGAAGTACTAATCGGAAGGTCTTAGGTTCGATTCTTATCGGGAACACTCGATAGAGCATCTGAAATACTAATCGGAAGGTCATAGGTTCGACTCTAATCGGGAACACTCGGTAGAGCATCCGAAGTACTAATCGGAAGGTCGTTGTTGTAGCTTTTCTAATGAGTTGAGAGGGTGACGCTAGTTATTAACAACAATCACATCCCGGCGTATTGAAGCAGAACCAACACAACCCTGGAATCCTCTCAACACTTAATTCACAGCTATTCTATCTGATAAACTTACCAAAACAAAACTAGGATTATTTCTATTCCTCCAGCTGAACGAAGGAATCGTCATTTCAGGGGTACCATCATCGTGCAACAGATAGCAGCCATGATGGGTGTGGCCACTCAGTACTAGGCGTGGACGTAGTAATGACAAAAGCTTTTGAGACATCTCCTTGGAAACCACTTCCCATTTCTCTCTGTTTTTGGAGCGCTTTTCCTCGTCAGGAGGGGCATCAACTCCTGTACATCTCACTTCATTTCTACGGTACAACGGAAAATGCTGCAAAAGAGATATATTTATGACAATGTCAGCTGTGTCAAGTCTATCATCACAGCTGAACTGTGGTAAGGCCTTTGACCCCCTAAGAGTGATAAGCATCTAATTTCTTCCTACCTTATGACAGCTGAACCAAAAATTCAATAAAGGAAATGATCACCGCCTAGTCAAGCTCTTAACCCTTTCACTCCCACAAGTGACCAAGACAGAATTTCTCCTTACAAAATCAATACAATTTCAAGCAGGTAGGTGATGAGAATAGAGAAGAATATTGATCATGGGATTATTAGTTGATCCAATACCAAATTCTCTAAACTAACATCATAAGAATTGTATGGCAGATAGTAAGGAGAATTACTAATCAGATCTTGGGAGTGAAAGGGTTAATTGTTAGATGAATTCTCCTTATCAGTACCACAGGAAATGCAGAAAGAATAGCATGAAGAATAAGTAAACTGACACTAGGGACTAAAATTTTCAGTAAGTAAGACCTAAAAAGCAGATTAAGTCATGGAGGAAGAAAATTTCAGTGAGTCATTCTTTCTCTGCAAAGAAAGGAATTTTATCCCAAATTTGGAAAATGAATAATACTTGGTGAGTGAATGATATGTATCAAGTTGATTTAAACACAACTTTCAATTGAGAGAGTTACAGAAAAAGAAAGCCTAAAAATTATTCAGATTTTGAAGAAGATTGAACTTATGCTACTCCAACATTAGTCAGTGTCCCTAACAACTGAAATGAAATGCCAGAGGTAAAGTGTGTAGCTTCATTAATCACCATAAAGATATTTGACATCAAAATAACCAACACATAGTTCTCTGAGTCACTCTGAAAGTTTGCTAGAAAGCTTTCGAGAGTAGTACACCAGAGGCCATTGTGTCACTTCATTACTCTGTGATGGTAATAAATGGAATGTATTTTGCTTTTACCATGGATAAATGCACATGTTATCTCACTATTTTACCAAAGGCATGGACCTCCTCGATTTAACTAGCATTAAAACATAATGCCTTAAGATATCATCACAACAACTTGAGGTACTAAAAATGTCTAATACCTGAATAAGTATAGGGGCTGGAGAATCCTTGGGTAGATCACATGTTTTCTTCTCTTTTTTGATCACATCTTCATAAACTTTTTTACTAGACCTCTCTCTGTGACAGTTCAGTTTGTTAGCCACATTCATTAGTTGAGTCATAGCCTCAGAACACATGGAACATTCATCACCTTGCAGTGCTATGGAGTTCACTAGGACAAACCTACAGTGAAAATTAATAATTAACAACTGCATCACTAAGTGGAGGTTGGGTGCCTGAAACATCCAGGAGCTTCCACTACTGGCAGCCAGCTCCTAGATGGAGACTTCCCCTATGGCTGACAAATCCTGGCAACCCAGCCATGAGCCCCCACACAGGAAAGGGAAGGAGGGAAGGGGTGGGGAAAACAATGAGCTGCTACCCCTCACGATGCTGCAAGTTCATGCTTGAATCACATGCAAGAATGCCTCAACCAAAGGGCACATGGAAATCTGATGTATGCACATGTGCAAAAACTGTTGACTACAAGAGAATGCTGATACTCTTTGTTGTTAACTCTGTTAAATTGCATTTAACTGCATTAAATGCAATAAAACAATTAGAATGTGAAACTACACAGCATCAAAAAAATATTCATTACCTTCCCCAAGGTTTATCATATTGGGAAAATACCTATTTGAGGGGAAGTCTCCAAAGTAGAAAGTTTAAAAGCAAACAAACAGGGTTTTCAAGGACAGTTAATTTTTTCCACATGCAGCTGCTGATGAGGTTATAGGCAGCAGCTGTGACTGGAAAGGGACCGTAAGGGGAAACCCAGGTTAGAGATTAAACAGATGACAGTAAGAGGTCTTATAGGCAACAGCACACTGCTAGTAACTGACTTTTCATGAAACCCCTGAAACAAGTACTATCATGGAAAAGTAGATTTCTAATGGACTGTGAAGTTTACTTAAGGCTAAAAAACCAAAAAAAGACAACAACAGTACTTACAAGTTTCCTCTAATGTTCAGTAGTTTTACTGAGGGAGAGTCAAACTCAGCTGAAAATCGTCGAAAGAGATGCTGATCACCAGATGCCCTTTAAAGACAAACGCAAAAAAAAAATGTCAAGTAAAAACCTCAACAAGCACACTCCTTAACTTTAAACTCCCATGAGCTACCAAGACAGACAATTTGACAATTTGAATCCCGAATATAACATTTCTTGTGTTCTGTTGGTTCACTCAACTCCTGTTATAAAGTCATATTCTAAGTCACCTTAAATGCATTGCACCAACTGTAGCAGAGCTGACAAAAGCTCCAAACATCCAAACATTCAGGATTTCATGAAATTTAATGAAACAATTATTCCATTTGTGCTTGTTGGATACAAGTTTTGGTTATAGTCAACTCATACCCAACATGCACTCATGGAATGTTTGTTAAATAACTTATAACATGGTGAATCTGTGCCTAAAGGGCATTAAAATAAAGTTTATGAATATATTCTTCTACACTTACTCATAGTGAAATCCAATGTCATGATTCCCCACCACAACATAAAATTTGGTATGAGTTGAATGACGAAACATCTTGTGAAAACGCTGGATGTACTTATTCCATTCCTGTTTTACAGTGAAATATTCTGTTTCATTAATTTAATTTACTGGTGGCTACTGGTATGTGTGAAAATTATCCCATATTCCTTCACAAACTTCAAGTCATTGAGCTGTGTTTTATTTTAGTGCCTCTTTCTGTGAACAAGGTAAACCTGACAGGCCTGGTTTCTGAGATCTCACCTGGCAATTCCTACCTTGGTGCAAACATTGATGTCTGTCCAGAGTATCTGTGCCTGATCTCCACAACAATTCCAAACATGAACATTCTACAGACCTGTCTTGCTAAAGTTTTAAGCCTCACCAGTCACAAAATAAGCTACTTCTTTACATTCAAGATAAAAATTTGAAAAGGTTTGGAAATTCAACAGCAAAAAATTGAGGGAATAACAAAGAAGGAGTGGTTTTTCTGATAGGACCCAGATTACTACTCATCAGATCTATATTTCTGAGTTAAATTACAAATTTCTTATTTATAAAATAATGAGACCACGATGTTGGTGAGTTCTAGCAAGCTGAAATGTTTTAATCTAAATGGAGACAAGTAACTCCTTCAACTGCACATCTGTCACCAGCTTATGTGTTTGTGTACCAGTTAACGCTGTTGCCTGCTCGTGTAGGTTTTTCACAGGATTTTTACGCTTTAAAATAAATATTTTGCATTAAAAAAAATCACACAGAGAAATCCTCTGCACCTATCTAGGCAGCCTTACCTCATCACTACATTTCATACCCTCATCGAACAGATCCCCAAGTAAAAAGATGACATCTGGTTTGAAATAGGACACAGCTGTTTGAAAAGCTCTTTCCATTTGCCATTCTCTCCGCAGTTTGTCAAACCAATGGCCATCTTTCGACCCTAGCAAGTGTGTATCGGTCAGTAACATGGTCCTGAGAGGTTCGGAGGACTTTGCATGTTCCTCGATAGTAAATACCGGCCACGAACATTGAAGTATCACCATGTAGTAGATAAACCATTCGCAAAACACGAATAGGCAAACAGCAAAAATCGCCCCTCTCTTTAAAAATCCTGCGCATACGAGAGCGTTTGACGTCCTCATTATTCCGAGAGGAAAAATCATCAGTCTTCAGCAATTTCACTTCAAATCACCTCCCAGCCAGGTTTATGAAAATTAGCCATCTAATATATAACATCAAGGCTCACTGTTGTTCGCAGGTCGAATTCCTATGGTTAACTTCCAAGAACAACCAATTTTTACCAAAATTGTATGCAGTATTCCTCCTCTAAATAATAGAGAGGAACCAACATGTTGGGATTCACTGCAGACGTAGACTTTTACCCTTGTAAAGTGCAAAAAATCATTCGCTCGTTTGGTGTAAATATAATTCACAGCCTCTTCCACACAGTCTGGATATTGAGTTTTAAGTGACAGGCTTTCACATGACGAGGGGAAACTGGGACCAAGTGAATCGAACAACGAAGACATGACGTCAAGAGTGAAAGAGATCACAAACGCAGAGGCAAAGGAAACACAATCCTTTTTGTCCTATGAGACAATCGACAATAGCTCGTCCATTACAAAATTAAAAGCAACAGACTCAATCAAGTCGAATATCGATTCTTTCGACAAATCGTTTAAGTGACGATCCAAAGCTCCAAGACTGAAGTGTGAATGTTTCTTTAGACCCGCGACCCTTACCTCTCAAGATCTAATTTCTTACACGAATTTAATTTTACACCAATAAAACGAGGTTCGCGTATTATCGTCAATTTTTTCGCTGGAATTTTTTTGAAATTGTTGAGAGAGAGATTTATTTTTTGTCTTCCTGGTTATTTTCTTTCCAGTACCGTGTGCCTCTCACTGTCAAGAGAGCAAGTACCGTTACTGGAAGCAGCACTTTTAAAATCTTAACTCCAAGCAAAATAAAGTGAACCGAAATTCAGTAACTCTAGGTGGTACAAGGTGTGATTGAATTAGATCAAAATGAGTCACACAATCTAATATGATTCCTGGGAGTGAACCACACATGCAAAACCGTGGTCGTGGCTCATCATCATCCGCTATTTACCACCCCATATTATGTTTTAAACTCTTCTTTCCATAAGAAACGGTTCGAGTCAATCGCCCAGAAACAAAGTATCAAAAAATTTTTCAACGCAGCTTTTCAGTCTGGAGAGGAAATATACTTGCAAATATTTCAAGGGGGAGAAATATCTTGCTTATTACTAGTGAGCAAATCTTTGCAAATCATTCATATCGTATGTAACCAATTACCAGGGTGACAATTGCTAACTTAAGAAAACTTCTCAACCTAAGGCCCCTTAGAGTGACTAGCATCTAACTTCTCCTTACTCTAACACCCCTGAATCAAATATGAAAGTCATGAGAGTAGAGGAGATGACCATTAACTAAAGCTGCTCTCGATTATTGAACAGATTCTCTTTGTCTGCCTCTTTGAAAATGTATGGAGAATAGTATGGAGAATATGCATACTGATGTTAGGGTGTAAAGGCTTCATTGGGGTTTGATCCTCCCTTGCTCCTTACAAGAGGCTTTCAAAACCTGTGTTAAAGATCAAATCTTGAAATGATGCAAAACACCAAGAATCACTCCATGGCTCCAAAGAAAAACGTTGGCACACTTGTTCATCAGACTGCAAAGCAGTGGCTAAATGATCTGTGCACTGAGCTCTGGGTCCAAGACCTGGCTGGTCAATGTGTTGTGTCCTTGGGCAAGACAGTTTACTTAGACAGTTCCACCCTCCACCCAGGAGTACATATGGGTACTGGCTAACTATTGGGAAAGACTGATGAAATGTTGTGGGGGGGGGGGGGGAAAGAGAGAGAGGGGGGTAACCTTGCATCATAAAAGCATTTCATCCAATAATAACACTCATAGCTGCTTCATACTAGGGAAACCAGGTGAGCTCCGGCAAGGTGGGACACTGGGCTCCAGTACAGACTTGCTCATTATTCCCAGATTCCCATTTTGAGGTATTTGACAGCTTGAGGTGGAAATAGGGCAATTTTACATTGTAGAACAACTTACAAAAGTATTCCCAATCAGTAGGCTTATTTGTTTATTTAAGCAACACAATTATAATAAATAGCGCCACTGACACCAAAGTTTACGACATAGAGGAATAAACATCTCCACAAACACATGTAAGGAAATTAATTTGTTGTTAAAAGTCCACTGTCTTGTCCAATCCCAAAAAGGGGTATTTAGTAGCGGTAGTGAGAGGGTTTGTAAGGTCCATCAGAGGGTATTCCCAAGTAATTGGCTTGTTTGTCACTAAGCTTGGTCATCTTAACTCCAAGATGGTCCAAATGCAACCTGGCAACTTCTTCATCGAGCTAGAAAGACAATTAAAATGTATGCATTTAAAAATTATTATTGTATAACTGAGATACTACAGGCACTCTCATTGGTCAAAAACCTGTCCTATAGTTATTTTATAAAAGCAACAGACTGCCCTTTCCATTCCATTAACCAATGTAGTAACTCTTGGCAAGATGTTGGAAGAACACAGAAAAAGTTTATGCATCACTCTTCGGAAAAGAGTATTGTACAAACTTTTTTAGCATTCTCCTAAGACTTGTGTGGGTTATTTTATGCCACTTAACCATGGGAATGAGAGTTCCAAATCTGATAAATCAGACATTTCCACACCTACATTTCCTTTTGCAGTTCAATTAATGTAAGTGAGCTCAACTACTTTTCATAACTCTCAAAACTTAGAAATCTCTCAACCCAGATGCAATCAGCAATCCAGCTTTCTTGACAATATTGCATTTTTACAACCTTGTCAACAATATTGGTCATACAAGTCAGGACAACAGCCAAGAGATACATATGTAGCATTCACATGTGTGTACAAAGAGACCTGATAAGTAAATGTTGGGAGAATTTCATGTGGCTTGCAGATCTTTGATGCAAAAGGGATGCAAAATTATCAGGAAATAAATAATATCATAACGAGAGTGGTTCTGCCTTTCAAAGAATCAACAATCGTGGACCTTTAAAGCTCATCATCAAGTATCTTTCCAGAGATTCTCTCACCTTCTTGGGCAGCATGTAAACACCAATTTTGTATTCACTTGTCTTCTCCCAAAGTTCAATCTGAGCCATAACCTGGTTTGTGAAAGAGTTGCTCATGACAAATGATGGATGTCCCATGGCACAGCCAAGATTTACTAGACGGCCCTCAGCAAGTAGGATGATGTGACGACCATTGGGGAGGGCGTAACGGTCAACCTAATGTAAAATTAAATGAAATCTTGAATCTTGGGTCAACAGTTCAAACTAGGAAACCTAAATTGGAGCAGTGTTCATATCAGTGTGATTTCCATTTCCACCATGGTTCATCAGTTAAGCCTTTCCCTCCAAAAGTGACCAAGACAGAATTTCTCCTTACTATATCGGTACAATATCAAGCAGACAAGTGACAGAATAAATGAAAACATAAATTGGAGAATCAATAGTTGATTGACAACTAAATTCTCTGAAGTAGTATCATAAGAATTAAATGGTAGACAGCAAGGATAATTACTCATCAGACCTTGGGAGTGATACGGTTTTTTCATGTCTTTTTCTTTCTTTTTTTTTAACATTACTGGTAAATCTGGCTTTGCATCTTAGTTATGAAGAGAGTCACAGAAGATGCTTTGTACCTGAGGTTTGATGTTGTCCTTTTTACAGTTTTCATTGAGCCATGCAACATCAATTTCACAATCAAAATGGCCAACATTGCAGATGATGGCATCATCCTTCATCTTCAAGAAGTGTTCTGAAGTGACGATTCCACTACATCCTGTTGATGTGACAAAGATCTGTCCCTGTGAGGCAGCTTCTTCCATGGTAACAACTTCGTATCCTGTTAATCAAACAAGGGCAACACAAAGCATATCAAAACACTTAATCATTGTTATTCATTATTAGTATGAGCATTCTACTTGCATCTCCACGTTTAAACTCTTGCTAACAGCTTTAACACTAAAAAACCACAACACCTTAGCTCTTAAATCTAGGCTGACAAGCATTCTTACAGAACTTTCTAATGTTGAATTACACTGTATTCAAATGAAAATTTTTATTTATTGTGGTTTCTTTCAGTTTAATAAAACTTCAGCCGCAATTTCCAATATAACACAACACCCAGCGAGTACTCTCTTTTCTTTACAGAAAGCTGACAAGTTGCATATCTTTTGCATACTTTACCTTCCATGGCAGCTTGAAGGGCATTGATGGGATCAATTTCAGTGACCAGAACACGAGCACCAAAACCACGGAGAGACTGTACTGATCCTTTGCCAACATCTCCATATCCAGCTACAACACAGACTTTTCCAGCAAGCATGATGTCTGTTGCTCTCTTCAGACCGTCAACAAGAGATTCACGGATTCCATACAGGTTGTCAAATTTGCTCTTGGTAACAGAGTCATTGACATTAATGGCTGGCACCTTCAGTTTGCCTTGCTCAAGCATTTTGTACAAGTTATGTACACCAGTCGTGGTCTCTTCTGAAAGTCCCTTGATTTCTGGAATATAAAAATTGTATATCGTGTAAGTTAACTTTTCTAAAGTAAAACAATTAATAGTTTAATCACACAAACAGAGATAAGAATCAGCACAGGAGCTTAGCAAGTCTCTTTACTGGAGTTTTTCCAACTAAATCCTTTCACTCCCCAGAGTGACAGAAGGAGGAATTTCTCTTTACAGTGTGTAAATATTTATACAAACAGAGAGGCAGAGAGAAAAAAAATTAAGGAATATTATTTGTATTAGCACCAAATTATTCATACAAAAATTATCAGAAATCTATTACAAACAGTTCAGAGAAAAAATATATCGTAATCTTGGGAATGAAAGGGTCAAGTTACACATGGAAACTGGCAGGATTGTTACATACTCTGAGTGAGATTTTAGTCTATCAAAGGTTACCCAGTGGTCTTCAGAAGCATCAGCAGCCAGTGTTTTTGCTGGCTACTTGAAGCAGACAAAGCAATAAAAGCCTATGGTGATCTGACATAAATTTTAACCTTTGCCAGGTACTGTTCATTCAATGCTGGCTTCTAAAAAATATCAGAACACTTTATTCCCAGAATTTTGATAGATTTCCCTAAAAATTTGCTGGTGCTCATTCACACTCTTTTCATGTAGGGAGGGGCTGTAAAACTACCTTGTTCAAAGCCAGAGCTTATCCCCTTGACCACTTAGAATGATTAGCATCTAACTTCTCCTTACAATACCACCCATGAATCACCCACAAAGGTTATGAGAACAGAGGAAATGATCACTAACTAAAAAAGCTCTTGATTTTTAAACAAATTCTCTTTGTCAGCACCTTAGGAAATGTATAGAAAACATTATGGAGAATATGCATTCTGATATTAGGGTGTTCAATTTAG